AAAAAAAAAAAACCTTTAAAATTTTTTTAATTTTTAAAAAAAAACCCCCAAATTTTTTTAAAAAAAATTTTTCCCCCTTTTTTTAAATTTTTATAGTTTCCCCCTTTTTTTAAAAAATTTTTTTTTCCCCCAAAAAAATTTTTTTAAAAAAATTAAAAAAAATTTTTTCCGGAATTTTTAAATTCTTTTAAAAAAACCCCCTTTAAAAAAAAAAAAAAAAAAACTTTTAACAAAAAAAATTTTTTTAAAAAAAAAGGTTTTACTTTTTTTTTTTAAAAAAAAAATTTTTATTTTTTTTTAAAAAAATTTTTAAATTTTTGCAAAATTCTTGTCTTTTAAAAAAGGGGGGGTTTAAAAAAAAAACCCCCCGGGGTTTTTTTTAAATTTTGGGGTTTTTAAATTTTAAAACCATTTTTTTTTTTAAAAAATTTTTTTAATTTTTTTTTTTAAAAATTTTAAAAATTCTTTTTTTGGGGGGAAATTTTTTTTTTCCCCCCCCCCGGTTTTTTTTAAAAAAATTTAAAATTTTTTAAAAATTTTTAAAAAAAATTTTTTCCCAAAAAAAAAAAGCAATTAAAAAATTTTTTGGGTTTTTTAAAAGGGGCCCCCCAAAAAAAAATTTTAAAATTTTTTTTGGGTTTTTTTAAAAAAAAAAAAGGGGGGGGGGGAAAAAAAAAAATTTAAAAATTTTTTTTTTGGGGAAAAATTTTTTTAAAAGGGGTTTTAAAAAAAAAATTTTTTAAAAAAATTTTTAAAAAATTTAAAAAAATTTTTTTACCTTTTTTTTTTTTTTTTAAAAAATTTTTAAAAATTTTTTCTCAACTTTTAAACCAAAAAAAATTTTTCCCCCCAAAAAAAACCCCCCAAAATTTTAAAAAATTTGAAAAAACCAAAGAAAATTTTAAAAAACCCCGGGTTTTTTAAAAAATTTTAAAATTTTTAAAAAAAAAAAAAAATTTTTCATTGAAAAGAAAAAAAAAAAAATTTTTTTTTTCCCCCCAAAAAATTTTAAAAAAAATTTTTTAAAAAAAAAACCAATTTTTTAAATTTGAAAAAAAATTTTTTTTTCCTTTTAATTTTTAAGGGGGGTTTTTTAAAAAAAAATTTTTTTTTTTTAAAATTTTTTTTTTGGGGGGAAAAAAAAAAAATTTTTTAAATTTTTAAAAAAAAATTTTTTCCTTTTTTTTAAAAAATTTTTAATTTTTTTTTTTTTGGGGAAATAAAAATAAAAAAAAATTTCATTTTAATTTGGGGGGTTTAATTAAAAAAAATTGAAAAAAATTTTTAAAAAAAGGGGGTTTTTAAAAAAAATTTTTAAGTTTTTTTTTTTCCTTTTTTAAAAAAGAAAAAAAATTTTTTAAAAAATTTTTTTTTTTTTTTTAAAAAAAAAATTTTTTTTTCCCCGGGTTTTTTTTTCCCTACCATTTTTTTTTTTTTTTTTTTAAAAAAACCCCCCAAAAAAAAAAAAAAACAAAAAAAAAAAAAAAATTTTAAAAAAAAAATTTTTTTTTTCCCTTTTTTTTAAAAAAAAATTTTTTTTAAAATTTTTTTTTTTAAAAAGGGGAAAAAAAAATTTAATTTTTTTAAAAAAAGGGGAAAACCCCAAAAAAATTTTCCAAACCCCTTTTTTTAAAAAAAAACCCTTAAAAAAAAAATTTTTAAAAAACCCCAAAACTTAAAAAAAAAAAACCAAAAAAAAGGGGAAAAAAAAATTTAAAAGGGGGTTTTAAGGAAAAACCAAAAAAAAAAAAAAAAAAAAATTTTTTTTTACTTCAAGTTTATACTAGAAAACTGTCATTTTGGATAAATATACGGAATTATTTATCTGAAACAGTCACACATCAAATTTGATAAAAGATTGAATAAATGTCAAATTAATTTATTTACTTTCCTTCCCCCCAAAAAAACAAAAATTTATGGAGTGTGTTTTCCAATCGAATTATATTGATCAAACCCTGCGTACTTACATCTAACATATTAAAAAAAAGACAAAAGATTTTTAAAGGTTGCCTGCCTCTAACCAAGGGGGATACATCATGGGCGGGGTCTATTTTGTGTCATGAAAAATGAAAACACAAACCCGTATAATACCCTTCAATAAAATTCCCCAAAATCTGGGCGGGCCTAAAAATTTTTCCTTTACCTGTTAAAAAAACAAAAGAACGATCACCAGTAAAAAAGGCAGTTTAAAGTTTGACAAATTCTATTTATCTGATTTGGGAAAAAATAGAAAAATTTAAAGGGATTGAATAATTTTTTAAAAAACAAGAGATTATCAGTTTAAATCATCAGGATGGTAACTATTTAGTAGTTTTATAACTTATTATTAAACTTTTAGAGAAAGAAGTTTCAAACCATGATTAAGAGGAGATATTAACACAATGAAAGGAAAGATAACTTATTTATTTTCAAAATGAATTCAGGTTTGGGCTTAATGTCAACACAAGTTATGTTGTTAAAATGCAAATGAATAATGAAAACTGTTAGTGGTTTTTACTACTTTATATTGATTATAGATATAATTATAGATCTAATTAGATGTATAGATGATTACATAATTCTAAATTAAGACAAATGAAGATGCATATTTATAGAAGTAATTTTGTTGGTTATGTTCCAAAAAGAATAAAAAAGGCTGGATAATGCTGTTTATGACCAAATATACAAACCTCATAAAGCCACATGGTAGAGTAAATATTTTCAACACAGCAAGCAGAATACGTAATGGAAGGAAGGTGAATATGAACAGAAAAGCATCCAGACACTGGAAAAATCCGTAAATACTAAACTGGAAATAAATAACAATATTTATGTGTTACAAACATTACCAATTTCAATGTTAAATACAAAACAAAGAAAAAATTAAACAAGGGCCGTCAGTATGACAGTGTGGTGCATGACAAGAGCCTGGATAATGTAGAATTTTTAGTTCAAATAGGACCATAATTCTGTCAAAATCCATGGGCATTTAACAGTGGCTCATTTTATGCTCTCATACAAGTGTGTGAAGTTTCAATCCATTCCTTCCAATAGTTTTTGAGATACTAACTTGCACCCAAAAACTTAACCATTTTTGTCAGAAATGCCAACACTGACACCTGGGTCAGTACAATAACTCTCCCTATCTTCAAAGTGTCAGGCTAAAAATAAATATTATAATTTTAATATTTTCAATGATATGAAAACTCAATGCAAATAAGAAGTTATAATGTGAAGTTTGAATCCTAATAAGGCACTTTGTTAATGAGATATACCTGTGAGAATTATACTTCATACAAAAAATTTGACCGAACGCCAGTGTTGGCAAAAAAAACAACAACAATATTTCTTCTTAAAAATTCAAGCTTCAATTAAAAACTGCAAATATACATGTAAATCAGTCAAATTTTATATCATTGTCATTTAACAACATCTTATTTCCTAGTGAAATATTTTTAAACTTTAAAATAATTACACCTGTTACAAGGTGAAAATAACTATTAAAACTAAACAATGTATAGAGATAATAATAATTGTGATTTTTACCTTTTCAAGCTCTCTAGGAGTTTTCATGAATGTATAAACTCTCTCTCGTTTCTGTGCATATTTCTCCTCCTCTCTCTCCAGCAGATATCCTCGTGTCAATTCTGACGTAAAATAACTCCACACTGACATCGCTGAAATATATAACAAATTTTCTACTTTCACTTTAATATACTCATTGAAGAAACCAAGTACTGGTATAATACATGTAGGTGGCTACCAAACAATTAGCAATAAACTAATATACTTGGTGAGTGCAATATGATCACAATTCAGCTTCTACAGTAAATTGTACTAACATAAAGTAAGTAACATAACTCTATAAGGTGGAACATTTATTGTAATGTAAATATGTACATTAAGTTAACAGTTATTCTTATGTAAATGCAATGTGACAAATCACTGCGGACGGGTAATTCCATTTGCGTAAAATAATAATAAGAATTCAAATATAAAGTAATCACAATCCAGCAAAAGTGAAATCTTATACAAGAAAATTTAAATTCAAACAATGCTTGTTTAAAAGTTTTATTACATAGATCTCTATCTTTCACAAAGCAGACTTAAAAAGGGTTTTCTCACAATCAAAATGCACTTAGGATTCATAATATATCAATAACTGACACAACAGTTATCCAACAAAAATATTTTTCCTCTTTAGCAATAATCAATGGTAGGATACTACGTCATCGTGCACCTGCTAAATGCTCCCTCTTGGACCATTTTTTGCAGAAATTCTGTCGACTCGATAAAATGCAATTTTATTATAAATAAGAAAATGTAAGAGTGTCAAAAAATCATGTAGCGCACCAAAGAATGGCTATAGTACATCAGAAAATTGTAAACAAAGTTTAAGATTTATTGCCTGGTTTAGCCCTGAAAACGGGATAAGTGTTTTTCTCTGAATGCTCCCACACGGACTTTTCTGAAACATATAAGAGTGTATAAGACGTTTTCTTATAATAAAATTGTATTTTACCTTCGAGTCGACGGATTTTCTGCAAAAATGGTCCAAGTGGGAGCATTTAAGCGAGGTGGCGATGGGCGTGGTATATGAAAAATTAGACATGTGTTAAATTTTTTCTTTCCCGAAAAAAGTTTTTTTTTCCTGATCTTTAAAAAAAGGGGGGTTTCGGGGACTTCCCTTTATGGAAACAGCAGGAAATAAACATTTTTTCAACATCAAAGATTGACAAGAGGCTTTGAAAAGACGTCTAGTCACTTACAGAGGTCATATTGTGAAATTTTTTTTTTTGTAAATTTTTTTGTTTTTGTTATCTAACATTGGAAACGTCCCCTTTATAACAGTTCTTTCCGAAACCTTTAATGTTTCCAATCTTTTGCCAAAATTGGGTTTTTTGTTTTTCCAAAAAATGCAAATTTTTTTAAAAAAACCCTAAAAGATAAAAATAATTGAAAACTAATTACAATTAAAAAATCCCAAATTTTAAAAACCCCCGGGCCTTTTTTTAAATTAAAAAATAAAAAGGGGGCCCCATGTGAAGGTCACCCCGGTAATTTGCCCCACCCCCTTTGGGGCAGTGTTTTTTTTTTGAAACCAAATTTAAGTCTTTAATTTAAAAGGAATTTTTAAAATAATCTTTTTAAAATTTTCAAAAGTTTCAACTTTTTAGTGTTTTTTTAGGCCAATTTTAAAAAATATGCAAAGAAAAACCCCTTCCAAAATTTTTTGAAAAAAAAAATTAAAAACCCCCCTTTTTTAAGGGGGCCAAAACTTCCATTGGGAAAAATTAATTTTAAAATTTTTTTGTCCAAAACCCTTTAAAAATAAATTTTCCATATTATATAATTAGTTACCTACTTAGGCCCCAAAAGGAAAAATTTGGGTGGGAAAAAACCCCTTCCTTTTTCCTATGTTTTTAAATAAAGTCTGTTTTGGGGGAAATTTAAAAAAATAGAAAATAGAATAATGTTATAAAAAATAAAATATTTATGTTTTCAAATTTATTCTTGGAAAAAAAGTTAATTTCCCCCGTTTAAATATAAAATTTTTTCAAAATTTTTTGATGTGCCTTATTTCAAGGGATAAAAATCTTATACCAATTTAAGGGTTTTTTCTTTCCCAGGTTTTAAAAAAATGGTTTTGGCCATAAAAATTTTCAATTTTCCCGGATTTTTTTTTCCCGGGGAAAAATTTAAATTTTTTGGGGTAGGTTTTTCAAACTCGACCCTTTGACCAAATAGCCCCGATTCTCAATTATTTCAAAATAAATATAAACATGTTTTATAACAAAAGGTGGCGCGATAGCTGAGTTGGTTAGGTGTCACCCCGGTACGGAATAAGACCTAGCCCGTTGTAGTCTAGAAAGTAGTTCTTTTAAATTTTGAAATGGCCTATTTCAAGTCATCTTAATTGATACTGGTTATATTTTAAGTATATCTTTAGTAATTGTGTACATAAAGTTTCATTTCTTTTTGATGTATTTTTGCAGGATTTCATTTCTGGGTGGACGGTTTTAGGAAGTACTATGCACAAGAATACACACCAGTTACTATTTGGAATATTCTATAGTGATTACAGAAATTAAAAGCTGCAGAAAAACTCCAAGGGCTAATGTATTATTTTTTTGTGCTAAATTTACTTGGACTGCATTGGTGTTTAAAGAAATGGTCATGAAGTTTCGGTACAGGATTTGCTTTGTCCAGAATTTAGCCTTAAATGTGATGGATTTACTATAGGATATATATTACGAAAATTCAGTGGGCCGTCTCCGTTAGACCACCAAGAGGTCTATTCAATAATCTTGAGCTAGGGACTGGATCCCGGATTCCCTTGTATCTCATAGCTGTCTCTGAAGCCTAAAGTCATGTCTACGTCCCCGCGAGGATTAAAGGAAGATAGATGGATAGAATATACTGTAATCATAAAAGCAAATAAAATCATGTATGCGATGATGTTGTCATTTTATTTATCTCTCCAACATATTTAAAAGTTATCCCCCTATGTTTCCAGAGCTCAAATGCGAAGGGAATACAAGAAATGGTCTCTGTTGATGTGTCCGTCCCAATATTGTCAAGAGGATAACTATAGTACTTGAGTGATGTTCTTCAAACTTCAAGTAAATATCAATCATATCCCTTATGTCTATATCTCTTATGTATATATAGACTCAATCAAACCGATTCTGCAATTTCCATGTGATTTTTTTAATGTGTCACAGGGTAGAATAAATAATAAACTTCTGGCGTAGGTTTGTCAATTTAACTGCAAAATATACAAAGAAAAGGCCTAAAAACAAAAATACATGATTATGATACAAGTTAATTAAAACATACATAAAATACAACAATAAAACTATTGAGCGATGCAAATAAGAATTATTTCAAGTAATTGAATAAAATGAAAATAATTTTACCACAGCGTCTCAAGACAAAAAGTAAATAACTTAGTTATAAGATATTTCCAAAAATTCTATAATAAACAAATAGAATTTATATATTAATAAGTAATACACACTCAGTATATCTATACTCGTAAGAGAATAAAGATGAAGTGACCTGGAGAAGGAAAGTTCGCAGGAATTTGGAAGAAAGGAAATGTTTAAAAACCAATGTAAAACTTTCTCTCAAATATCTTTCATACAACGTACAACACGATTGGACATACAAAAACAGATCACAAAATTGCACGAGATACGAACATAGTTGAATTGTTTCGGTCGGTTCCGTGAATTTCCACTAATAAGCGTACGTTACGGAACCATCCGATACCATACAATAGCAGACGAAAACAGAAGACGGACACAAACGGCAATCGACGCATGCGCAGACATTAAGTATACTTTTCCCGCGACTAAATGACAACCAGTGCACGGAAAAATCAACAATTAATATAAAAATAAATCGACCCGTGAAAAATGCTTTCGACGGATCACACTCTTTCCAGTTCTTCATACTGACATAAAAATGAAAATGGGAATGGAAGGAAGTATAATGTGTATAAAAACAACTCTACCTTGCCTTCTTATAGAGATATTCACCTTAATCAGATTTACTTGAAAACTTTGTCCGAAGCTTAACTCTAAAAGTACATGGGGAATTTCCTCCAAACTTAATACACTGACATAGCATATTGGTATGAAGTGCAATGTGCAATATCAATAACTCTACATAGCCTACTTTTAGAGTTATTCCCATTTATCAGATTTATTTGCAAAATAATCAAAAGCGTAACTCTAAAAGTACTTGAATGATTTTCATAATAAAACAAAATAATTAATATACATATACGTTATAGTTATGTTAACATTCCCTTATTTCTTTTATTCTTTTTCCACTTACTTGAAAACTATACTTAGCATGATCATAACTACACAGTTTTTAAGGATTTTCTCTCACAAAGTAAGACAAATATGACAAAGATATATAAACATTATTTATCAATTGGTTTACAAAACACAGCATTCTGTGTAATATACACAACTTAAGACAAATGCAATTCATATCATAGACAAGGTAAATGTATATAAAATATAAAATGATAACATGAATGAGTCCTTTTACAAAAATAGATTTTTACAAATACCTACCGGGTTTTATGAATCCAATTAAGTAAAAAATTACTTATCAATGCTAGAAATCTATACCCCATCCAGATAACTTAGGTCCCAGAATGATTGCTTAGCACTTGTTGTACCGCGTAGTAGAACTGTGATTTATGGTGATCGTGCTTTTATGACAGCAGCCCCTAAACTCTGGAATGCACTACCTTAAACACTTAAAAGCTGTGAAACTCTAACAGTGTTTAAGAGAGCACTTCAAACTCACTTATTTAAGAGGTTTTATTTGGACTGATTATTTTTGGGTTCTTACCTGAATTTTATTATTTATGTGGGTCTTTTTAACTTTTTTAAACTACATTTGATTTGAATTTGTGACTTGAGCGATATTGATGTTTTAATTTGTTTCTTTTGTTGTTGTTTTTTTTTTCTTTTCTTTTTTTTTCTTTTGAATATTTATCATGTATTTGGTTATACTGTACAGTACTTTTGAACGTGTCAATGTGCATGAAAAAAATGCTTAAGAAGTTTGGTATATAATAATAATAATAATCATTATTACTTGAGTAAAATGCATATCAAAACTGTATCACCAACATGTAAAACAAAAATATATGAATAACATATAAACGTTATTTATTGTTTTACAAAATACATCTGTAGACAACTAATGGCGGATGCAATGTAAACGGGACACAGGTTTGAAAGAAAGCGATTTATCATGTAAAAGGTTATGAAGATTGAAATAGTATAGATTGGTATGGATAATCCGGCGGCTGAAAATACGGGAAAGGTTTATGGCATTGTTTTAACAATTGTAGTAATAAGGAGTTTTGAAAATAAAAATAACAACATTCTGATTTATTCATTTTTTTTCAATCAAATATATGTATTGATTAAAACACATAATTTATTACATTTTACAATTAACCCTACGACAAGGGGGTCAGGACTTCTAACTTTAATATAATGCTTTAATTTATATGAATATGAACAACAGTTTCCATATAATTATAAAATTGTAATTATATCTGGAACCAGACCATGAGTCCATGGCACTGTCCAAAAAAACTGGTGTTTGAGTTAAACCTTATTTTATTGATAATTCTACAAGATGAAAGATAGAGGAAACTTTATTTAAGAAATATTATATCCCAAACTGTGATTTTATTGCTCAATAACATCACTGTTTGGAGTTCGGATGCGGGGAATTATATGAAAATGATGCGCATCCAAACGACAAACAGTGATGTTATCAAGCAATAAAATCACCGATTTGGATATATTATTTCGATTCTAACACGACATCAACAAATAAATGCTGCCCGTACATGATAATTAGCTATATTGCGCCTGATTTGTGTCCGTACTTATTGTCAGCGCGACACATTTTTAGTGGTTACGTCACGTGTATAATGATTACGTCACATGTCTAAATATAGAACGTCAAACAGTGATTTTACAGCATAATAACACACACTTTCGGTTCTTTTATGTTCAAAAGGGAAAAATGCGGGTCGTGTTAGAATTAATGTCTATTCATTTTTAACAACGAATTTGAGCGGCTGTGAAAAAAGTTGATAAAAAAATAAGATCCATGCATATATTCAATTATAATACAAAAAAGAGATTGATTGTATTGTTGCTTGTATTGTTGCTATTATTATTATTATTTTGAAAAAATATATATATAATGCTATTGCCTCACATGATTGTAATGTTATATGTGTAGTGGTGGGGTTTGGTTGACAAACACTCAATTTGGTTTATACAAATATTTATTCTATCAAGAATAAAACCTGTAACAAATAAAATAAGTATGAGACATCACATTACAAATAAATATTTTACAAGACACATACAGTACATTTCACAAAATACATAATACACAATATAATACAACAATTCAAATTACAATAAAAACAATTCCACAAATAAATAAATACATATATACATACCAGGCTTGTAATAGAAGAAATCTAATGTAATAATAGAAATAAGAATCAAGTGTTTCTATAAAGAAATTACTGAAAGTTAACTAATTTTATAGTTCTTTTCACTCCGAAAGCGAGACAAGGAGTGGTCATATACCAAGAAAATATTACATTCCAGAACCAAATCAACTAAAAATAACTTTCATACAAAATCAATCATCGATCACTCAACTTGCAAAACCAGTTCAATCAGCCATAACAAAAGGAACAAAGACAAACATGAACACATAACACCACAATAGATTTAGTCTGGCCTTTAAGGGAAATTACCATAAACATTCTAAAAAGATGACTTGGCTTAATTTGACCTTATCTACATATGTTTTCTGTAATATATACAGTACACGTATAGTCTTTTGCCATGATTATCAACTTGAGAAGATATATCTATCGAAAGATAATTATATGAAATGCACAAGAAACAGCAAACATATGTATAATAAAATACACTTTATTTGCTATTATGTTGCAAATACACAGAAAATAAAAGCATACAGTATAGTACTGTATGGGTCGTATACTTTGCAAGACGGACTTTGCAGACAAGTTAAACAAAGAGGGATTTTGTAGATAAGTTAAAAAAGAAGGGTTTCAGATTTTGCAGACAATTATATACTTTTTATTCTAACTTTACTTATGAAAACATATTTATTTCTCAAGATTAAAATTAAAATATTTTTAAAAATAACTGTACAAGTAGCATCTTACTAAAGTTTTGCAAATAATAATTATTTCTAGAATGCATAAATTCAGCATAACTGTCCATTCACACCTTATGACAAGGGCTTAAACACCCCCAGTTTAATCTATATTGTCTGCAAAATCTAAAACCCTTCTTTGTTTAACTTGTCTGCAAAATCCCTCTTTGTTTAACTTCTCTGACCCTATTTTTCCGTGAAAATGGAACGTTTCAATAAACACAATAACCGGAAGCTGTGGTGCGGAAGTTTACAGTTTTCCATGGCATTTATGACAACACATTAAAATTTGTCCAATTTTAACGCAAAGAATGCTTTTGGTGAATATTGTACTGCAGAATTATAACATAACCTCTTATAATATTGTACTGTTAACATTATTTGAAGGTTATCTAGCACAAACAGTTCGTCAATTTTTACATCGTTGTAAACTAGACGAATGCCCGGTTACTGATAAAACCGGATAGGTTATATATTCTATAATTACCAGTTCCTCCCTCTGACTGTTCTCCCCCGAACCATTTCCTGTCCTGACAGTTCTCCTCCACATCTAAAATATGCAGACAGTTTCCCCCTAAAACAAATCTATTATTTATTAATTTTCATTTTTTATAAAGGAATTTTATTGAACATACAATTAAATTTCGTTTGCTCAAACTCGGATCGCTCGAATACCTCCTTTCGCTCGAACTCATCGCCCGGTCCCGGCAAAATTCCTATAATAATATATATTGCTCTTCCTCGGATCACTCTCACACCAATAGCTCGAACTTTCGAACCTGATCTCTGGTCCCTTCGACAGAAATATAGTGAAAATCACACCTTTTTGGTTGAACACAAAAAGACAACAAAAGCTACAGGTCGACATGTTCTAAAGTGTCTGCCTGCATCGCATGTTTTTAACACCTCATGATCGTAATAAACCAATTACAATATGCATGAATATAGACTAACACAGTGTACCCTTAATAATCATTTGAAAACACTGGGGTAATAATTCCTAATATTTAAAAGAAATGACGTATTAGACGAACTGATGCACTAACAAACAATTATATTGCCGTATTTATCATTCTACAGATGTAAGCTGGAAAATGTTTATGCCTATGTTCTATGTGATAATAGTTCAACCTCGGTTGGCTCGAACTTACGATCTCTAGAACAAATTTGCACAGTCCCTCCGAGTTCGAGTGAACGAAGTTTGACTGTATGATAGATTAAATGATACATGTACAGTATGCCTATCATTATTTGTTAACAATGTGAGAAATGTTGGAAATAATGCAGCAGTGAATTTTTTACCTCCCCGTCCTGCATCCAAAACACAATGAATTTGCCGTGAACACAAAGTTTCAAATGATGTGCATCTTTTGGAATGGACGCATGCTTTTTCTGAGTAGTGAGTCCTGTCTGATAGGAATTTGGTAATAAATACCAAATTGTGTTCAAGTTATATCAATCTGATGACAGTAAATATTATTTTTGCTAATATTTTACATTTTTTTTTACCATTAATGACTTACAGGTTACATGTAAACATTTTATTTGTGTTGTGCTTGTTTGGAATGTCAACTTAAACAGAATATTTTAAATTGCAAATCTGCTCTTACTCGGCAGTAAATGAGTAATTAGTGTAGCTGCTTTTTTCATGAAGAAACCAGTGCTGATAGTGATAATTGTGATTGGCATATTTTAACTAGCCAGGTCAGGCATTTCTAAATAGCCTGATAACACTGTAGCAATGTGAGGATACACATAGGTTATATTCATGGAGCTCGCACACAGTAACTTTTTGATATTTTTTAACTCTAAGAAAAATGTCAATTATAAATTGCTGACAGTTTATATTTTCTAGAAAAAGTAAGGAAAACATTATTTTGTTTCATATGAAAGGAATGAATTGCGTTAACAATCCTAGATATTGTCTGATATGACGAGTTGTAAGAGCCCATTTGCAGTTATATGGGTAAGAGTTTGATAAGACTCCCTACAGTCGTCTTAATACAAACTCTTACCCATACGTATTCTAGTAAGATGACCTGCTCGATGACAAGTTTCCAATATCATTCTGTATTTTTCAACATTTTAATATGTTCAGATTCAGAGAAATCTTTGTAAAGTTACTTTTAAACTATCAATAATACCTATATAATAATAGTTTAGAGGTTGTTTTTTTATTTAAACTGTGAGTCCCTGGTTTGGGGCATGTTGTTGCCATCAAAAGCATGTACTTCATTTTTAAAAAAAAATCGAATCAAATCGAGATATTTTTAGAAGTTCGACTTTCAGTTTGAATATATCACCTGCAAGTGTATCATCTGGTATCACTTAACAATAAAAGCAGTATGACAATGCAACAACAAATTGATAGTAATCATATGAAAATGAGGAAAAAAAGATAATTACAGGCTTAATTGATCAGGAATGCGAATAATTACAAGAAAAAAATGTTAACCCATAATGATATTCAGTACCGTTAAAATATTTAAAGGAAAAAGATTATTTGTGGACTTAAGGTTGAAAAAGATTGCTTATTTGTGGACTTAAGGTAAACATTTCATATTCTAGGTCTGCAGATTTTCAACAGATAAGAAATAATAATGTGCTATACACTATATATAAGCATTAAAATAAAGTTTTGATAAATATCAAACTAAATTAACGGAAATAAACGTATAATGACATTTTTGGATAATTTCAGTATCAGAAGCATGGTAATTAATGTAGAAATCATATCCATTTTTTTTCTCCATTCCATTGTTAAAATACTTTTCTTATCACTAAATCAATATTAATCCCTGTAACTTGGACTTGTCAGCTAAATTTTGGGACTCGATTTATAGCCCAGCGAGTCCTAGGACTCACACTGATGAATTTGTAAAAAAATCACTCAGGTGCATTGTAAATAACTTTGAATTGTGAATCTAGATCTTATCATCATTAATTCTTAATGAAGATTTCACTGAATTAATTAAGCCAGCTTGTTACAGGAATATTCCAGAAAATCCTACTTAAAAAAAATGTTTTAAATTGAATGATATGTGCTTTCCCCTAATTTTATATAAATCAGTAAATTAACATACCCATTTATTAAACATCAAAAGTACCAATACTGATCTATATTAATAAAAATAAAATTGGGGAGGAACAGTCTGCAATTAACACACAAATGGAGACAGTTCACCCCCAATGTAGGGAGAGAACAGTCAGAGGGGAACATCAGTGGAGGAACTGGTAAGATGGAGAATAGTTTTACTGCCATTATATTTGTAATAGAAAGAGCATCGAATAACGAGGCTATCTGATTTGTACGAGGGGCCGTAGCCTACGAGTAGTAATCAGATTGCCAAGTGTTGTGATGTTCTTTCTCTTTTGTATCATAGTCAAACATAAAAACACGTACCCTGTTGTCACAATATGAAACCCCGGAAAATAGTAACCAATGAACAAGGTTCTGAATATGATATTTCTGTTGCTTTCCGTTTCTCTGCCATCACAACAAGTAAAACCCAGCAAAAATGAGCCAATCAAAGGGCATGCTCTGTAGGGCTGGTAACTTATACCTGCACTCCAGTTAACGCACTGTGTATATATACGATTCAACTCTAAACCATTTTAAACAAAAAGACATAAATAAACCATTGTAACTAACAGCCATGATATATATTCTTATATAGTTAAAGACATATTTTTTTATTTGTACAGACATAAATGAGCAAAGATGAGTTTTGGATATACTGTGACACCCAAAATTCATCCAACCCACTTAAGCCCAAGACAGTCAACTCTAAGTGTGGGCACAGTGGAGACTATACCTGTACATGAACTTGACATACCATCAGCTTCCAGAGAGTACAGAAATGTTGACCTTAATAAACAGAAGAGACAAGACAGTGTCAGAAGTTTCCAAACTTTACAGGTACATAATTAAATTATATATTATTGGTTCATGGAATTTAAGCCAGATTACTGTGAAAAGGTACTGTTCCCAAAGGTAGAGAAAGAGAGAGTGCTGACTGTATTTAACTCTTTATCTTAATCTTGTAGTTTCATTTAAATTGCTGTAATAGATCTATGAGGTAATATGTTTGAACTGTTACTCCCAGAAATTGCACCTGTTTAGTGTAATTGTTTAACAATTTCATACATGTAGAAGAATTATTAGATGTATAGTATTCCCAGCTGCTTCCACATCCCTATGTATATCATGGTTATCTAAGCATATGCTATTTGACAAACATAGTACCACCTACAAACATGGCAGAGTGATCTAATAGTACTTACTATGTTTCAAGAACAAAATGTAGTAAAACCCAACTGAAAAAAAATCTATGTAAAAAAAATATGTATTTGCATTTTTGAAAACTCCAGTTGTTTACAAAGTAAATGACTCAAAAACTAATAGTGATAGTTAAATACTTGTAGTGAAAACTAATTGTTGAACATTTATTATTCAGGAAGTGAGATGGTCAAGCATGCGGAAGAAGATACCTGGAATGTCAGCTGTACCAAAACATTTGGCAACTTCTCCAGAGAGTTATGACTTACAAACTCAGGTATACCTCCTTTCTGCCCTCACATATTTATAAGTTGAGTGTCCTTACATATTTATAAGTTGAGTGTCCTTACATATTTATAAATTGGAGTGTTCTTACATATTTATAAATTGAGTGTCCTTACATATTTATAAGTTGAGTGTCCTTACATATTTATAACTTAAGTGTCCTTACATATTTATAAGTTGAGTGTCTTTACATATTTATAAGTTGAGTGTCCTTACATATTTATAAGTTGAATGTCTTTACAAATTTATAAGCTTATAAATAAGCAAGTTCATGGTGCATATCTATATTGATACTCTCTTTGCAAAATCTACAGAAATCGTACCCTTGCTTAGAAGTTACATGTGACACAAAAAAAAACAATAGCAACAGACATATTCGGCGCATCCCACTAAGTTATCCTTATATATTTATAATTGAGACTGTCGTTACATGTTTATAAGTTTTAGCATATTTATAAGCTTATTAATAAGCAATTCAATGCATATCTATATTGATACTCTCTTGCAAAACCATCCTTAAAAAATGTTTGTTTGCAGTAACCCGACCAGAATTATCAAGGTGTAGGTAGGTCGATTTTTTTTTTTTTTTTTTTTTTTTTTATTTTTTTTATTGAACTGTATTCCCAAATAAACATGAATTTCAAAATGCTGGACAATATATGCTTGATAATCTCTTTGGTAAAACAATTAATAAATTGATAACTGAATTCTAATTTAATAAGAACTACATTTTATTTCTTCTATTAACCTTTAAAAGAACAAAAACAAAGCACAAGGCATAAATTTATGATTCAAAAAAAAAATTTTTTATTCAGACCATGAAAAAAAAAATTTGAGTAGGGGCAAATTTTGTGAGTCGGTCGCGTTACTGCAAACAAACATTTTTTTAAGGATGGCCAAATCTACAGAAATCGTACCCTTGCTTAGAAGTTACATGTGACACAAAAAAAAACAATAGCAACAGATAACCCATGCCATAGCTAAAATAGAGTGAAATAGAATCCCTAAAGAAAGCCCAAATCAACAAAATTGAAAATATTGTAGGCTCAGTTTGATTGAGCTTGTTTATGGATGATACTGCCAAGTTCAAACTACCGTCCACGTCCACTAGCCCTTTAAAGTTCAGTGTTCTCTATAAATTTTATACATGTATATATTTCAGACCACTGATTGCCATTTGTCAAAAAATAATACATAAATGTATACATGTTATTTTAATGGTGTAAAGTGTGAAATAGAATCCCTAAAGAAAGCCCAAATCAACAGAATTGAAAATATTGGAGGCTCAGTTTGATTGAGCCTGTTTATAATGGATGGTTACACACTGCCAAGTTCAAACTACCATCCACGTCCACTAGCCCCTTAAAGTTCAGTGTTTTCTATAAATTTTACATAATTATATTTCAGACCACAGATTGCCATTTGTCTAAAAAAATATTTTTTTGCTCATGACATACTTTCTTTCATCTGGAAAATAAACACTTCTTTGACTCCTGTGTCCATCACCTATTTTTATTCACTCAATATTCAGCAAGAGTAACACCCATGTTTATACCAAAGGGATTTCGATCATTTCAGTAGATTTTGCAAAGAGGTAATTTTAATGGATACATTTATGGATATATTTATAAGAGAATAGCTATTGGCAGCTGTGTTTAATTATAAAATTTTAGGAAATATGCACATTTTATTTAAATAAGAAAGGTTTTCTAACAAACAGGGCCTTTATGTCCCTAACACAGCTAGAAAAATGTTTAATAAGCTTCTTTATTAATATTTAGTTATACATGAAGTAGTTAATTACTAAACTTTTCAATGTATGATACCATACAAGGCATACAATCATAGTTACAACTTACTCATTAAGTAGCATAATTACTTTGACCTGTTTTCCAATCTGTTTATGATACCTTGACCCATTGCAAAATGTTTCTACTATGAAAATAAATCTGTCTGATAATATCTAATCACTGATTGATACTCATTAAACTTATATAGCAATATTTAGAAGATGATTATAGAGTAAGTGCAGATCTCAAGGTTGTTGAAGCAATAGTGGAACAGTTGCACCAGGGTGCTGGTTATTGTTCAGAATATAAGTTATCAGGCATCTTAAATACCATCATTTTAGCTTTTAAAAGTGAATTAAAAAATTAAACATCTCATAATTATTATTGTAGTTAGTCACTACAACAATAATATGAAGTAATGTTTTATCACCACATTGGTCTGCATCACTTAAAAAGTTCTTGTTTGCTTATTTTGGTGGAAAGTGTTTTTACTTTTTTGTTTGTATTTTTAGCTCACCTGAGCACTAAGTGCTCAGAGGTGAGTGTATGTGATATCATGATGTCTTTTGTCTAAAGTTACCAGCAATTTCAACATACAATACAACAAATCTTCCTTAACTCTTGGTAGGTTTTACCTTACTTCACAGGAATGATCCTTAAGTCACTTTGTACAAAAGTTAAGAAAATGGTTTCAGACTGATACATAAGTAGACCACAGAAGCTAAAATTAAAATATTAAAAGTCTATTATATTCCCAGGTTCAAAATTGGCCCCACCCTTGGTCGCACTGCACTTAATTGACAATAGTTTGTATAGGGAAACACATTTAAATTGTATATTAATCATACTGCATAATATTATAACAATTATGGCCATTAAGTTAACATAGACTAATTAGGAAAACTGAACCATTGCCATGATACATAGAGTACCACCAGCAACACCACCACATAACCTTGAATATTGGCATGTGGGATTGTTTTAAGTAGACTTCTACAAAACGTAAATGAATCATGACCCTTGGGTTATTAATGATCTCATCCTGAAGTGACCAAATGACTTATTTCTGCATTTAGACATTTTGAACATTTTTAGCATTAGTTCTCAGGTGAGCGACAAAGGTCAATCAAGGCCCTCTTGTTTACAAGAATGACAGACAATTTAACAGCTTTTATTTAACAAGTACATCCTGATTTTCTTATCATATTCATCAACATTTTTATTCTTTTTATTCTCACTCAAAATCATGGATTGATATTTGCTGCACAATGTGTTTAAACCTTCATGGTAAGTTTTTGTTGTTGTGCATATTTTATCATCTTTCCTCCAAATCACCTATTTTTCCTTTTCTCCAAATAACTTAGATCTACTGTTCCTTTTAACCCTAAGCCTTCTGGGGGCTACAGTCAATGGCTACCCATGCCATCTGATCATGGCCTGCACTGTTTGCTTTTCATTAACATTGTAATATTTCCCCCAAAATTAATGAATGGTTTTGTCCAGATTGAAAGAGGGGGCAAGTCCATTGCAGATATTTAGTGGGAAAATGGTTATATCATACCCATCTGCTTCCTAAAGTTATTTAATTATTCCTAAATGTTAATGATTATCTTATTATTTTGTATGTTATTGTAACCCTGGTTCTTAATAATCTTTTCATTATAAAGACAATAAATTCCATCAGAGTTCAGATAGTTTTTTATTCCTTACAGGATAACTCTAACATTCTTATCACTCATATTTACATTTCTCCAATTAATTAATCATCGCTCTCATAGAAAGTATGCATGTGTATACAGGAGTATATCACCCTGAAATATACAATAGCATATATTTACTAAACAATATAACGATTACTTAAAATGACATATAGCATTGCAATATTGGTACATGTTATCAAAGAATAAATTAAATTGTCATTCGTACTTGTGGTTCGATACTTAATGAACGTACTTGTGGTTCCATCCTAAATGAATTAAAATAAAAAAACATTACATATAATCCTTTGCACATTTAACAATGATATATGTAAAAAATAAACAATATAATATTAAGAATTACTTACAGGATCAATGGGATCCTTGGTATTTCCACTTAAACATACATCACACACTCCCCATTCTGGTGTTTGTAACTGCATGATGTGAATGTAAAATTAGTATGAGAAATAGTGACAAATAGAATGTTTGATCATCTGACAGTCAAAGGGGTCGAAGACGCAGGGTTTGGCGGGAAATCTTCAGAACCGACTGAACAATAAATTCAGCCGAGAAATAAACAAATTTGTTTACAATTCAATGGCCAATACAGAGATAAACCAACTTACAATACTGAAACCTTCTTCCAATAAAATATAACCATGAATTTAAAGAAGCAAAAGGTGACAAAAGCTTCACGCATCTACCTCCGCCAACAACGGATAGAGAATGACAAAAGCGCTCCGAATGAAACTGCGCTAAACTCTAGATACCATACTATACGGTAAAAAACCAATACCATACCATGTCACTAAATTTCCGACCTGTCACATTATTTCTAGAGGGGTCTGAAATTATGTCCCTGAAAGCCACTAATTTTAAAAGATAAAATATTTTTAATAGTTCTTGATTCAGGGGTTTATCAAGATGAAATCCTTTTCTCTTTTTTTTAACTTTTTTTTATATTTAATTGAGTTAGATACGAGAGATGATTTAATTTATCACTTTTCTTGTTTCCTATCACCTTTGATCTTATACACGGTGTATATTTTTTCCTGAATTGCGACTTTTATAAAACTTTATTAAGAATATAACATCTATTGGTAGCAGACTGTATGTATATGATTCTAATTTTACCTTATTGTTATTAAAAGTCCAATTCTTTTTAACAACTTAATATGCATTATTAGAAAAAATACTAATACATGTAGATTTTAAGTTTCAAAGATTATTATATTTTTAGTTATTATGTTTAACTATACAAAAACAAGAGCCCAGTAACCTACAAATGTATACAAAATGTAATATATAATAAATAATTTGATGATTTTTTTATTTAAAAAAACAACAACAAAAAACAAAACTTTTTTGCATCATGCTTACTATGTTATAGTCTTTGTTGCATGAAGTACACAGTGTTAAATACTTTGCCCTAGAGAGTTTGGAATGAAAAAAACACAAGTACTAGTTCTGTATATATTGTTTCCATTATTGCACATGATGAGTGTATTAAAATTTTGTATTCTGTAAAAAATATAAATTCATAAGTGTTGAATCATAGCCACCCATGGATATAGTCATCAACATTTAGAGTTTATAATAAACTTTCAATTGCTAATAATAGAATTATTATGACACTCTGGGTTCTGGCACTAACTATAGTTGCAGGTGTTCCACTAGACAACACAAAAGCTTAAAATGGATAATGTCTATAGTGGTGTCACAAATGTACTCTAATCTAACCCTCACCATAGGCACACAGTCTGTCTGTTTTCAAAGTTTTGGCAATGACGGAAACTGAACATTCACGGTGTGTCATCCATAGTCAAACCATTGTTAGTGCCTGAACCCAGTAATATTTATTTGATCTTCTGTTGTTTGTATTATAATCTAATGTTATAATGTAGTATAAGATATGAATTGTTATATTAAACTTTATATTCTTTTATGTGATAATATATTGTAACAGTTTCTTCACACTTATTCCCCTATCAAACAGATAGGGCATTCAAGTGCATTATCACCTGATATATGCAGAGCATAAAAAAGGAATGCTTACCAGTCACTTGGAGTCAGATATGATGTTACAAAGTTAAACATATTTTTATCCATTCTCTGTTATATTAGCAATTGTTAGAATGGAAATCTATATTAATTTTTCTTGCATTATAATGTAATAATGCATGTTTTAATGTTATATTACAGTATATGCAGGAACTACGTCAGTATGTTCGTCAACATTTCCACATGTTAGAATGTTCCTGTTTTATTCCTGCTCCTACCCAAATACCTAAAATTAAATATATCAAACAACTGAGGTAAGTCAGATTGATTTGAGCAAAATAGTTACCATGATTTTATTATCCTATTTTTGTGCTGGTTCCCAAGCTTCAAGAAAAACAGCTGAAAAGTACCCTCTTTAGCTCGACTGTTCTCTAAGAATTAGTAGAGCTATTGTAGTCAAGTATCGGTGTCGTCGTCGGCGTAACCACTTATGTTTAAGTTTTTGTAATACCTCAAATATTTTCAAAGTCCGTCAACATATGGCTTTAAAACTTTGCACACTTGTTCACTATCATGACCCCAACCTGTAGACAGGAGGAGGTAACTGTATCAAACATTTTGACAGAATTATACCCCTTTTTTTACTTAGAATTTACATGAAAGTTTTTGTAATACCTCAAATATTTTCAAAGTCCATTGATACATGGCTTTGAAACTTTGCACACATGTTCAACATTATGACCCAAACCTGTAGACAGGAGGAGGTAACTGTATCAAGCATTTTGACATTTAGCCCCTTTTTCCGACTTAGAATTTACATTAAAGTTTTGGTAATATCTCAAATATTTTCAAATTCCATTGACATATGGCTTTGAAACTTTGCACACTTGTTTACCATCATGACCCCAACCAGTAGACAGGAGGAGGTAACTCTATGAACATTTGGCAGAATAATTCCTCTTTTTCAACTTAGAATTTACATGAAAGTCTGCATACCACCTCAGATATTTTCATATTCTATTGACATCTGGCTTTGAAACAAGTTGAAATTTTATACTCTTCTTTGAGAGCATAATAGGACTTTCTCCAAGGCCTATAATTGTAACATATATATTGGATTTAAAGAAAAAATTTGCCCTTTTGTTAACTCCAAAAATTTTACATTATCAAGGCTCTTTTACTGTCAAGCACTAAGAATAGTCGAGGAGGGTTGCTGTCCTCCTGACAGCTCTTGTTTTTAGTAGATACGACTTTATCATTGTAATCAGTAAGGTTTCTTTTTTTATCACAGGTATTTTTTATTGTTAGTTTTTAGCTCACCTGTCACAAAGTGACAGGGTGAGCTTTTGTGATCGCTTTTCGTCCGTCCGTCCGTCGTCCGTAAACTTTTACTTTAAATGACATCTTCTCATAAACCACTAGGCCAATTTCATCCAAACTGCACAGGAATGTTCCTTTGGTGGTCACCTTTAAAAATTGTTCAAAGAATGTAATTCCATGCAGAACTCTGGTTGCCATGGCAACCGAAAGAAAAAACTTACAATATCTTCTTTTAAAAAACCCAAAGACCTAGAGCTTAGATATTTGGCATGAAACATCATCTAGTCAGTGTCTACCAAGTTAACTTTGTTCAAATAAAAGCCCTGGGGTCAAAATTGGCCCCGCCCCAGGGGGTCATTGATTTTCCCTATATGCATATAGTAAAACCTTAAAAAATCTTCTTTTAAAGAACCCAAAGAGCTACAGCTAAGATATTTAGCATGAAACATCCTCTAATGGGTGTCTACCAAGTTTGTTCAAATAAAAGCCCTGGGGTCAAAATTGGCCCGCCCCAGGGGGTCATTGATTTACCCTATATGCATATAGTAAAACCTTAAAAAATCTTCTTTTAAAAAACTCAAAGAGGTAGAGCTAAGATATTTGGCATGAAACATCTTCTAGTCAGTGTCTACCAAGTTTGTTCAAATAAAAGCCCTGGGGTCAAAATTGGCCCCGCCCCAGGGGGTCATTGATTTTCCCTGTATGCATATAGTAAAACCTTAAAAAATCTTCTTTTAAAGAACCCAAAGAGCTTGAGCTAAGATATTTAGCATGAAACATCCTCTAATGGGTGTCTACCAAGTTTGTTCAAATAAAAGCCCTGGGGTCAAAATTGGCTCCGCCCCAGGGGGTCATTGATTTACCCTATATGCATTATAGTAAAACCTTAAAAAATCTTCTTTTAAAAAACCCAAAGAGGTAGAGCTTAGATATTAATGGCATGAAACATCTTATTGTCAGTGTCTACCAAGTTTGTTCAAATAAAAGCCCTTGGGTCAAAATTGGCCCCGCCCCAGGGGGGGTCATTGATTTTCCCTATATGCATATAGTAAAACCTTAAAAAATCTTCTTTTAAAGAACCCAAAGAGCTAGAGCTAAGATATTTAGAATGAAACATCCTCTAATGGGTGTCTACCAAGTTTGTTCAAATAAAAGCAATGGGGTCAAATTTGGCCCCGCCCCAGGGGGTCATTGATTTACCCTATATGCATATAGTAAAAACTTAAAAATCTTCTTTTAAAAAACCCAAAGAGCTAGAGCTTAGCTATTAAGCATGAAACCTCTTCTAGTGGGTGTCTAACAAGTTTGTTCAAATAAAAGCCCTGGGGTCAAAGTTGGCCACGCCCCCAGGGGGTCATTGTTTTTCCTTTTATTGTATATAGTTAAAACATAAAAAATCTTCTTTTAAAAAATCTTAAAAGCTAGAGCTAAGATATTTAGCATGAAACATCTTCTAATGGGTGTCTACCATTTTTGTTAATTAAGGGCCCTGGGGTTAAAAAATTGGCCCGGCCCCGGGATCATTGATTTTCCTTTTATGTATATAGTAAAAACTGAAAAAATGTTCTGTTAAAAAGCCCAAAGAGATAGAGTTTAGATATTAAGCATGAATTATCTTCTAGTGAGTGTTTACTAAGTTTGTTCAAATAAAAGCCCTGGGGACAAAATTGGCCCGCACAGAGGGTGTGGGTCATTGTTTTTCACTATATGTGTTTAGTAAAAACTTAAAGATTTTCTTAGAGCTAGAGCTTAGATATTTATCATGAAACATCTTCAAATGGGAATCTACCAAGTTTGTTCAAATAAAAGCCCCTGGGTTAAAATTAGCCCTGCCCCGGGGGCCTATATACAGGTGAGCGATTTCAGGACCATCATGGCCCTCTTGTTTTTCTATTGTAGCTAAAATTAAGATGAGTTGGCATTTTTAGATATTTTATAATTTTTTCTCTTTTATCTAAATATTGAAAGAAATTTTAGACATTTTGAATAAAAATACTGATATAAAATTCAGCAAGTTAAACATTGATATATTACATTTATTACATACATTTATCACATAAACCGCAGCGCAGGAGTGTAATAAAGCCATTTAATAAAAAGAATATTACACTTGTGTAATAACACTTTGACATGACATCATTTGCGCTATATATAAAAATAGCTTTAAAGTGCGCTACTGTTAATGTTACACTATATACATGATATAGGCGCGTCAATAAAAATTGACACTTTTTAACAGTTTACCTTTCTTACCTTAAATATATGATAAATTGATAAATATTATATTTGTGTAAATTCAATATTTAATTTATTGAACTCGTTGAATAAAACAATATTATGCTCGCCAGAGGCTCGCATCATATGATTTTATTCAACTCATTCAATAAATTTAGTATTTAACCTACATTCATTCAATAATCCTCTATATATTTCAGGTGTCATTGTGGAGGAACATTTACAGAACATGCTGGTATGACAAATAAAAATGCAAACCAAATGCTTGAACAGTATATAGTACATAAAGGTATAATTGAACACTAAATTTAGCTAAATTTCTTAAATAGACCTGTCCAACTTCCATTTTGGAGCTATCCATTATCAATTGTTAGGGATATCTGTATAACAATTTACTAAAGTTAGCCTACAGTAAAGAAGCTGGTCAGTGCAGGCTGGCCTGGCTCTATACTGGTTGCTTAAAAGTTAGTCTGTTTTGGTTCAAGCAAGTTATGGGCTAAGATATAAAGATAGTGTACATTGTAAGGATTTTCAAATGTTCACATCTGAACATGTCTGTTTTGAAGAAAAAAGTCGAGCTATTATGATTGCTGCAGCATCATTATTAATGTTGTCATCATGCAATTACTTTTATGTAACCAATTATTCAAACATTGTAAAAAGTACCAATATAAACTTGATTTACCTGCTAATCATGAAATGTTGCAGTTGCAAGACAAGGGGCATAATTCTGAAACTTGGAATACTTGATTGACAATGCACTGTTGTTAAAGACTAGGCAATATTTTGAGGAGTCAATTTTCCCATGTCAACTTTAATATTGATACAAATTGGTTATTGATAGCTGTTGACCTTAACAGATGAGTATAAATATCACTAGCTGTGCTCTTGTTTATATGATTAAAACTAACATGCAAGAACTTTACCTTAAAATCATTTTGTAATAAAAGAAAAAACTACAGTTGACTCTCAATAAGTCAAAATCGCTTTACTCAAAATTCCGCGTTAGTCGAAGAATTTCTAAAGTCCCGTCAAATTTCCTTCTTTATCTTTGTATTTTAACTCCGCTTAGGTCAAATTTTGACTTACCGAGACTCCTGTTTAGTCGAAAAGAAAATTTGGTCCCGTCAATTAAAGTCCAACATATTTTCATCTCAATTAGTCGAAGTGTAAAAACAGCCGACTGGTCAAAGGTCGGCGACATCAAGTTGAGATGTTGTCACTCGTGATTCACACGTTTCATAGTTATTTTAATTGCCGGTCATCATGTATTATTATCACGTCGTGAAAGTGGCTTTAATCGGTTTCAGGACTTAATTGGTTTTAAAAGTTAGATAAGTAAATTAAGATTTAATTAATTTAATTGTACCAGCCTAGGTATTGATTTGTGTTTTCAACGTAAATGACATTTTTATAATTAATTTTCCGTCATATTGCATACATTAATGTGTACTTCCGGTTCACGATAGTTGCTACTTTCGTTTTCGTCCGATGATCAATTTACTTCAAACATTAGATATATTGTTGTTGAAATAAATGTGTTATTGTGCTTTTATTGTAATGAATTATCATGAGTGCGTATTAAAAACATGTGAATTACTGATGAATACTGACAAACTTGCATTTATGTCATTGCTACGAATGCTTGTGTTTATATTTCACTATTAATTTACATGTATTAAATTTTGAATAATATATTTTTGTTCATTTAAAATTTGTATTTGTAAGTGATTTACAGTCATTTCAACGGTTAAATATTGCAGCATTACCGCTATCAACAATAACAAACCTACTTCTTTGCACATTCAATCAGGTACATGTATATACATGTACGAATATCAACGTAATGGAGGCAGATCCACGTTACTCGAATTCCGTTTCTCTCGAAGTAAAATGCCCAGTCCCCTGAATTTCGAGTTATCGAGAGTCAACTGTACTTACTTTTGAAAAATATACTGTAAAGTGTAAAGTGATGTATTTTTTTTCCAACAGAATTTCAGAGGATTATTAATCGAAGAAAACTTGATGACCCCATTCCAGTAAGACTTCCACAAGTTCAATGGTCACGTGATAACTTAAGGAAAAAAGTCACTAATTCATTTGGCAAAATCAAGTTTGTTAATGTTGAACACGTAGGTGGAACTAAACCAGCAAAGGTGAATAATTGTTACAATTAAATTATTTCTATCTCATGTCGATTAAGGACATTGTCATTTAAGTTAAATATTTGGCTATATGAGTTAATGTAGTGCAGATATTTGGTTATATGAATTGATGTAGTACAAATATTTAGTTATATGAATTGATTTAGTGCAAATATTTGGTTATATGAATTAATGAAATTAAATATTTGGTTATATAAATGCATTCATCTAAAATATTTTATAAATTTCTTGAGGGTAAAATGGTTTCTCTGTAGAAGCAAAATTAAATAATATATACTTTATTTCATGTCCCTAACAGTATATTTTGACTTTATTTTCATTAATGATTATGGATCTCATTATTTTCGTGTTTGTTTCTTTATTTACCCAGTACATTAGAATGGCTGCTGATGACTCTGTAGAAGATTTGTTTGAACTGATGATCACATACTGGAGGATCAAGGAACCACAGCCTCCAAACCTTGTCATCTCTGTTGTGGGCGGAGCTAAAAACTTCAAACTGGATGGACGTATGAGAACTACTTTTTCAGCTGGACTTGTGAAGGTAAGTTAACTGAAAGATTATATAGAGGTGATTGATTACCTCTCTTTTATATTTAAACCTTATATACTTAACCTTATATTTTTTGATTAGCTCAATAGGTAGAGCGTTGGATTGTGAATTGTGAATACGGTGACCGGGGTTCGATTCCTAGATGGTGCAGGTCACTTGTTGTGATTGATCATGAATACCATTCTACCAGGTCTTTTCACTTGACCTGTGCTCTGGCATGTTCAGAAGTTAACAGTTTATTGCAAAAGTAAAGGCATTTAGTACTGGTAAACTTTTTGACAGCATGCCCAGAAACAATGTGGTGGCAGAACTGTACTCTGGTAAATTCAATGTGGCTTACTGCCATGATCTAGAGTGAAAACTACCAAAACCATCACCAATCACCATCATATAATTAACCTAACTCTGAGACAAAACGTACCATTTAAAAATGATGATAATGTTAAGAAATTATGATAATGTATTGTATATTTACAGGCAGCAAAGACAACATCTGCCTGGTTGATATCATCAGGTTTCAACATGGGAGTGATGAAGTCTGTAGGTCAGGCTGTAAATGAGGGCCAGTCATTCTGCTGGGATAATAATCGTATGGCCCATGTATTGAGGTGTATAGGTATTGCCCCCTGGGGATATGTTAGAGACAGAATGAATCTGATTGAGGCTGAAAATGGTGAGGTAAGAAGAACTATGACAGCTGTGATAAATCTGAAGGATTTAAAACTTTAGAACTGAAAGTACTTTTTTTAGGTTATTTAGTTGTTAAAGGGACTCCACTGAAGATTTTTGACATGGCAAGACTGAAATAATTTTTCAGGATTAATGTTCCGTTTGATGTACGTAGGCCTAGACCAATAAACTTTACAAATGCTTAATGCTCATATCGGCCTAAGAATAGCACAAAAACATGATTTTCAATTTATTTCTAAATATATTTTTAAATTATCTATTGCATATCTGTCTTTTTAAAATGCCCAAGCTGATTTTTGCAAGAAATTCAAATATAAATCAATTTAAATGTATATATAGATACTTGTGCATAGTGAACATATAAGTTTTTAGGCTTTTGAACCTCAGTGGAGTTCCTGTAACTTAGGAAAACACTTAGAATTGTAGTCAAATGGCTATTACAATTTGGTTAAAATCAAATATATAATATGCTGTCTTAGAAATGTAGTTTCCAGATCAAATATACATACATGTATATCATAGCTAAAAATTTCAGACACAATATGTTCAATCACTAGCCATTTCTGATAATGTGTTTTCTTTAAACTTTCTAAATTATTTTTAAATTTCATGTTTTGAATACTTCACGTTGACTATATTATGTTTGATATATTTCAGGGTAAATTCTGTGCCGAGTATAGAACAAGTAATGTTATACTGCACAATGAGCCCGTACCACTGAATGCTGACCACACTCACTTTATATTTGTTGACGATGGTTTCAGAAATAAGTATGGAGGAGTTGCGGCCATGCGATCTAAAATAGAACAAAAAATTTCACAACCAGAATCAGGTGAGACTATTTGCAATATATTAAATTATAGCTAAAAAACTCAGTCATTTAATTAGAATTTAGAGTCATATGTTGCAAATATTTAACATTTAAGGAAAATAAAATGGAGCTATAATGTTGTTTGTTTACCATTTTGTTAATGTCTATTGTTCCAGAAAATTATAATAGTATACATGTCTTGCCTCCAGAAATACTATAAGTTTTTGCAATACATCTTTCTAAAATTATAAACTGTTGCAATATACTTTAACATTGATTTAAAACTGGAACTATATAAATAATAGTGTGTTGGTCAGAATTTTGAGAAGCGGCTTGTGTTTTAAGTAGATTGAGTGCTGATTGCAACATTTTGTCACTGTTATAACACGTGTATTTTAGGAACAATTTTGGAAGTATAAGTAAAGGAACTCCTCCGGAAAAAAAATAACCCATCTCTAATGAAAGTATACAAATTTAATAAAGGATATGTTCTATATTTCAGCTGGAGGTCTAGGTATACCAGTTGTTCTGATTGTGGTAGAAGGAGGAACAGATGCTCTTGCTGATGCTAAAAGTTCTCTAGAACATCGTATACCTGTAGTTGTCTGTGCCGGAACTGGACGTGCTGCTGATATCCTTTCATACGCTTACTCTCATACTAAAACTACCTCAGCGTAAGTTTAACATACCAAAACTACCTCAGTGTAAGTTTAACAAACCAAAACTACCTCAGCATAAGTTTAACATACCAAAACTACCTTAGTGTAAGTTTAACATACCAAAACTACCTCAGCGTAAGTGTAACATACTAAAACTACTTTAATGTAAGTTAAACTTACCTCAATGAAAGTTAAAAAATATTAAAATTACCTCACTGAAAGTTAAACATACCAAAATACTTAAACTACCTCAACTGTCTGATAAAATCTATATGAAACAGGAACAACCAAACATTAATTTAATTTTATAATCAAACTTGAAATAAGCAATATTATTGTCATATTTATACATGCTTTTGTTTTGCTAGAACAAGTGATGTTGGGAGATTTGTACTTTTCGTTTCCTCATGAAGTCATGTATAAATGGCATCAGTCCTTCTAATAATTTTGCCCAGCCTGACCTTTCTTGAGAACTGAATCTGTGGCCAAGTGGTTAAGATTGTTGACGTCAAACCACTTGCCCCTCTTGGCTGTGGATTCAAATCCCGACATGTGAGGAAGCTATCCAGCTAGCTTACAAAACGTTGGTGGTTATACTCAGGTACTTGTTCATGCCTGAAATAATGCATGGAAGGGCACTTGAGGTTTTCCTCCACAGGTAAAGCTGGAAAGTTGTTATATGACCTATACTGTGTTGGTGCGGAAAAAAAGTACTGTTAAAAAACAGTGTCATTTACTGGAGTGGAAGAGTACACTTCATAATCAACTTTAACTGAATTTTTATGAATTGATGTTTTTAAAATATGAACAATTATAAAAGTGTAAAAGGATGAAAAGAACATAGCAAAAGAATACCATAAAAATCTAAATTTGGTTGGAAAATAAAATTGTATACAAATTTCAGTGGTGTACGTGAAATGTCTGAGAAGCACCAGGCTAAGTTAAAGGACAAGATATTTGAAGCTTATGGTAAAGCTTGGAAAGAGGAGGAAATTGATTCAAAAACTGATGCCATTAAAGACAATGTCAAAATTTGCTGCCAAAATGCAGACCTTGTAAGTAAAATATAATTTATACATATCAACCATTTTTCATAATTATACGCTGTATTGACTTTTATATGTCTTTGTACAAAGAAATGAAATTTTAACTAAAATGTCACCTCCAAGGGCAATTCATGAGAAATTGCAACTGCACAATAAACATATATGCAGATATATGCATAAGCATTATGAACAATATTGGTTAATACTATGTTTAAAAAAATACAATTTCTTTTTGGTTTTGGCAAGTTAGAATTTCTTGTACCTTGCAAGTAGAAAAACTTTTTAAATCATAGCACTGAAAAGGACATCTATCAATAACAGACAGTAATATAGCATTTCTTGGGCACTTAATAATTTATTCACAAGTTTGATTACATATACCATTGATTTTCTTCATTTTAGATGATTATATTCAACATGAATAAAGCTGAAGATTTAGACATGGCAATATTGTCGGTGTTGTTGAAGGCCCATGCTGGTGGTGACGAGAACCAGAGATTGACACAGTTAAAGCTAGCACTCACCTGGGATAGAGTTGACATCGCCCAGGAGGAAATATTCCGGGAAGATGTTCTATGGAGACAAGGTTTGATAAAATTGTTCTAAGCACATATTTTTACAAGTGTAACCTCCAGCTTTGTTTCTGGCATAAAAAAATTATTATTTGGAAGGTATAAAACAAATTAATGCTTACTAAGGAAAAAACTGTATTAAGAAGTGAAAATTTGATGGAAAGACTAAGCATTGGAGAAAGATTACTGATTGATTACAAAGAAAGGAAGATTAAGATATTGCAGCGTATAATAACAATTTCAAATTTTTTAAAAAATTATTATGTAATTAATGTTTAGATTTTTTTATCATTTTTTATCAGAAATGGAATAAATTTATGAAGCTAATACATGGGTTTTAATAGGTTCCTGCTTACCATTCACAGACAACTTTTCATAAGTTATAAAGTTATTATTAAAGTCATTCTGTTACTTAGTAAATCATTATTTTCAGGAAGTCTAGATGATATATTGACAGAAGCTATTGTTACAGACAAGGTGAAGTTTATGGAGCTCATTTTACAACAAGGTGTTATAATGAAAGAATATCTCACACTGGACAGGCTAGAACAACTCTACCTACTGGTTAATATATTTGACAGTTTCTTCAGTTGTTTTCATTGCTTGTAAAGTAACAAAAAATTAAATGATTGACAGAGATTTAAAGGAACTCCACTGAGGTTAAAAAGTCTTAAAACATAAAATTTGAATTTCTGACACAGATCAATTGGGACACTTAAAACAGAAAGGTATACAAAAGAAAATTAAGAAATATATTCAGAGAAGAAAATTGAATTTTGTGCTATTTGAGTGAAAAGCGTTTTCAATTTTGGGTCATTTTTTCACAACTAGAACAATTATTCTGGGAAAGTAAATTGAGCAAATGATCTGATATTAGCTATTGGTCTAGACCTACATCATATGGGTCACTAATCTTGAAAAATTATTTTCAGTTTGGTCATGTCAAAAAAACTAAGTGGAGTAACCTTTAACACTGACCTTGGTAAATTTGTGTAATGGATTTGCCTGATTTGGATTTAGAACAGTCCATTCAAAGGTTAATGGATTTCAATATCACTGAATATCACTGTACAAAAAATGAGCAGTATAGAGCCTGGTATGATTGCACAGATGTACAGGCTGGCCTGGGGTTGCAGAGACTAATATTCTCATTCCAGCAAGGTTAAATCCTGAATTACAAGTGTGAAAATTAATAACATCTTGGATGGAGAGGAAAAATATTTTATTACTTTCATGAAATTCTAAGAGTATGTGTGTGGTTTCACAAATAATTCACACTGGTAGGTAACAAGATGCTATATTTTTGTGCATATTTAACATTGTGTTTACATTCATGATGGTTAGAAAGAAGTTTAGCCTTCTTTGAACTGAACAATTGACTATTGGTTGTTGTAAACATTTGATGAAAATATGAACAAATTGATCAAGATTTGTCAAGTTAAATATTTCTATTAAATATATCGACAGAAATAAACTACAAATGTACATGCATGTGCACAATGATAATCTTGTTACTACTGTTTAAACTAGACTAGGTTAAGTTTGGCACTTATACCCGGTGTATGTTAGAAAGAAAACTAAAACTTGTTGCTTTTATTTCAGGTGCCTAAGCATCATCAGATAAATAAATTGATGTTTAAACTAACTGGTAAAACTGACATGAAGAGACAAAATGTTGTTAGCTTACTCTCCAACTTGTTAGACAGGTAATCTCTACAAAAACTTGAATAATTTGATGAATATTACTATTTTAATTGTTTAGTAACCTAAATTTGTACATACATGTACCTGATTGGGAGTAGAAATATGATAGTTTTATTGACTAGAACTTTAGTTACTCCCCTGATGTCTCCTTCAGTAGGGTCAATTGATTATGTTGGAAATTTTGTGAGCCATACAATGTAGGATGATGAAGTATTAAACTGAATTTAAAATGTTTTTAAGTGTTTATGCTTTTATTTATTTGGATATTGTTTTATTCGTTATGTTAATATTGAGCATTGGTTTGTACCAAGCATTAATCAGACCACTCTAGTATATCTGTAGTACTTATATCATTTAACAGAAGTTTATTGCATCACAGACACTATATATATCCTGAACAGCCGTAGTCTGCTTTTTAACTTCTCAGAATTAATATATTTATGCTAAAATCAACAAAATGGATAGTGAACAGTTATAAAATAAGAGAAGGAAATGTTAATTACACTAAATCAGGGAATGGAAGTAACCATAGACTAAATGACATGTCATGTTGGTTTTACCGGCCTAAATCTTGCCAGGGCCACCCCTCTTTTTTTTGTTGTTTACTACAAATGAAAAAATCCTTCCACAGCAATCAACAATACAAACAGGCTGAGACAAAGATAATGCAGCTATAATCTCCATATAATATGGCCTGTTATATCATATCCCATATGAAACACACTTGTATGTTATATGAGTTTTATTTTGTAACTTTATGAACATTGTTACAGGTACGTCCTGTATTTATTTTGTAACTATATGAACATTGTTACAGATACGTCCTGTATTTATTTTGTAACAATATGAACATTGTTACAGATATGACTGTATTTATTTTGTAACTATATGAACATTGTTACAGATATGACTGTATTTATTTTGTAACTATATGAACATTGTTACAGATATGACTGTATTTATTTTGTAACTATATGAACATTGTAACAGATATGACTGTATTTATTTTGTAACTATATGAACATTGTTACAGATACGTCCTGTATTTATTTTGTAACTATATGAACATTGTTACAGATACGTCCTGTATTTATTTTGTAACTATATGAACATTGTTACAGATACGTCCTGTATTTATTTTGTAACTATATGAACATTGTTACAGATACGTCCTGTATTTATTTTGTAACTATATGAACATTGTTACAGATACGTCCTGTATTTATTTTGTAACTATATGAACATTGTTACAGATATGATGATGAACAACAAATGGATCTGATGAACAATGATATGTTTGAAGAAGAGGATGAGGACTCTAAAACTACTAAATTTATGTTTGCCAGGCCTTATAAACATCTCCTTATATATGCTGTCTTGTTACACAGGTGAGATCTTTACAGTATTGTTTTTTTTTCATTTCTTTCGAACATTTAGTTATTGTCACCAAAATTTTTTAATTCAAATTGCATTAGATTGATATTTACAGAAAATGGTTAACAAAATATATACTTAATGCAAAGAAATTGATGAAATTAATTTCAGTTTATATTTATTTTAAAAATTAAGAGTGTTAAATGTAATTTTACCTCTCCAAACAAATTGAAGACGTATTTATACCGCCAGTATAATACTTGGCAAGCCTACACATCAGTGGTTGTGTTAGTAGATTTTACTCTGGATCACGGCAGTAAGCCGCATTGAATTAACCAGAGCACATTTCAGCCACCACATCGTTCCTGGGTAGACTATCAAGCAGTACTAGTTGCCTTCATTTTCCTAAAGAACTGATCACTTTTGTACATGCCAGCACAGACGTACAGTGTACATGACCATAGAAAGAACATCATGATCAATCAAAACCAAAGTGATCTGCCATTTGTCAGAATCAAATCTGGGTTCCAACTCTCTACCTATTAAGCTAACTGGACAGTTTAAACACATCAGTGCAGTCTGACCAGGTTTTATAATGTTGCGAAATTCTACACATGCCAGGTGAAGGTGAATAATTGATGTAATTTCTTAAATTTCAGACAATCTTTAGCAAAGTTTTGTTGGGAGATGGGAGATGAACCTGTCACTACAGCCGTGGCTGTTACACGACTATACTCTGCTATGATAAGACATATCACACGTGATGAATCTATTCTACGTGATACTATCATTGGCTATAAAAGGTAACAAAGATTTATTTTTATATTCCTTACTGCTTTTCTTTTGTTTATTTTGCTAATGAAGTATTTTTGTTTTCTGTACTAAATCTGAAATCATATGGACAGAAACAATAATTATTAATTGATGCAATATGTTATCTTTCATAATCTAAGAAGACCTTTAACACTTGAAGTAGTCCCTAGAAATATCATTTTTAGTAGTTTTGAAGCTATGTTACTTGCTGCGGCTCATGGATATAGAGTTTTGAAATGAGTGCATTGCAAAATGAAACATTCCTTTGAAAATAAATAAAACTTTAGGAAATAATTGTTTAACTTGCAGTAGTTAAAATGTTGCTGAAGCATGGTTTAAATTTATGAAATATTGAAAATTTCATATTTGTCTGTAATTAAGTCATATGAAATATAGGGCGTCCTTGGCCTAGTGGTTAAGGTCACGAACTTCAAACTACTTGCCCTTCAACTCTGTGGTTTTGAATCCCATTATATTTTTTTATGTGAGGAAGTTATCCACCTTGCTAATGGAACATCAGTGGTTCTACTCGGGTTTTGTTCATGCCCGAAACAATGCAAGCAGAGGCACCTGAAGTCTTTTTCTTTCAATATAATAATGTTGATACTATGCTGGCTAGTTGGCATTTATATGTTTGATGTTGTAGGGAGTTTGAGATGATGGCAGTGAATGTATTAAATGAGTGTCAGCAGAAAGATCCCAGTAAAGCTATGATGATTGTAGAGAGACATTCACCTGTCTGGAATGAAATGACCTGTCTACAGATAGCAGCAGCCTCTAATGATAGGGCAAGTATTATATTACATTTCTACTCTTATTTTGATACAGTAATAACTCTGAAAGGTGGACCCTCTGAAAACCTGAATCCTCTGAAAACTGGACTTTTAGCTAAGTCTGAACAGGGTATAGAGTTTAACTGTATCACATGTGTATTTTTATGGTGAGTGAACCATCAAGCAAAAACTTACTTATGCCTTATCCCAATAAATATCTCAAAGGACTTCTCCATTTTCAAATATGGACAAAACCATACATCACTATAAGGAATTTTTTTCTTAAAAAAAGTACTTACTGTATATTGATAAGTTCAAACCATGATCAGATTGCGTGGAATTTTAATATTTTTGATTACTCTGATAGCAAAGTTTGTGAAATTTCTTTGAGCTTTACAAGGAAAGTATTTAGTTTCCTAATTTTTATTAAAAGTTTTCTATATTCCATGCAGGTATTTTTGTCATCAGAAACTTGCATGGATTCAGTATCTACTACATGGAAACAGGGAATGACCTCTGGATGGAAATGTGTAAGTTTTACTTTCATTTATAGTGTAATGAACATAAGAAAAAAACAACAATAATAATATGAATATTAATAGCATCATTTTACAGCAGCAAAAAACATACATAAATTTCTAATTTGAACATTATTCATGGCATTCTTTCAGTTTCTTCTACATGAACTTTTTGTCAAATTAAAGTTGATTCTGTTTCGTAGATAGAACGTATATGAGTAGCTTGTATGCATATATCAAAAGAAAAAAAAAACTGTATTTTTGACATTGATTATTGTTGTTGGTGTTGCAGGTATTCCTGGCTATTCTGTGTCCTCCGTTGATCCCATTCATTATAGAGTTTGTACAAATAGGAAGAGAGTCGATGTCCTGGAACCAGAAAATACTTGGTTTTTATACAGCACCACTTGTCAAATTTGTAAATTACACAGTAAGTTATCCTACCTATTTGTGAGTATGGTAGGTATTGAAGAGAATGACATTAAAATTGATTTTCAGTTAAGTTGTATTATGGTTCTATTTATTAACATGTACACAAGACGTTCACTTGTAATATGAGCCGTGCCATGACAAAACTTACATAGTGCGTTTGCAACCAGCATGGATCCAGACCACCCTGCGCAGTCTGATCAGGATCCATGCTGTTAGCTAATAGATTCTCTACTTGTAATACTGCCATGCGAGCAGTTCCCGTACAGAAGCAGTACCCATATTTTTCATTTAAACGCTTGATTTTTATTTGCATTCTTCAAAAAATTCATTCCAAATCAAGCAGATGCATAAACGTGACAAAATCTAAGTGTCAGTTAGGCAGTATGTATAAAAGTCTCATTTTGAATCAATTTCACCTGTGCGTTGTCGAAACGTGACCTTGTTTTCTCTGGGGGAATCCGTCCTTGTGCGCATGCGCAAAAATACTGACACATGAGGCCTGTTAAAGGGTTTTCCACTGATCCTACCTGTTTACAGATAAGTAGGCAATGTGATGAAAACATGTTTAATTATCAGAACTTTGGCCAATATTACTATATTAAATAATTTTAGGGGTTTGAAATATCATGCATACAAGCATGCCATTGCATGTGAATGCGTTGGGGTAATGGTACTGGGTAATAGATACCAGCGTTTAGTCTACGCTCTTTTTCCTGAATTACATCTAGTTATCTCTTTGAAAATGCTCAGTTCAACAATTATAAATGAAAAATAGGTCCGATATAACAAACTTGTATAATTATAATGGGTTAAATTTTATGTACGGGAACTACTTCTCTTCATACAAAAAAATGGATGATTTCGGAACCCCATATGAGGACACATAACTAAGGGTTATTCTATGTTTAGAACATGATGGAATTTCCATGATTTGTGTGACAAGCTGAATATTAATGTGTAACAATCAAATTTTGGTGAGTGAGCGTAAAAAAAATAATGTTTAAGTTACTACGATTTTTGTACGGGAACTGCTCGCATGCCAGTAGGGTTTGTAGGGGAACAGCATGGATTCTGATCAGACTGTTCGGATGAGCAGGCTGGTCTGGATCCATGCTGGTTGCAAATGCACTTTGTTGGTTTTGTCATAGCGGCTCATTTATATATATAAGACAGTCAGACTATACAATATACAACATGTAATGATTATTATTGCTGATAACCAATTTTTGTCAAATGAGTTTGAGAATACAGTACAAACTGTGTAGAGCAGCACCCTGTGGGTGACCAAGAGATTGGTTGTTATAGATAGGTGCTCGCTAAAAAGAGGTTGAAATGTAAAGTGAAGTCATGGCTTGGTAGGAATTGATTCAGTTGTTGTAAACAGATTATTTGCTCTACAAAAGGTCGCTCTGCTGAGATTGCACTGTACATTATTTATTTAATTTTGTCCCATGGATTAAAATGTAGGGAATGGCCATGAACATTTATACACATTTAGGAAATAAGTTCAAGGACATGAATATTTGAATATTTCATACGATATTTAGATATTCACAAAAATGTTGATTTCTTGGAAAACCTAGGTGAGCAGTTAAAATTATTGTTTACAAAAGAGTATTGACTTCTATTTACATTTTTCCTTCTGGTCAGTCTTAGTGAAGACAGTTTTATTATATGATCTAAAAATAGCTGCAGTATCATTGTTCCGAAACAGTAGTGAGCAGAATAAGTAATAAAATCATTTCACTGCCTGCATTGGATTTTTCCAAGTCTGAAAATAGATTGAGACTCATATTCAATGACCATGCATCGTAGACTGTTAAGCATGCCTATTAAAAAAATATTGTTACTGCCGTTGATATCACATATTCAGTGGCTCACTAGTCAGTACTTGAATTCTATATATAGCTCTAAATATGTTATCATTTCTCATGATTGACATATTTGTTTGTTTCTTTTACAGTTGATGTACCTTGTGTTCGTTGCCCTGTATACATACATGTTGTTAGTAGACATACAACCTAAACCTGTAACCACTATAGAGATTATTTGTGTAGTCTGGATATTTACCTTCATAATAGACAACATTCATACAGTAAGTTATAAGTCAAGTTAAAGATATACTATGCTCATCCTTGAGTAAAATATTTTAATCACAGAAATTTATTGAAATCTTTGAAATGCTCACTGAACTTGTCTAATATGAATTAAAAAATGAATAAACTATGTATGAAAAGTATTACATGTCATCTAAAAATTGTCTTTTCTTAAGAATAACTGCCAGATTTTCTAATGACACTATATATTCATATTGTGACCACCCATAGTGTGTAGAATCATAAACATACATTATCTACTTTGTGTGAAGTCAAAACATGTTTATTTTATTTCATATTAACAAAGTGACTTTGTAGCAATTATCATTATTTTTTTATGTCATTTGAGCATGGGACTATAACATTAAAGTAAACAAATTATATATTGTCATTCTAATAAGGATAATGTCAATCTTACATGAGATCATGTGTTTAATAAACCATAATTAAAGGTAGTCAGTTAAAACAAACTAGAATCTGAAGTTGGCATTTTTCATTGATATAACGTTTTGAATCACATAGTAAAGTATACTTTTAAAAACACAAGATTTTTTTTAAAAGCGACATTTAAGAAATGAAATTTTACTTTTAACAAATTTTATTTTCTAAATTTCAGTTGATATTTTTCCCAGCCCCTACGTTTCAGTCGAAGATGCGTGACTTTTATGGTATAATGCATTACATGGATTGGTTTACATTCATCACAACTATGATAGGTTTTATTCTTCACTACATGGGCTTCTACAATGCTTGTAAAATCCTCTACTGTATTAATGCAGTGATATTTTATGTGGGGATCATGCAGTCATACAGGGCATTTGAAAATCTTGGTCCAAAACTGGTCATGATCAAAGGAATGGTGAGTTTTGCTATAGATGTTACTATTTCTGATGATTCAATATTTTTAACTGTGTTATCTAATGGAAAACCAGGTGGCTAGGAATTTAAATAAATTTCATTAGTTCGGCAATATCTTCTTACATTTATCAACAGATAGTTCGGCAATATCTCCTTACATTTATCAACAGATAGTTCGGCAATATCTCCTTACATTTATCAACAGATAGTTCGGCAATATCTCCTTACATTTATCAACAGATTTTTTAACAATGATTGAGATCCAGTTCTCTGGTGTTGACAGTCAGGATTTTGTGATTTTATTAGTTTAAGTAAAATTATGACTCTTTGTTATTTTTAATGTAATTTGGTTTTATCTGGTGTTTTGATTTTAAATTTCCTGTCATCTGCATATTGATAATCTAGCTTATTATAGTTTCTTGAATGGCCTGGAGTAAAAATTAAAAAAACAAAGCAATTAAGTGATACCTATGATGTCAAACAATTAAGAAATAGTTCTTGAAATGATTATGCATGTTAATTAACAATCTGTATACTCAATTGAGGTCTTTAATGTGGATATATTTTTAACCACTTTCCAACGTATATTCTGTATAGACCTCTACAAAGATATATAAAGGGGATTTTGAACTAGATAAAGAAATTCAATTAAAGTATGGTAATTAAAATTTCATGACTGCATGTTATAGTTTTACAGAGATATATCATCACCTTAGCGCAATAACAGGTTAACTCCTATTAAATTTAGAAGGACTTAACCCATTACTGCATTAAAGTGACGAATTATAGTTACTTTTATGCTGTTTGTTAATTGATATACAGAGGGTTTTTAGAAAAGTTTTGTCATGTTTATGGAAAGCTTATAAGTATATCTTTATTAGTAACAAAATTGTTTAATTTATATATTTATAGTTTGGAGAGCTGCGTTTATTCATTATGGTACTGTTGATATTCCTGCTGGCATATGGTATAGCACATCAGGGGTTGATGTACCACGACAGGTCACCTTCCTGGACTATATTGAAAGATGTTCTCTACTACCCATATTGGCAACTGTATGGTGAATTATTTCTTGAAGAAATTGAGAGTGAGTAATATTCCATGATATAATTCCCACCTTACATTATTATCAAGAATTAGTACAGATGTAAAATATGTTCCAATCAGATTGTCTATGAATCAAAACTGATTTTCCTTATTGTATAAATACTCCTACTGTGAAACATTTCAGGATTTTAACACAATTTTACATATATAATGTTCACAAAAGTAAGATTTGAAATTGTCCATTGCTTGCCTAGACGGCATGTAGCATAATTTATATTTCTGATGTAGCTGTTAAGTGTATTTTCTATAATTTTTGTCTGTACTTTTCATTAAAGTATATGCAAGTATAATAACTATGTTTAGTACACTTGTTAAGTACAAGTTTCTTGATTCTCTAAAGATTACCAATACTTTTGGTTCTCAATTGTGATGAAATATATCTTGCCATCTTTTTTTTGAATGTCAATTATTTTAAGAAACTAAACACTTTGTATCATTAGTATAAAGTTAAATAATCGGACAGTGAATAGTTTTCTTGGCTTTTATAATTCTTTTAAATCAGACCTGTCGTTTGCATTCATAAAGTAAATGAATACCAGCTTCTGTGTGGAAACATTTAATTGATTCTCAGTAATGCTGAATAGAAACAAAATTGCTATAAATATACATACCTAGAAAAATTAATTGACATGTGTCCAAGTTTGTAATTTTGCTTATTAAGTTGAAAATTATTCATCTTCTTTTATATGAGTTTTGTATGTAAAAGAACAATTCTATTGTAATTGATATTTTCCTACAGCTGATTCCTGTAAGCCTGGGTCATTAGACTGCAGAACTAGTCATTGGTTGGTACCAATCATTTTGGCAGCATATCTATTGGTTGGAAATATTCTGTTGCTTAACCTACTTATTGCTATATTCAGGTATGTTTAATTTTATAACATATTACTACTATATATGTGTATGTAGGTAAATTTTAGTTATACAGGTTACTGACAGGAGACAAGGGACAATGGATATCTATTATGTATATGAGCTAATTAAGGTGCTATATCACCCGTGTATACCCACTGTCAGCAACATTTATAACAGATTTATAATGTTGTAGATTGTTCTTTGTTCTCTTGTAAAACAAAAACTACAAAATAAACAGTGAATGAATATTAACTTTTTATTTTTCAATACCCAATTGGTGCCGCAGCAATTATGTCTTGTGTAATAGACATCCACAATATTAAAAGTTTGTTGTCTAAACATTGTTTTTATAATTATTAAAGAACAAAAACAGTATTATACTGAATATACAGTCATATCAACTGTTGTTGTCATCAAATGACTGCTAAAAAGGAAAAAATTGAATGCATGATGAGTAGAAAAAAAGATTATAGAGATGTTAGTCACTTTTAATTGTCTTATGTAAATGGACTACTCATAAACTTTAAGAGGCTGGAGCACTTTAGGGATAATGTTGGTATGGTATGTACAATTCAAATGTAGATATGTAAATTTTGTGTTTGTTTGACAGCAATGTGTTCCAGCAGATAGAGAAGAATTCGAAAGAGATCTGGAAGTATCATATGTATTTCCTGGTGATGGAGTATGACAAAAAACCGTTTCTTGTTGCACCTTTTAGTATCATTCCAATCTTCTTCCATGCAATAAGGTGGTTGTTCAGAAAATGCTGCTGCAAAAGATACATTACCAGTAAGTGTACTTTGGATATTCAATACTTTGAGTCCTTGCGGCCAATTGGTTATGGTCGTCAACTTTAATTTTCTTGCCATTCATTGCTGTGTATGGAAAGGGTCAGTGACACTCAACTGTCCAATATAGGTACAAGTAATACATGTATTGGATTTTACAAAGTGCATTATATAGGAAATATATATTGGTCAGTCTTGTGGAACTTATTTGAATGTAGTGATTGGTTGTTAATGAGTATGGATAGAATAAAGTTTAACATTGCAATTATTGTAGCCTTTCATTTATTGTTACAGTATATTGTGTAAATTTAATGATAAAAAAAATCAACAACAGCATGCAAATTTACATGGCCTTTACTTATACTTGACAAATAATGATGCAGTAACACGAAGAATGTATTGAAGTGATTTAATTATTGCAATGTTTTTAATTTACTAAGTTAGATTATCAGGTTGCAGTTAATTTCAAGAAAATTGGTTGTTAAATCTGATAATTGCCCATAATTGATGAATTATTCTGCAGTTTTGTACAAAGACATGATGAATAATGTAATATTTTCAGGACAAAAACTTGGTCGAAGACATCTGGAATATTTACAATTGTTTGAGAAGGAGATGATGACAAATTATCTACGTCGAGCAAAGGCAAGCGAGCACGAGAATCTAGAGATGACAGTAAAGAACCTGGAGAAACGTGTAGATGAGCTGACTAGACTTATAGAAGATGAGGTGATTGGTGACCACATGCCGGACCCCATGAACTTTGTTGTAGCAGAGTATGATACTTTATATCCTATGTATATACCCTGTATCTTAAAATGTTTTAATCTTTATCTCACAAAATATTGTTAAAAAGTTTTCAGATCTTGTACAATCAAGTTATTTTCATGTTCCTAGAGAATTCCAGTAAAGTGGTTTTTTGCAGACTCTGTTTGATAGAGTCTTTACATGAGAGATAATATATAACCTTCCGGTTTTAAATAGTAAATCTTTTGCCCTGTATATGCTCGTCCTTATAACTTAGTTATTGATTATTGTTACTGATTTCTTGGCCTCAATGTACCTTTAAGATTCATTCCTAATGAATAAAACTGTAAGATACATGTAGCAAACTATGATCTATTCCAGTGATGGCCAATCATTTTTATGGAAGAGGGGTGAATCTATGACAGAGTCTTTCATGCAACAAACATGGCCGGTAGTTAGTGATGTGTTAGCTGTAAAAGACATGGTTGCCAACACGGAGATCCCACAACAATATATGAGGCCAATGGTAAATAGTTTTATTCTTAGCTGTTTTATTGTGTGTGTTTGTTTTTGTTTAAAAGATTTTTTGTTCTGGAACATTAAGTTAATCAATATGTCATCATAAAATTGTTTTATCAAAACGATTTAATAAAACTACGTTTTATCAATTCATTCATAATTGTATTGTTAAAGCAGCATGCCTTCTGGTATATGCTTACCTTCACAAAAATAAATAAATAAAAACAATGAAGTGTTTTAAAAAGAAAAATATTTTCAAGTGAACAAATAAAATAATTTGCACATTGTAAACATTACTACTCTCCAACCGGTAACTATTTACTTTTGTTAATTTTTTTTCCTTCATGTAAATGAATATCTACAATTGAGAGTTGCCGACAAACAGTACATAATTTTTTATTTTTACTGTAATATAATTTAAGAAAATATGATGCAAAAAATATTATTTTAATATTTTTTTCATATAAATGGAAGGAGGTAACACATTTCATTAGTTATATAATATTTTCCAGTAGTTGTCTTGTAGTACTATTTAGAGTAGATTTTTTTACATATTTTTATTATTTTTGTAAGCTTTATATATCTGCAACATAGAACATTTGTTGTAATTTCATGATTTACCTTAGTTTCATAAACATATTACCTTTGCTAGTTGCATAGTGAGGAGATTTAGTACACAGTGTCCCTTATTATCTTGTCAATAACCACTTAACAACCAGTTGCAAATTAAAAAAAATTATATTTGAAATGAAAAAATTAGCATATCACCTACTTTCAATGTTAACAGTTAAAGTTACTAGTTCCCTGAATTTTCTTATTTTTAGCTCGACTATTCGATAAGAATAAGTAGAGCTATTGCAGTCACCCGAGCGTCGGCGTCCGCGTCCGCGTCGGCGTAACCACTTATGTTAAAGTTTTTGTAATAGTTCAAATATTTTCAAAGTCCATAGACATATGGCTTTGAAACTTTGCACACTTGTTCACCATTATGACCCCAACCTGTAGACAGGAGGAGGTAACTCTATCAAGCATTTTGACAGAATTATGCCCCTTTTTCGACTTAGAATTTACGTTAAAGTTTTTGTAATAGTTCAAATATTTTCAAAGTCCATTGACATATGGCTTTGAAACTTTGCACACTTGTTCACCATCATGACCCCAACCTGTAGACAATAGGAGGTAACTCTATCAAGCATTTTGACAGAATTATGCCCCTTTTTCGACTTAGAATTTACGTTAAAGTTTTTGTAATAGTTCAAATATTTTCAAAGTCCATTGACATATGGCTTTGAAACTTTGCACACTTGTTCACCATCATGACCCCAACCTGTAAACAGGAGGAGGTAACTCTATCAAGCATTTTGACAGAATTATGCCCCTTTTTCGACTTAGAATTTACGTTAAAGTTTTTGTAATAGTTCAAATATTTTCAAAGTCCATTGACATATGGCTTTGAAACTTTGCACACTTGTTCACCATCATGACCCCAACCTGTAAACAGGAGGAGGTAACTGTATCAAGCATTTTTTAGCTCGACTATTCGATAAGAATAAGTAGAGCTATTGCAGTCACCCGAGCGTCGGCGTCGGCGTAACCACTTATGTTAAAGTTTTTGTAATAGTTCAAATATTTTCAAAGTCCATTGACATATGGCTTTGAAACTTTGCACACTTGTTCACCATCATGACCCCAACCTGTAGACAGGAGGAGGTAACTCTATCAAGCATTTTGACAGAATTATGCCCCTTTTTAGCTCGACTATTCGATAAGAATAAGTAGAGCTATTGTAGTCACCCGAGCGTCGGCGTCGGCGTTGGTGTCCGCGTCGGCGTAACCACTTATGTTAAAGTTTTTGTAATAGTTCAAATATTTTCAAAGTCCATTGACATATGGCTTTGAAACTTGGCACACTTGTTCACCATCATGACCCCAACCTGTAGACAGGAGGAGGTAACTGTATCAAGCATTTTGACAGAATTATGCCCCTTTTTCGACTTAGAATTTACGTTAAAGTTTTTGTAATAGTTCAAATATTTTCAAAGTCCATTGACGTATGGCTTTGAAACTTTGCACACTTGTTCACCATCATGACCCCAACCTGTAGACAGGAGGAGGTAACTGTATCAAGCATTTTGACAGAATTATGCCCCTTTTTCGACTTAGAATTTACGTTAAAGTTTTTGTAACAGTTCAAATATTTTCAAAGTCCATTGACATATGGCTTTGAAACTTTGAACACTTGTTCACCATCATGACCCCAACCTGTAAACAGGAGGAGGTAACTGTATCAAGCATTTTGACAGAATTATGCTCCTTTTTCGACTTAGAATTTACGTTAGAGTTTTTGTAATAGTTCAAATATTTTCAAAGTCCATTGACATATGGCTTTGAAACTTTGCACACTTGTTCACCATCATTACCCCAACCTGTAAACAGGAGGAGGTAATTGTATCAAGCATTTTTTCTTACTATCAAGCACTAAGAATAGTCGAGCGTTGCTGTCCTACCGACAGCTCCTGTTCGACTTAGAATTTACGTTAAAGTTTTTGTAATAGTTCAAATATTTTCAAAGTCCATTGACATATGGCTTTGAAACTTTGCACACTTGTTCAACATCATGACCCCAACCTGTAAACAGGAGGAGGTAACTCTATCAAGCATTTTGACAGAATTATGCCCCTTTTTCGACTTAGAATTTACGTTAAAGTTTTTGTAATAGTTCAAATATTTTCAAAGTCCATTGACATAATTATGGCTTTGAAACTTTGCACACTTGTTCAACATCATGACCCCAACCTGTAAACAGGAGGAGGTAACTCTATCAAGCATTTTGACAGAATTATGCCCCTTTTTCGACTTAGAATTTACGTTAAAGTTTTTGTAATAGTTCAAATATTTTCAAAGTCCATTGACATATGGCTTTGAAACTTTGCACACTTGTTCAACATCATGACCACAACCTGTAAACAGGAGGAGGTAACTCTATCAAGCATTTTGACAGAATTATGCCCCTTTTTCGACATAGAATTTATGTTAAAGTTTTTGTAATAGTTCAAATATTTTCAAAGTCCATTGACATATGGCTTTGAAACTTTGCACACTTGTTCACCATCATGACCCCAACCTGTTAACAGGAGGAGGTAACTGTATCAAGCATTTTTTTTACTATCAAGCACTAAGAATAGTCGAGCGTTGCTGTCCTACTGACAGCTCTTGTTTTACTATCAAGCACTAAGAATAGTCGAGCGTTGCTGTCCTACCGACAGCTCTTGTTTTATTATCCATCCATATACAGTCTTTCCTGGCTTTTTAGCTCGACTATTCGATAAGAATAAGTAGAGCTATTGTAGTCACCCGAGCGTCGGCGTAACCACTTATGTTAAAGTTTTTGTAATAGTTCAAATATTTCAAAGTCCATTGACATATGGCTTTGAAACTTTGCACACTTGTTCACCATCATGACCCCAACCTGTAGACAGGAGGAGGTAACTCTATCAAGCATTTTGACAAAATTATTCCCCTTTTTCAACTTAGAATTTACGTTAAAGTTTTTGTAATAGTTCAAATATTTTCAAAGTCCATTGACATATGGCTTTGAAACTTTGCACACTTGTTCACCATCATGACCCCAACCTGTAGACAGGAGGAGGTAACTCTATCAAGCATTTTGACAGAATTATGCCCCTTTTTTGACTTAGAATTTACGTTAAAGTTTTTGTAATAGTTCAAATATTTTCAAAGTCCATTGACATATGGCTTTGAAACTTTGCACACTTGTTCACCATCATGACCCCAACCTGTAGACAGGAGGAGGTAACTCTATCAAGCATTTTGACAGAATTATGCCCCTTTTTTGACTTAGAATTTACGTTAAAGTTTTTGTAATAGTTCAAATATTTTCAAAGTCCATTGACATATGGCTTTGAAACTTTGCACACTTGTTCACCATCATGACCCTAACCTGTAAACAGGAGGAGGTAACTGTATAAAGCATTTTCTTTTACTATCAAGCACTAAGAATAGTCGAGCGTTGCTGTCCTACCGACAGCTCTTGTTACTACTAGTTGTATTTCGTTATTGAAATTCCTTAAATTTTAATGGAAATTCTCAAGATTCAAAGCTGGGCAAATCTATGACACAAATTAAACAGGTGAACTGAAATGCAGGCTGGTATCAAAAATGATGAGCATTTACCACCAGGGTAGAGTCAGGCTATCATGCTCATTTTGTCATCTTAGTGCAATAACTGCTTAACGTCTATCAAATTGAGAAGGACTTAACTCGTTATTGCACTAAGGCAACAATTTGTGCAGTCTTTACAGGCTCTATACTATTTATACTATTGGTACATGTAGTTCAATATTTGTATTTTGATATTGAAATCCCTTTAATTAACAACTGACATACAACATTTGAAAAAAGGACATTTCATTATAGAAGTTCAGCAGATTAAGGGTTATGCCTTCATTTATTTGCTAAGAATGTTTACAGATTAGTCATCATTATATAGATTTTATTATATTTTAATATATATACATGGACATATTATCAATGTTGTATTGTTCTTCATATTAGATGAGAAGCATTGGATTATTTACAAAGAAGAAGGGAGTATGTGAATATGTTGTAAATTTGTGTAGTTACATTCTAGTTTAGTGCATGATACCTAGTTAAGAACAACTTTACACCCCTTCCTGACAATAATATCTTCCTAGCTAAGTTGTTAAATACTTTTTTGTTACTTATGATATGTTTTAATGACACATCTTATTTTAATATCAAGTACTATACTTTGATTTTAGTTCCTGTAACTACCTTTTCTGTTCCTGTATGTTAATTGCTTTCATTTTCATGATGGGGAAATGCATGAAATCTTTGTTAAATGTACAAATTTACAGAAGCCTTACCAACCCTCATAATAATTTCTCTGTTACTTTTATTTCCTATAGTTTTACTAATCAATTTTGAATATTGTTTTGAGCCAAATGAAATATTTTCAACAAATGAATAAGGTCAGTGATAGACATGCTTAGCGCAATTGGTCTTTCAAAGAGTCAGAAATATTAGATATAATAAAGAACACTTGTTTAACACAAATATGATATATACATGTATGACATTTAACAATAAGATTTAATATCTTATCATATGAGAAAAAGATAGACAAAAAGAAGAATGCCAAAGAATGATATCTTTGTTTAAAATGTTAAGAAAATATTAAAGAAACCTTCTTGATCTTTTATCTATTTTTTTTTCAGATGAGAAATAAATTCTCTATTTCTTGATATCCCTTATACAAATTATAAATGTACATTTTGTGTTTAGTTTCAGGTAGCACATGGTATGTTTATATGTCATATGAGCGGCAAGCAATTTAGATTTTGGATGATTTTTCTAAAATTAAAAAACACTTTCATTATTATTTATCTTTTTTCAGTTACGGTCTGGGTCAGGGTTGTTTGTTTTACCAGCAAAGATGCCAGCAAATCTGGTAGCTAGTACTGATAGTAAAGGTGACAATGTAAGTAAAGATACAGAAACTGTTACCATGGAAACTAGTGAAAACAAACTTGTCGGTGATACTGATAATGTGCCAAATGTAAACATTGAGGAAAAGAAAGAAAGTAAGACTAAAACTGAGTCATTAGAAGCCACTACTGGAAAAGTAACTGCTGAAGTAAATCAAGGTGTTGAAAGTGCTACAGATACTCTTACTGAAAAAGAAATAAAGAAGCTTGAAAAAGCTAAAAGAAAGGAAGAGAGACGTAAAAGGAAAGAAGAAAAGAAAGCTAAAAGAGAGAAAAGTAAAGAAAGAGAGGGAGAACAAAGTAGAGACACTGATAATGTTAATGATCCTAAAAGTGATAATGTTGTAATAAATGATGTGAATCAGCCACAGAAGACAAATGGTTCAACAAAATCAAGAGTATCATTTCATTTGGAAGACGCAATAGTAAAACCTGGAGGTGATAGAGACATCCGTCCAAAAACCGCCCCACTTAATGCACGATCTCCAGAGATTGCTAACCAGTTTGAGCTTCTTGAAAGAAATGGGACACAGAACATGGACGATCAGTGGAATATTGAAGCGGAGAAACTGGAAACTTCTAGTTCAAGACGAGCCTGGACACCACACCAGGGCAGGGTTAGTGATAGTGAGGAAGAAATACAGGAAAGAAAAATCACGGTAGATAAATTTTTTATAAATTTGTTGTTTAATTTTTAAATCTCCTGTGTTTTCAGTAAGAAAATCAAGGCAGATAAACTCAAAGATGTCTGTAACAACTGAAGTGTTCAGGAAAATAGTAGTTTATGTTAACTTTAAGGTCACTACATGTAGTTCACAGCTTAAAATTTACAGTATATTAAGATACTCTAATATTATACTGTAATACATTATTGCACTTTGATATGTATTTGCCACATGTTGAATTGATATAATAATGATTCGATAATAAAGGTTTTACAAAAAAATTCATTGTGACTCGCATATGATTCTAAGTTTGATGTTCATTTCAATTTCAATTACTTTCTCTAGAACAGACTTTTTAATGTGTATAAATGTATACATAACTTTGCTATGATATAAATTATCTAATAATATATTTAAACTTCCATTTATTACTTTAGTTTGATTAAGGTAAGATATGGATAGTTCATTTTTGTTAACATTAACATTAACATTTGCTGTACCTAATATAATTTATTTTTAGAATGTCAAAATATTTGTTGTGTTAACTTATTTACCATGATACATAACAGTCGGGCCAATGTCAAAAACAAAAACTTTTGCTTTCTAATCAATATTGTGTTTCACACTGTAATTTTATATCATGCTCTTATATTTTACTAATAAAACTTGTAATTTAGCTTTTAGATAGATTTTAGTCAAATAGAAAGATAAAATTTTCATGAAGATTTTTCTATGGAACATTGTAATGGGTCTACTTTTATAGAAATAATGCAAGGATAGATACCCAAGGTCTTCCTCCACCAGTAAAGCTTGAAACTTGCTATATGACCTTTAAAGTATTGGTGTAACATAAAAAAAAAGTCAAGAAAAAAAATCTTAAAAGTAACAATATTCAGCCATGGAATAACCGATAGTTTTTCAATGTCACATTGAGTTAACACAGTTCACTAGAGCACAAAAGTTTGCAATATTTTTGGATTACCATCACTTACATCAAGCTGCTTATTCTACAGTACAGTATGGAACAGAATTAATGCATTTATTCTATCTTGCTTGATGACATTGGAACTTGCATTATGCTTAATTCCATCTTGCTTGATGACATTGGAACTTGCATTATGCTTGATTCCATCTTGCTTGATGACATTGGGACTTGCATTATGCTTAATTCTATCTTGCTACATGACATTAGAACTTGCATTATGCTTGATTACATCTTGCTTTATGATATTTAAACTTTGCATTATGCTGGGTTCCATTTTTCATTATTTCATTCAAACATTTCGTAGTGACCAATTCTTTCATTGAGTGATGACTATTAAACTGGAACAAGCCATTTAAAATACTAAAATGTTAACGTCATATACCTTTATGTATAAGCTACCTTTCTTCATGCTCTATACAAACCATTTACGGTTTAGTTTTTTTGTATTACTTTTATGTAGAAGTCATTTTAAAATTGACTTTTTTTTGTTCCCTGATAGATTTTGTTAAAATCTGACTTATTTGATTTATAGCTCGCATGGCGTGATTACTATTAGCTTTCGCTTATATCCATTATTGCTTAATAAAGCTCGGTGTCTGAGGCTTTGTGGATCATGTTTGATCATCTTACATTATGATAAACAATTTAAACTATGTGTAGCGATTTGTGAACTGTTAAGGGGCGAGAACTCTGTTATCGATATCAACGGAATTTTTCCACGATTCGCCTATCATCGGCATTTTCTGTATAGATGCTGAGTACATGTATATATAAATACGTACTAAGCGCTTAATACATAAATTGCAGTTGAAAGAATATAAATACAAGTAGTAAAGGATTATGTAATATAATTTTATATATGTTTACAGTCTAATAGAAAAAATATGTTCGTAAACAGTTATTCAATGGGACAGTTACACGTACAGTGGCGGATTCAGGCCCTGGCTTAAGGGCTGCACCTACCCCCAAATATACGATCATGAGCTGGGATGGACTATATACGTGTCAGTTTCATGCTATAGTCTTCTTAGTGTAATCCCTTACCAAAACATATTATGCTTTCATCCAGTTGTTAAGCACCTGCCTATAGGTACTGCGCGAAGGTCTTTATCTAATGAAAGGCCTTTTAACTTAATAAATGTCTCAGAATCACTAATAGTGGCGAATAGGTATGTAACACATTAAGATATACATGTATAATGAGGAAAGAAGAAAGTTGTTTAACTTAAAACATGTGCATAGTCAATCACAAATGAGCCGCGTCACGACAAAACCAACATAATGGGTTTGCGACCAGCATGGATCCAGACCAGCCTGCGCATCCGCACAGTCTGATCAGGATCCATGCTGTTCGCTATCGGTTTTTCTACTTGTAAAAGAGTTGGAAAGCGAACAGCGTGGATCCTGATCAGACTGTGCGGACGCGCAGGCTGCTCTGGATCCATGCTGGTCGCAAACCCATTATGTTGGTTTTGTCGTGACGCGGCTCAAATGTTGGGCATATGTGTGTCTGATTATAGATCAGACATCCCGCACACACCACCACATTCACATACATTTGTGCTTAATGATATACTATGCACATCTTTCAGTAACATATTTTTATCACAGAAAATTATTGAAATATATAAAATTCTTACTAAATATGTTTTATTTAAATAAAAACACATACACATAATGTAAAGGAATCTGCTTTCCTTATTACGGGTCAAGAAAAGTTGTGTCTGTCTTTAAAAGAAACTTCCATATATTTTTTGTAATAACACTATACATGTATATTCATACTGCCCACTTACAGTGTAAAGGATTCAAAGCATAATATTTGTGTGAAGCCAAATTATATTTATTTTATTTTACAGAAAAAAAAATCAAGTTTGTGCTGTACTAATTAAGTCGTGGCCACCATTTACTAAGTCGTTTAAGTCGTGGGAACTAGATAACTATGTCGTGCAGACGAGATAATTAAATCAGATTACACCATGATTTTCTAAACTTAGAAAATTTCTGTTTAAAGATTTCCGTGCAACATTAATCTTTGAAAATACTGAAGTGTTCACTTTGAACTTGATACAGGTCTTTAGGATCAGAAGGCCCATAAATCAGACATTAAGTTATAGCCCTTTGTTGGGACAATTCTATGATAGAATTGGTCATTTTGTACGTACAACGGCCTGTTATCATTGTTTATACCATAACTTGAGAGGGACTTAGTCCTGGTTTATTTTATTGGGTAGGGACATTGCCCATGGACAGTAGATATCCTATAAGGATGTATGAGGTCACGGGTCAGATAAACATGACACTTCATGTAAAATCCTTGTCTGATGAATGATTTAGAAAGAATAAGCCGTAGTTTTTATAACCTAAAAAGATCAGTAGATGACACCTAATAATTTTTAGGCAATTTGGTCAGTAATCAGGGTCACAATGACGCTAAATCTTTGACCAATCAATAACTTGTATAAATGGCACTTTTACGGACAGGAGAAGTAGGAAAGAAGTTCGCTTTCCTTGTTAGGAAAATTCATATAAATAGTGTAATTTGATTGGTTATATTAACTCGTTCGCACGACTTAACTTTCTCGTGGCCACGACTAAACTTTCTCGTGGCCACGACATAGTAACTTGTTCCAACGACTTATTTATCTCGTGGCCACGACTTAGTAACTCGTGGCCACGACTTAGTCATCTCGTTACCACGACTTAATTATCTCGTGGCCATGACTAAGTAACTCGTGGCCACAACATAGTATCTCGTTCCCACGACTTAACCCGTTGCCACGACACAGTATCTCGTGCGCACGAGATAAATAAAAACACACACATGTCACCTTTGTCCCACCGTAAGTTTGAGCATAGTAAATCTTAAAATTCAATTTCACTATTGCTCATACGACTATCACACACGCTCAAAAAGAAGTTTAAACAATTGTATAAGAGGTGAGTTGCCACTTGTAGGATGAGTTATAAGAGAAATCTATAACATTTTTTTTCCACATGCAAAAACACGCACTTTTCGTCTGTCGCATCATGTTCTCTTGTTTTTCAGTAAATTTTTCCTTTTCATGTCAGGCTCCAACTAACACTGTTCTGTATACGCCCCTGTATAAAGGGGACGTAACTTTGTTTTACTCCACGTGCCAAAATACGGGATCATCCAGAAAATAACGGGATGTACAGACAAAGCGACACCTGCTGTCATAATATGAACACAAATTATTGCAACTCGCATTATGCTTACTGCTAACTGCTTAGTGCGTACTGTCACATGCGACTATAATATCGCTATCGTTGTCATCTTCGTTGTCGATGCGCAGTGATCATGTATTGCATTATATTTGTAATCAGTGAATATATTGAAGCATATGAATGCTAAGACACATCAAATTCGCCAATTATTGTTCAAAATTAATAAGTTATTGTGACATAATGTCGACAATATAAGTGGCAGATTTATAGCAAATTAAAGGTACTGATAGAAACTTACCATGTTATATCAAGAACAAGCAAAGAATATTATCTTAAACACCAAACATAATACGTTGTCCTTAATAAAAGATGCAATTAAACATATAGCATATTAAAATATGTGAGTTTGATGGTTAAGTAGGGAACTAATAAGGTTGCAATTACATGAAAGTGCATTCAGTAATCATAAGGCATGATTGAATCCAGCAAAACGCAGGTTTTCATTGTCATAAAGACGTATAGAAGCAAGCATAATGTAAGTCCCAATACCATAAAGCAAGATGGAATAAATGCACTAATTCTGTTCCATATACAGCCTCTGTTAAGCAATACTCTGAGAGAGACAAAGTTTTTAGTTTTTGCTAAGTGTTGCTATTGAAAGCATAATTTTATTTTAAAATCTTATTTTAGAAAGAATTGATTCTGTTGTTGAGAACAGGTCATTGTTGTATTTACAGATGTCAGCTTAGCAGAGGCTGCATTGTATATTTATCAATTTTGTTTTGTTAAATTTAAGTTATTCCATCTTATTCTATTTGAAAATTTTATCTTTGTTATTTTAAATGATGCATGTAAAAATGTTGGCAATACATTTTGCAGTTAGATAAGTGAAGATGTAAGATTAATCATTCTATAATGCTTTTTTGCCAAAGTTAAAGTTTTAAATTATATTGAAACACTTAACAGCCACAAATATTAATTAGTCTGTAAACTAAAAGAATAAGTTAGAACTTGTGTTGTCAATTCTAACAAACTCAAAGGAAAATTATGTTTAAAAAAATAAGATGAAATATAAAATAGATATGACACAGTTCCAATACAGAGATATTAAAGTACAGGGAAATTTGGTATACCAATGACTTCTTGTGTATGCTGTATCAAAGGTTTCTTGTAACAAAGAATAAGTTTTTTACCGACAACTTTATATAGCAAACAAAACTGTATGCCACATTTAGCTAATGTACATGATGAGCAGACAGATAAAACTGTGGTATATTTTATTATCGTAATTTTTATGTTGTAATAAAAAGATCTAAGTCAAAACTTTTGAATTATATACATACTGAGGTTCTGACAATATATTAATGATAATTCAATACTCTTTTTGAAACCAATTTCATATAATCTATTGTTTATTTTGAAATTGTTCATTTTTTAAATTCTGCTTTATATAATGTAGGTTCTAACAATATGATGTAGGATCCTACATGTAATACTTGTTACCATCTATTTTAAGTTGAGGCACCTACCATCTTTGTGCCTTTACCAAATCTGGAAACAAAGTGATCCCTCGGAAGCAATTATCACAACAAAATTACAAGAGAATTGCAGACTCGGTTTGATTGAGTCTGAACATGAGGGATAATGAACAAGTGCAACATCCCTCACACCCCCTAGCACAGGCTTGAGCGGTACTCAATTCTCAACACTTAATAGTGCTGGCATCAATGATCTCGAAGGACCGCAAAAATATAACAACACTGAAGTGAAGTAACGGGCAACTTTTAAGTTTGCTGTGTGGATAGCTGTAATAATTATGGTGTTATAGAAACATTTAATGGTACAATCTTTAGCTATAATTTTTTTATGAAAACTCTTTCTTTTCAGAGAAAACGATTCTCTAAAGATTTTGGAGGATATTCGTCCAGTGATGAAGCTATGTCATTAAGAGATAAACTTCATAACAGAATGAAGAAGAAGAAATCAAAGAAAAGCCGATTATTTATAGAAGATAGTGATATGTAACATACATGTACATGTTAGAATGAGACAGTAGTTCATTATTCTCTTGTATTTATTATGTTTTCTTTAAATTAGGGATATACTTTTCTCCAGTCTAAAATCTAATTTATTTGTTATGAAATTAAAAAATATCAACACCAAAACCAGGAGGAACCAGACAATAAACATACTATTTGCTGGTCTGTAGAGACCAGGAGAGACTCCGGGGAATTATCGATAGGAGACCGGTGAATAGTATATCCCTCAAAATTATCTGTGATAGAGTATAAAATGATATTGATTCTTAAAACTTAAACAGGGTTTATATTTTAGCTCACCTTTCACAAAGTGACATGGTGAGCTTTTGTGATCGCTTTTCGTCCGTCCACCCGTCCGTCCGTCCGTCTGTAAACTTTTGAGCTTTAAAGAAAAGCAGTATCCTCAGTAGAGACCGCGTTAGTGGCAATTTGAGCCAAGAGCTTCGACAGAGAATGGCTTCCTTTGTATTTCGAACTTTTAAAAAATTTGTGTGCAAAGTGAAGTTTAAGTTTCCAAGTCAGTAACTGCTGTTGTGGCGCAGTGTTCAACGAAAGAGAAAGAACTGAGAAAAGTATCTGTCTTTTTAAAAAGCCCAATATGCTATTTGGCTTGAGGAAGGATGAGTTTTGGCATGAAACAGTTCAGCCTAGTGCCCAGTGTCTTACCAATGTTTGTGTTCAAGGTAGAATGTCGCCGTGGCTGTTAGGAATTGTCCCGCCCGCAGTGTGGTAACATTGATGTGGTCCTGTGGATTGTTATAGTAGTGAGGGAAAGGGAAGCTTAAATGTATTTTCGTTAGTAAAACCTCAAGTATGGGTTAGTCTGAAATGGTTTTGCATAAAGCATCATTCTAGTTGTTTGGTTGTTGTTTGTGGGTTTGGGTGGTGTTTGTTTGTTTTGTGTTTTTTTTTTTGTGTTTTGTTTTGTTTTTGGTGTTGTGTTTTGGTTGTGTTTTGGTGTGTGGTGTGTGTGTGGTTGTTTGTGTTGTGGTTTGGTTTTTGTTTGTGTGGTGGTTGTGTTGGGGTTGTTGTTGTTGTGGTTGTGTGGTGTGGGGGGTGGTGTGTGGTTTTTGTGGTTTTGGGTTTTTTTGTCGTGGTTGTTTTGTGGTTTTTGGTGGGGGGGGGGGGGGGTGGGGGGGTTTTTTTTTTTTGTTTTTTGGTTTTTTTTTGTGGTGTCGTTACCAGAGTTTGTTGCCAAATCAAGTGCGCCTGGGGTCAAAATTGGCCTCGCCCTGGGGGGAGGGGGTCATTGATTTTCCTTATTTTTATATAGTAAAAACTTTAAAAATCTTCTTTTAAAAACCCCAAATAGCTAGAGCTTAGATATTAAGCATGAAACATCTTCTAGTGAATTTCTACCAAGTTTGTTCAAATAAATGCCTTAGGATAAAAATTGGCTCATTATTTTGTAGAAAGTAAAAACTTAAAAAATCTTCTTTTAAAAAACCAAAAGAGCTAGAGTTTAGATACTAAGCATGAAATATTTTCTAGTTAGTGTCTACCAAGTTTGTTTAAATAAAAGCCCTGGTGTCAAAATTGGCCCCTCCCGGGTGGGGGGTGTCATTGTTTTTTCCTATATGTGTATAGTTAAAAACTTTAAAAAATCTGCTCATAAAAACCCCCAAGAGTTAAAGCTTAGATATTTATCATGAAACATCATCTAATGGCTGTCTACCAAGTTTGTTCAAATAAAAGTCCCTGGTTTAAATTTGGCATTGGCCCAGGGGCCTATATACAGGTGAGCGATTTCAGGGCCATCATGGCCCTCTTGTTAATATTGTTGTTTTTTTACCTGCTTCTAAAGTGGGGGCATATAGATTTGCCCTTGTCCGTCTGTCATGCTGTTGTCCCTGTAGACAGACAAGACAATAGGGTGTGGGTCATTTGTGTCATGTGAACACATTTCTAGTTTACTTTCTATTTTTTCTATAAATGTAAAAATTTAACATGTTAAAAAATTGCTCATCTTTGTTTCCGTCCAGGATCTTTTATAATGCAGTTCATATATTTATTATATAATTTTTACCTGATTATATTCATTTAATGAATTTTTCTTAAACTATATTTATTTATTGAATTTTTTTTTAAAACTTGTTGCAATGCTGTTTACTTGCAAGTTGTTTCTCTTTTACTTCAAAATTTAACCTTTTAGTCACTTTAAAACAATCATTTTCCATTTAATTTTTATTAGTAAAGTATGTTAGAATGAATTGAATGGTAAATCACTGTGCACCATTTTATAACCAGTCAGACCTGGGTAAAATAAAATATCCTGTTTTATTTAAATATATACATATATATCTTATGAATTTTAGTGTGAAGTGAAGCACAAAAGAATAACATGTAATTAGAATTTCATTACAATAGTGAATGAGTATTGTTAACAAATGAATGAACATGAGTTATTATTCATTTTTAGCTCCATTGTTTCAAAGAAAAGGTCAAGCTATTAGGATTGCTTCATCATTGTTGTTATTTGGTCATTGCCATGCAAAAACTTTAATGTAGCCCATTATTCATTTTTAAAGTGATCAACATGAAACTTGGAATTCTTGTTTATCTTGACAAGGTGCAGCTGTTAGGCAAGGGACATAATTCTGAAAGCTATATGTTTAGAGTTGTGCCCATTTTTAACTTTTATTTGGTCAAAGGTGTTTATTTTAGCAAACTTGCATTGTTCTTGTATCAATTTTTTTGTGATATATTTGTAATTACATGTTTTCATTATTATTACTATGGTATTTTTTTAGTGTTGTACATGTATTTTATACATTTTTACTTTGTTAGCCTACTGTGATATATAGTTAAGATATATACTCAGGTGTTGTTTATTTTTAACTATCACTTTCATGGAAAAAATTTATTGATTGTCTTGTATTTATACTTTGATATGTAAGTGACAAAAAGATTATTTCTTGCAGAATGTGTAAAAATTTTACTTTGAATGTAAATAATCAACATGCAGTATAAATTTATAGCACATTTTTAAGCTTGTAATGTATGTTGTATGTTTTCTGTGTGGAATCTTAATCACAATGGAGATGTTACCTATAATTTGAAAACTTAAATGAATTTTAATGATTTGTTTTATAAATACATGTAAATCTTAAGTGTTATTTGACTGACCATTTCTTATGTGACATGAGGAAATGTGGGTTGTGTTTACATAGAAAGTCCTATGTAAACACAACACCTGAGACAGTTTTGTGCTTCAAAGAAAATGTCTTGTGTTATGACTCCATCTAATACTGAATAGCTACAAAGATAAACATATTGTGGGTTGAAGCGAGTGCTATTGTATATATTAACTTATTTAAGCAGAACAAATTTAATTAAAGTCTAATTTCTTTATCTTAAGATATAAATGTTTATTGAAATGGTCCTAAAATAGGCCTCAAGTTGTATGTCATCTGGTGTTTTAAGTGCTATAATATAATGGTCCGATTGATTACTACTGCTGTATTGTAAGGTATGGATTTTTGCAGTATATTCTGTGTTATCCTTTTTAAATGGATTGTAATCCATTCATAATAACCTCATTTCATATTTTCACTTTAAAGTACCATTCAGTTGTAAATAAAATTACTGTGCCATTATCTAGAGAGATGTTGTATTTTTTACATTTAAACAAAAATTAAGATATAAAAGATAATTTCATTATGATTGAATATATTAATAATCTAAACATATAAAACGTCCAAATATTTCTGTCCAAGTTATTCAAAAAAGAATAAGGAAAAGATATTTGTTGATTATAATGTAAAATATAGACCTCTGTCTTATAACTGGTCAGTCTTATAAGTGAGTTAATGTAACATTTCATGTTGATTTGACATGACTGTTTTAGATGTTTAACAAAATTGTATTCATATATTAAATGTGTGTCACTTGTTGTCCTCATATGAGCAGTGATTATGACTTACCTATGTCACCAGTGTTAAACCTGCCCTGTCTTAATTTATAATTTCATCTGGCCAGATTTATACTGTCTGCTGAAATATTAAAACATCTTGGAAATAACACAATAAAAGTTCCCATAAGTCAGAAGAAGGCCAAGTTTATTTAAGACAAACATTTGGCCAGGGTACTTGTAATGGATTTATATAATTATTTTATGATAGTGCACATTTGTAACATTGTTTTTCACTGGATAATTGTGACATTTATAAAGTTTTATATTCATGGCTGCTGTCAATTTATGAAGAAATCTATTTTTCCCTCTGAAAAAGAAGTTTCCTGTATTATGAATTAGTTAAATGATTCTTGACAGGTTATATGACCATATATAACCGGTTGTTTGCAATATAATCCTCGCCTAGTGACTTGGGTTATATTTCCAAACAATTGTTTTTATAGGGCCATATAACCTGTCAAATATCTAAAATGAATTAAGAATACTTAATTATAATTATTATTATATAATGAATTATAACATCAATTCATAACATACAATATACATGTATATGTGAATTATTGTTTATACATGTATAATGTATCAGTTACTGTTTGATATTATAAAAATAGACAATATCAGCAAGATTCTGTTAGAAACTTGTGATGGCATTTATTTGATTAAAAAATACTTTGGCTTTAAACTGTTGTAACTTTTGATTTGAAATTTAAAAGTTTAATTGAAAATTTTTAAAATTTTTACACAAAAAAAATTTGGGTTTTCCTTAAAGGGAAAACCCAAATTTCAAATAGTTTTAAAAAAGAAATATTGTCTTTATTTTTTGTTGTTTTTTTTAAGTATAAATTGACAAAAAAGATTTTTCAGGCTAACCAGTGGGGTTTTGGGTTGGGTCCCAAAATTACTATACACATTTTTTTACACTGGTCAAGTGTTTTTTTCTTTTTTTTCCCACTAATTTTTTCCTGGTTTATATCAAGAAAGGTTAAATATAGTACAGTTTTTGTTTTTTCTGTCTGTTTTTTAGGTCAAAAAAGGGTTTACATCAATTTAAAAATTAACCAATAGCGGGTCCTGTTTTAAACCTTTGTTAAATTTATATTTTTGTTTAATTTTCCACTTGACCTATGTTTTCTTGAAATATTAGCTTCCATTAAAAAAAGATTAACATTATAGCTTCGGAGGGGAAATATTGTACATTTCACAGTGTAGCCTTCTATAATTTAACAAATGGATATTAACCAATCTTATTACACTAGCGTGAAAGGACCAAACATAGAATTTGCAACTTGATTTCATCTACATACAAAAATATTCATGATGTAATTGGGTTTTCTTTTTTATTTCCTTTCTTTAAAAAATAAAACACATTTTTTTTGTGAATTTTTATTTCTTTTGATATGATATTAAGAGAACAAATTTGAAAACGAGACAAAGTTTGGATTTATTTCGCTCATTATTTAATTTGATTTAAAACAATTTTGCCAGTAAAAGGGTTACACAAGGGCCACACTTCTGTAGTTTTAAACATTATTTGAAATTAAAAATTTATAAAAAACATGAAATGAAAACAATGTATGTGTCATTACTCCATAGTTTTCATTTCTCTGTCACATGCATATACAAAGTTTACCCAATTTTTCCCGTCTTTCCATATGTTCATCATATGTTTTTAATACAAATGGATAAAAAAACTTTTCTAGTGTGTTGTAAAAATTTAAGTGCAATTTTGTCTAAATGCTAAACGCTTATTTCTGCCAATTGTAAAACCCAAAAATTCACATCTCAACAATTTGAAAATACATATCAAAATGTACCTGAAGAAAATGAAAATCTATTGAATATGTGAAACACCAAGTTACTGTAATTTGCTTAATTAGATGTTTTGTTATGAGTGCATTTATTATTTCTGTATGTGCAGATATTTATAGAAAATAATAGTAATTAGAATTGTTTAGTTGATTTAAAAAGAAACAATCATTTTAAACATTTAAACAAAAAATTGTTGAATTTGTTTTCAAAGGAATCTTTTGTTATTTTTGGTTTTTTGTGTATATTTATCTGTTTATTTTTTATTATAATGTAATTTTACTCTGTCATTTTCAGCTCCATTTGTTCAAAGGAAATTTGAAGCTACATGAATTGTCATGACCATCAGCATTGTTTAATTCTTTCCTTTTTGGTAAAATTTTCATTATGATCCTTAACTTCAACATTTAACAAAACTTTATATGTAAATGCAACTCAAGCTCTACCCACCAAAACCGTAATAAGATCATAAGGTGAAATGTCAAATTCACTTTGATAATAACAAAAGAATAATCAAACTGGCCATTTCAGCAAAATACATTTACCTAGAAACTTGGTACTTTGTATAACCATATCCATGTTCAGGTCAAAAGGTCAGGTCATGCTTGTATGTCATGTGAAAAGATTAAACTGGCAATTAAATCAAAGTGCATTGACCTAGGGAATTCATATTTTTTATGTAAATGGACATTGATGAGTTCTTACTATATATTCATATTCAGGTAAAAAGATAACTGTAATAACAAAACAGGAAAGTAGGATATTCAAGTGTACCTTTATTAGTTCTGCCTGGAGCATTAAAGTGCATTGACTTAAAAACTTCACACTTTTTATATAGATTTATCGTTAGGATTTCAACACGCCACAACATTTTTTACGGTGAAAAGGGTATAGATATCTGGGAACATTAAGGAAGATAACATACATATATAACATTTTCTCTCTCAGAATTTGTTGAGTTTACTCTCAATCAGGGAGAAAAGTGGAACGTGCAGCTCATTAGAGAGGTTTTGAAGATTGAAATAGCCATAAACCCAACTAAAATGTTTCATGATATTGTCATCAGACTGCTGTGTATTCCTGAGTTAAAATATACAAAATGTTTTTTTTTTTATTAACGCAATCACAGAAACTGAATAACTCTTATTTTAAATGTATATAACCAATTATAAATACTCTGTTATCCTTATACATTGTTTTTGTAGTGATTTTTAATTTTGATGATATGTTAACTAATTGTTGTTTTTTTTAACCCAAAATTTTCAATTTGCGAATCTTTGTTTTTAATAAAAAAAATACAATTAAAAAGTTTGTTTTTTCTTTTTGATATCAAAAATATTTTTCAAGTTTTCTTTATTAGGTATTTTCGGGATATCGTTTAAAAATTTATCAAGTTCGATGAAACAGTCGAAGATAAACGAAAGCCTAATAGTTTTAAATAAAATAAAAATGCAAAGATGTTATATGGCGTAATTACGCGAATCAAAGACTGCAAGCCACCTTAAATTGACAAGTACCAAAGAGTTAGTTTATGACAAGAAGTTTGCATTATTACCGCGCAAATTGAATGATAGTTATTGTAAATGTATAATATATTATTCTATACCTTTTGATTTGTGTTATTATGCCTTTCAATTCGCGTTATAACGCCTATATTTGCGTTACTTCGCCTTAATTTGCGTTGCTACGCCGTTTTCGCGTTATTACGCCTTTTGATTCACGTAATAACGCCTTTATTCGCGTTATAACGCCTTTGCATTTTTATTTTATTTGACACTATTATGCTTTCGTAAAGATCTGTATGGATATATCAAATAATTTTTTCGGTAAAACAGTAGATTGCAAAAACCATATTTCGTGTACATTTCAATAAAAAAAATTGATTACAAAAAAAGATGCTTATTTGTTCCTTTTTTAGGATGGGTACATTTTTAAGGGATTCTTTGGGAAACAGTATTTTTTTTTAGCAAAAAAAAAATAGGCCTTTTTTTAGGGAAAGGGGGGATATGTTATTTATTTTTACAAAACGTTAAAAAAACTTATGAGCCCAAAAATTTACGAGTTCAGTAACCCTTTTCCCCTTCCAAAATTTCTTCGGGTTTTTTAGCCATTGTTCCCTTTTAAAAAAGTAAAATTTTTGGATGTTTGGATTAAATTTTAATTGTCAAAAAAATGTTTATATTTGGGCTTTTAGTAGGAAATATTTTGTGTATAATTAGAGGTAAATTTTTCATATTATAACCCCGACTAAATTAGCAATGTAAAAATATTACCGGTGGGTTTTCTCGGGGGGATACCAAACCAGGTTAATATAAACTCGAGTTTAGGAGTTTGCAGGACTGTAAATAAATTATCTTGACCTTACTATAAGAATAGACAAAGTACCGCTAAGGGAATCATGGGAAATTATATTGATATATAATGGTGGCTAGTAGAAAGCGATGGTGCTAAGTCAAGTCATGGATGTTAACTAATGATTTCAGTGTATTTATTTATTTGATACATTCTTTTATCTTGTTAATCAAATAATATCTCGTATCGGAATTTCTTAATTTGTATAGATATATTTCATTGACTTCAGGTGATTATTTTCTTTCATCTCCATATTTTCTATGTTTAATTAACATTAGTACAGCAATAAAATGGTCTAATTGAAATACGCGCTTATGCAGATGAGGTCAAAGTGTTGATTGCACGTGTTGTTGAATTAAGAACATAATAAAAATTCAAATGAGAATAATCAAAATGGTTAAATTGAATATAATCATCATTGATGGCCGTTGCATGACGTATATAGATGGGAGTCATTTACAGGGTAACTATCTTGTATTGATGATGTATATTTTCACATCAAGGAAGAATAAAACAGCTGTAAAAATAGAATGAAGTGATTTTTGTGTATCTGATAAGCCTGACCTTTATAAACAGTTGCAATATCTCAGAAAAAATTGATATCTTTAAGAATGTTTACATTCGCGCACATATATTTCACATGAACGGTATTGATAGTACGGTATAGAATGTGCAGAGCTGTTCAATATCATCATGGAATGATACATCTATAGATTTTGGAATTTTATTATGAAATGAAAACAAACGAGTTCTGAGGATGTCTAAAAGTCTGCTAGATCCAGCGACGAACGAGTCTGTGTTTACCTTCTTATCAGAATTCAATAGACCGTGGCAAGGTAACTATAATCATTTACATATTTGTTATATAACAATATATCAATATAGCTTTTTAAATTGTACTTGAAGTGCTTCGTCTGGTAACAAAGAGTTAAAGAAAATACCCTTTCTGCCTGCAACATTTCCAATAAAATAAAATAATAATAATAATAATAACAACATTGTTTGATTTTATTAACCTGTCAATTCCATACTGATTATACGGTCAATGCACAGAATATATTAATATTCGATAAATGTTCGGTAAATTCCGTGAGATTTACGCAGTAAGATGTGATTAAATTCATCTGGTTTCTATGCATTAGCTACACTGACCGTTATAGCGCAATAGGGTAAACTACGTGTATATAATTTCTAAATGTCCTACGTGTTGTAAGATCGAGACAGCGTATGACCAGGCATTTTTCTTATTCATAACTATTTTCAATATTTTTGAAGTTAGGTTGTTCTGTCTGTTTTTAATAGGTTTTGCACTTCTTTGTAAATACTTTTGCATATAACATTGTTAAAGAATTAATATTCAAAATTCATTCGGATTAAGATCAGTAAATGTCATTTCAGTGCCGTAAAATACAATACAAAACATGACAATTCAGTGTTTCTTAGTTGTTCCACAGTATTGAAAATTCCGAAAGAGCTTGACCATTTTGATTATAATACGAGGGATGTCCAAAAAAATTGTGCACTGCAGTTATTGTCGTGAGAGTTATTAATATAAACAAATGAATTTTATATCTCTTGAAAGAGAAATCTGTCTCAAATAAGAAGACAAAAGAAAAAGCCAGGTAACCGACGTGTCGTGTAAAAGAATGATCATTGAGTTATCTTAGTAACGTAATACCGGCGCACGGCAAAAAACTGGGTTAGTTCATTACTGTAATTGTGTTAATTGTTTGTTGCTTATAAAGTGGTAATTGCTTTTTATGTTAAAATTTGTTTTACTGAGGAATGATTGATGCAAAGTATTGTGTAGTTTTTATTGTTTTTATGCAACGTACATGTAACATATTCCACCAATGCAGGAATATATTGGGCCTGACCGGTTGTCATCGTCTACCGACTCTCTCCCTTTTCTGCCGTTTGTGCCATTTAAAAACCAGCCTTCGTGACACTGAACTTGTCCCGCTTGCCCTTTTAAGTTCTTTGTAGGTATCTGTTGGTGTTTTACCAATATTTGCACCAAATTTAATGATCGTCCGTATTTTCAGACGTTTAGCGACTGAAATTTTCACGTAATTACATAACTGACGATCACGCACAAATGTTTGTTTACGACTGTTTCAATAGGGCAAATAATGTCATATTTTCTAGTGACGTTAGGAATACGTACACACACTTTTCCATGAATTTTAACGTTAATATGTAGTGTTTACAGAATACCGTGATGCATCAAATTAATGAACTAACCCAATTTTTTGCCGTGCGCCGGTATTACGTTACCAAGGTAACTGTATAACGATTCGTTTTCACGACATGCCGGTTACCAATTTTTTTCTTTTGTTTTCTTATTTGAGACATATCTCCCCTTCAAGTGATATATATAATTAATGTTTTTCTAACAATAACTCTCACGGCAATAACTGCAGTGCACGAATTTTTTGGACAACCCTCGTATACTTAAAAATAATGAAAAAATAAGTCTTAAAATAAGTGACGTCAAAAAAGAATGTCAAAAGAGGGGATCGTACCTCGGACCTCTCATACAATAAGTAATCACTTAACCGACTTTGCTATTGCGGATATCTACATTTAGCTAGTGGGAGTTTTCCAAACGTAAGTTATATACTCCATATTAATTCTCGTAATATAAACGGACAAAACCGAAGTGGGATCGAATATTTAAATGGGTGCTATAATGTATTCATAATTGACAGGTTAATAAAATCAGACTATATATTCAGTGAAATTCCGAATAAGACTACTAAAAACACAGAGAATGACAATTATTTTATTGTTGTTATAAATAGATAAATTCTATATAAAATATTCAATATATAAGCACTAAATGCAAGTAACCGCTTTTTTTAAATTTAGACAATGCTTTTTAAAACAAAATTATTACATTTAAAACACGTATATTCAGTGTTAAGATCGTCTTTTTTAGCCATTCAAAACCACTTAAGGATGATAAAACATTCCTTTTTGACAATTGAAGTTTTCAAAATAAATTTTGTGTAATAAAATATCTGCAGTTGATAATACTTTTTTGTTATTCTTTGCGTACTGTACAGTTCATCATAAATTAACTTGGAAAAGAATTGAATTTGCCTCTTGCCGTGGGCAATCGTATAAAATGTATCAGTTTTGTTAATCTGTATCAAAATATCAGATTTAATTAATATATTTGTTTTATGCGTATATCACATTTACCTATAGGATATGTATCAATTTTAGCTCTAGATTTGTTTTACCATCTGTCAAACATCAGTATCTGCTCCACGTCAGATAACTGACATGTATTTATTGTCCTTAAGAAAGTTAAAAAAAGTACGTACTTTATTAACATCTGGAAACACAGTGATCCCTCGGAAGCATAAATCACAACAAAATTACATAAGTATTGCAGGATCGATTTTATTGAGTCTGTACATGAGGGATAATGAAAAAGTGCAACATCCCTCACGCCCCCTAGCACCGGCTTGAGTGGTACTCATTTCTCAACACTCAATAGTGCTGGCAAAATATAAGGATTTACGAATTATTTGTCCTATTGCTTTATCAATTTGAAGTGGGTAATTTTTATATCAAAGTTGTAAGAATATTAGGTTATTATACATTACATTGTATAATTAAGTACAAAAATCTCAAACTATATTGGACGAGGTGCTAGCCGAGTTTAAACAGGTTTTGCAGTTATGTGCAAGTCCAATAGGATCAGTGTTGTTCTCAACCATGTTTAATGACCTCTTTATTTTTTGACATTTTGACACAACATTGTCATTTCAATTACAATAAGGATTTGATATAGGCTTTTGGACTCTCAAAAAAATGAAAACGAGGCTAGATAGGGTGAGATATGGATTTGATATGAACCTTTTGGACTCTGGAAACGAAAACGAGGCTAATCCAAAAATGATCTATATTGGAACATCATGGGGTGCAAATGCTGAAAGTGCATTGGTTATTATTCATAAGGTTTGAAATATAAATCATTACAAGTGATATGAATTTGTAACGCTTGATATATGTAAACATGAATGTTTAATATATTGAGATAGGGAGTCTACTCATCTATGATAGCATATTTTGCACATTTGTTTACAGACTAATTAAAGAAATGTAAATTGTGAATGACTAGACAAAAGTCAGGTCAAAACGCTTTGTTTGAACTATATAGAGAGGGCATTTTGTACAAAGTTGTAAGAAGTAAAATAGTATTCCAGGTGGAATCCGACTTGTCAATCTACATTTGTATTTGTTAAAGGTACTTGAAATCGTAATGTAAACATTCTGGAGATAAACATTCTGGAGATAAACATTCTGGGGATAATGTTCAACATACAAACTTATAATGCCAGTAACATTTGATCAAAAGAAGTAATAAAGGATACAATAGATAAAAAATGCAAATTTAATTTACAAAATGATTCACTCGCGCACACGTACATTACTCTTGGTATGTTTTTGCTTTGTTGAGTTTTAAGCCTAAGGTCCTTATAAGTTAAATCTGAGCACTATGATCATTAGAACGACGACACAAGACGAGCTACATAATGGCACCTGATAGCGTTGCATTGATAAATAGCTTTTGCATGTTTCTGTTAAATGTTTTCAAGGTTAAGGTGAATAATGACTTGAATATTAATGTTTTGCAGGTCAGACTGTCATAGAAGTAATTATTTTGTCGTTGATATTTGTGGCGGGAATGACTGGTAACATAATGGTAATATCATGTTTAATTATGATATTTTATTTCTATATTTTTTTTCGAAATGATCTATAAGCCGCAACAATGATGCACCATTTAAAGATATACTAGGAGTCCCAGTACTTATATTTAAATTCTTGTACATATGTTTTGTTTTTTCAAACATAAGAGAAACGCTGAAAAAAATTTGTTTGCACGTTCGACTTTTCGCTCTTTCGCTTTTTTTTTATCAATAACCATTGTCAATTTTTTTCTGAAATTAAGCCCAAAAATATGTGCATGAATTTACTATTGCAGGTCCTTGCAGCTATTATTAGAAACAAGAAGCTGCAGACAGTAACAAATTTTTTGATTTGTAACCTAGCAACCACCGACATATTGTTTGCAAGTGGCATTCCATTTATCGCTGTAACCCGGGTAACACAACATTGGATTCTTGGCGAGTTCGTTTGCAAATTCGTGACATATATGCAGTTTGTGTCGGGAGTGTGTTCTATTGTAACAATGGTTATGATCAGTGTAGAACGTTTTATATGTATTTGCCTAGTAAATAAATATAAAATACAAAAACGAGACGTGGTCTTCATCATCGCCGGGATATGGTGCCTGTCTGCTGCGTTTCCGGTTCCTGTTGCCCTATCACAGACTGTGCGGACAATTCTTATAGTAGACAAGTCTTTTAAGTTTTGTGGCGTTCAGTGGTCAGATGACTTTCACGCCGAGGTATATTTAGGTTTCATGGTGTCGTTTTTCTTTTTTATCCCATTAATTGTTATCTCAGGATTCTATTTAAGGATTTGGAACGTGGTGAAATCTTCAGATTCTCGAACACAAGGCGTCAACGGAAGATCTAAAAATTCAATAAGAAAACAAGTTCGGCTTGTTAAAATGTTTTGTTCAATAGTAATATTGTTCGTGTTGATGTGGTTGCCATTTTTCATCGTAAGTTTTCTTGGTGTACATTACAAACAGATAACATCAACACATTTTACAATCACGCTAATTCTCGCGCTAGCGAACACGTGCCAGAACCCAGTTATATACGGGTACTTTAACCATCGTTTACGAGAGGAGTTCCGAATCATGTGTTGTAACAGATTCAAAGGACTGGGCGTTGGCACACAGTCTGCTTATGTTGTTCAAGGGACAGAACTAGGCAGTGTTTGCAATAACTCTTCTACGGTATAGAGAGCATAATCTTATTAAGATAAATGACAAAAATTCTAAGTACTGAGCATTTTTAGCCAAAATGTGTTTCATTAAAATCACATGAATCACGAAACTGTTCCTTGTATTCTGAGAAACTATATAATGAGGAGACATTGGGAGGAGTTTACATGGAGCTAGTATGTTTATACAGGCATTGATTTAAATAAAACTGTCTTTAGAATCATTATTGACTAAGAGGTTTACTGATGATGATTGAATACTTTGAAGTCAGTGCTATATTGGGGACATAAGACATTGTTGGAGTTTCCCCTTGAACAAACGTAATAAAACTATGTCTGCGATTTTCAACCATTTGTTTTTGATCGCGGGATAGACTAAAGTAATGTTATAAGGAAATATTATTTCATAGTTCATTGCACAATATTTACATATAAAGAAACTTGTATATACTACAAGAACAATTGAAAATAGAAAAACTCGTATTCATGTGATTTATAAATGTGTAAATAAATGTTTTTGATATTTAAAGCCATTAAACATGTTCGAATATTATTATTTTTTAATTCTTTTTTAGACTCTTAATTTTATTAGACACGTTTTCAACAATTAAGGCTCGTTTGTTAATATATATTTTATTCCATTGCTATATATTTAGTAATTTAACACTGTGCTGTCTTTAACTTACTCTGTTCAATGCGGCTCTGTGTAAATTTAGTGTTCTCAGAAAGCTGTGTGTATGAAAATCTCCAGGAACTAAAATCCAGTTAGATAAACATATCTAAAAACAAAAAAAAAAGACTTAAAAAGGAAATGCCTTTTCCAGGATTCGAACCACACTTTTTCTACGCTTGCAAAGCAAACATTAAATAGTATACCCTGTGATATGCTGAATAGACATAAATGAGTAATGGCCAGGTTGAAAGCTTAAGTGAAAGTTATAGCGAAATAGCGAATACGAACTATATCTGAAACTATTTTTGCGATTTTGAGGGTTTTCAACTTAAAAGACACAAAGTTCGAGTTGACACCAGTATATGGTACATGACCTGGTTAGACAACATGAATGCAGGCACTTCTAGATATATTTTCAATTGGCACTCCTAGGCACGAGTTGGATTTTCAGGAGAGTTAATATAACATTATACCTTTATGCAAAAATATATACATGGTAATGTAAAACATGATATTCAATGTTTTACTTTGACAGATGTTTGTTAAAAGTTTATATGAAAATATAACAGTACAATTAAAAATTTCTTTTCTTTTTATATGTTTTTCATATATGATTTGACAATACAATCGCTCAGCCTGCTTCATGTAAATTTGTGTGTTCGACGATCACTTTGTATTATTGAGCGCTTATAGATTGAAATGACATACATTTAAAGACCAGTTCCACATTTTGGTGTTTGAAACTTTTTAATAAACATAATCGGATCAGAAAAGATTAACCTAGCCTGATTATAAGTCCTTATATATCGTTTAATTCCGTCACTTTACCTTTATATACATGTCAATATTTATTTAATTCATGATCTTTATTTTGATAATTATCAAATAAGAATATTTATTTTTGTTCTTTATTTAACACAACAGAATGTCGTGATGACAGTGAATTAATGATATTTTCTATATTTATTGTTAATTTATTGTCATGCTAAATATCGGCTGATCAAGTGTTTTCTTGGCTTTCATTCAACATGGAATTTTAATTTAAAATTCTCAACAATGAGGAGATGTTTTGTGCTAACTTTTATACTAGTCTATTTCGTCGGTAATTATCACGTGATTTATACGGAAGCTGCGGTATCAGACAAATGGGGTAATAATATCGCCGACGACGGCACTATCACATGGGTGGATATTCCCGTCGGGAATTTATCATATGTAACGACGAATTCTTATGACGATGGGGGACTCGGACAAGTTTTTGCATTTTCAAGAAGTTTTATAAATACAGTTCAACCAGGAGGTTTTCCTCTGGGTAAGTTCACATGATTTACATATTATTCAAATTTCTGCTTTTCTAAATCTGGTTATTCTAAAAGAAATTGATATAAATAGTGTTAACCATATGTATGTCATGATGCCATTGTCTAATTAGATATAATATTTATGCGTATGATAAAAAATTGTAAAAAATATATAAACTGAAAACACGATGCAGTTTCTGTCCTCTTATTTTCAGATGTACTAGAAAAGGCTCTTAATGGAAGTTTTGACATTGGCAAAGATTATATGCAGGTATGTTCTTTCATACATTAACTTGAACTATCGAACTACAGTGTAAAATAATGAGAACCTACATGCACGTGATTAATCATTAAAAGTCACGAGCATTTGACTGTAAAAGCCACCTAAGGCATTAATGTCAATTAAGTTAATGATGTCACAGAGAACACTTTACAACATATCGTGTGTTGTTTCCCACAGAGAGTCTACGTATAGTGGTGCTTGTTTCTGTGAACTTTGTTAACTGTAGCGCCGATTTTATAATAACATTCATGTAATATACCGTTATGTAGCTATTTAAACGTGTGTTACTGGATTTGTGTATCAAGTATCTGTAAACTTTCCAACATTGAAAACAAATAACGTTTGATAGTTTTATGACAACCAAGTCATATATCGGAAAACCGTGTCGCACTTGTGTTTCGAACAAGCCAGTCCTTATAGACATAAAGTTCACCCTAAAATCCTAATCGAGTAGTCAACATAAGTTTAAGCGGATGCATGTTAGTTTTTAACATGTTATGTTAAAGAAGTATCGTTAACATACATGTATTTACTTATTTCACTGAGGGCGAACCTATTAAATGTTTCAGTTTGATTCATTCTGTTTTCTTTCATTTTTTGTTTGCTAACCCTTTGCCACTGGTGGTGAATTAATTAATCAGTACGACCAGTCCAGCTCCTTATGATTATGGTCAGCAATGTTCGCTATTCAATACTGATTTTGAAATTTTCACTAAAATTGATATTTTTGTCCATGATATTGAAAGACGGACAAGACCGTCTAAGATATTTAGCATGATAAGGGTTTGTCAATCTAATGTGTATATTTTCTCCATGCAGTTGGTGGATTACTCGATGGGGTTTGCGATCTGTTTTGCTATAGGTCTACTATTTGTTGTTTTATTACCATTATGTGGTTGCTGCATCTGTTGTTGTCGTTGTTGCTGTGGAAACTGTGGTGGAGATCTTAAGGCCGTAAGTACAATATCTGAATTTCTTACTATAAATTTAACACCCATATTCCATTTTCCAATAAACCATATACCTACTTACTAATAACACAAAATGATACGTAAAGTAACCTTTATAAACAATTCAACATAACTTTATGAAAAAAATAATACAGTTTGATGAAATGACATTAAAAATTTATGATAGAGATCTAGTACATATTTGTTTATTTATAACATTTCAATATTTGTTATTGTTACGTTTATCAGAATTTAATTTTAAGATTTGTATTTATTTGCACTAGGTATATAACAAGAATGAAGACTGTAAAAGGATGGGTCTGGCACAGGCGTTATTTCTTATGGTCATTTTAATGGCGTAAGTTTTGTCAAACTTTAATTTGCGTACTTGTATTCTAAAACATATTATTTATCGTTGCATTTATGTACATTTTGTATTGATACTTTCATGACCGTTGTTTTATATAATTATGTTTATTCAAGAAAGATATCATTAAAACAAGTGTCCTTTAGTATATAAACTATATACGTACAACAACTTCCCGGTCATACATATACAATGTATTTCAGCGGTGCTGCGGGCTGTGTATGGATGACAAATGGACGATTTTCTGTAGCTATTGATTACACTGAAAACAACCTAATAACAAACCTAGATGATCTGGAAACATTCTTTGCTAACATAGTTGATGTAAGTAAAACAGCATTTGCACTGTTAATATAACCAGTCGACTTCCTTCAGCTGTAAACCTGAAGATATGCAATATGACAGTAATAGTGTCTTAGTACAATAAACGTAAACATAACAAAAACAGCAACAATATTTGTTCAATGTTTTGGACCAAAAACATGTAATCGAGCATTTTGAATATAGAATATATATAATATAATTCGTTGACACAAGATTTAACGTTACATTATTGTAACATGAGTTGTTATATTACAGCAATTCAAGTACCTCTCATCAGACATGTATAACCTTATACAGACAGCTATAATTGATGATATCACAGGTAATATTTCATACAATATCTCATAGTCGTTGACAGTAAATAACAATTTCTGGACATTAGTAAAATTTGAAAAGAAAACGGCACTTCACAATGTCACCAAACAATACTGAGTCTATTAAAAATAATATCAAGTGAAATTAATTTTTGTACAACAGGTTTCAGGTATTTTCAGATTTACATTAGAAAATCGGCTTGAAGTATTTTCAAATTTACATTAGAAAATCGGCTTGAAGTATTTTCAAATTTACATTAGAAAATCGACTAACTATTAATATGTATAGTAAATCGTTTGTGAAAAAATAATTTCAAACACTAAATTGGTGTTCTTTAGTAAGCATTTAGATCTACCTGTTCTTGACCAATTTAATTTTGTTAATGTTTACAATTAAACATTAACTTACAAATAAGAACCACGATTTTCAGACAAGAACATTTTAACCCACTGCCAAAGCCAATCACTGTTGTTAACGTTAATTCTTAATCAATGCAGTAATTATATTGTATGTTATTATAGATATCGGAGGTGTGATAGAAACGGCAATATTTAACAACCTGGGTATAGACGCTGTAGTTAATGCTGTTATACAACTTGACGGAAGTAAGTACACTAAACCAGTTTATAACTTTATATCAGCTGATTATAATACGTAACTTGACAGTATGCTGCTTTTTTAGCTGTCAAATCGGGTTGAATTAGTTATATATTCAAAGAGATTGACCAATAAGAGATAATCTATAATAAGATAAAATGTTTTAAGAAAACTATTTAAATTTTAAAAAGACTCATCAAATCTTTTTGAAAAGGGATTGATAGTGGCAATGCCACCACGGAAAAATGTGAGAGCTGAATAGAAAATACCGTCTCAGAAATGTCCACCCATCTTATTTTATTTTGGATGAACAGGAAATATCTATACAATGTTAGTTATCAAACGCATTTGGTTTAAAAGAAAACTTTGACCATGCTTCTGTGTTTGGGATAAGTGATATTTTTGTTTTGTGTATCGGGCTCCAGAGATACTTATGGAAGCCTTGGAGGGTCACTTTTGAGTTTCGACTTACGGATATTTTACTTTTGACTTTTGACTTTTGATTTGTGACTTACGTCTTATGACTTTTGGCTAACCCATTTTACACGTGCTCTAGAAGCTGAAAGCAGCAACTTTGGTTTCAGGTATGTTTTTAAACGTTTTAAATAATTTCATTCAGATTTGTCATGGAGGAGAGGATGTGTTAATTTAATATTATTTGATATAATCCCATAGTGGTAACATATCACAGACTTTAATTCCACAAGTGTGACTGTGTGTTTTGTACAATCTTCTATGTTCTTCTATGTGTTTTCATCACAAAATCTGTCCATGAGTAACAAACAAGTAACTGATTAACAAGTAGACAGGGAATACAAGTTTTACGTCTTAAAATGGCATGGTGCACAGTATTAAACATGTATCGCAATTCAGCATTTTATTGAGCTAACACGGAATCAGTAAAGAACGGCAAGTGCTATGTTCATACACACAAGTACAAAGTTAACTTAGATATAGAACCAGTTAGAACAAAATATCCTACTAGCATTTAAAATATTTTTTCGCACCTATCAATCTTTAAAAAACGGAGCTAAGAGGTTTACCCATTTTATATAATATGAATGTATAAACATTTAGATAAAAGATAAACTCTTATTTCAGACACAACTACTGGACAAAAGGTAACGAGGATGAAAACCTTGATGTTGATCTGTGTCTTCATCATTATACTGTTCAGCATTACCAAAGCTACCGTGCCAAGATACCTACCCTCAACATCTATAACAAACAAAACTCTGCTGATAATAGAGTACTTTCTGGTACAGCATGGCATTACGACGTCATTTAGTACAGTGAATAGACTTTTTAAACGCTTAAATTTAAAACGGCGTAATGGAATATATACTCCTTTTGAGACTGTGTCTGATGTTATAAACAGAGAAATACAAACAAATGGACAACGCATAGAATACCGTACAATATGGCGTAGGTTAATGCTGGATTACCACATGTACGTCAAGGGAGACGACGTCATGGAAATAATGAGAGCGCTTGATCCGGATGGTATTGAGATGCGGAAAGCTCATCGCTTATGCCGACGCGTATACTACGCCATGACATATGGACGGTTCCATAAGGATTTTATATCCATGGTGCTGTGAATGGGTATAGTAGAAAAATAACATGGTTAGAGGTTTTGGACTCAAATAACGACCCACACCTTATTGCAAGATACTTTTAGACACCTTTAATGAACATTATCAAGTCCCCCTCACCCAATTACTAGGTTGTGATGTTGGTACGGAAAACTGCATTGCTTTACTATTGTAGCAATACTTCAGACACGATTCTACAGATCCGATAGTTGGTACTTGAAGCCTTGTAGCTGGAAAAAGCACATCTAACCAACGCATTGAGAAGTGGTGGTGTACATAACGAGAAAAAATGGAATCCATTGGTGGATTTTTTTCCCAAAGACTTACGCGGTACTTGTGTATTCAATGATCTGGATCCGATACAATGTGAGAACTTAAAATTTTGCTTCATGGACCTCATACAAACCGAGTTAGACCGGATTGCACATGAAATAAGGCAACAAAAAAGTTCTTCTGTTATTTGTGATAAACCTGACACACTGTTTTTTGTACCAGGTCTGTATGAAACTCACGACTTCGGCAATGCAGTTAACTTGAGAGACGTATTTGCAAAGAACATGTTTTCACGCCTAAGAAGACAATGTGAGGAATTCATAGAATTAGCACCCCTTCCGAAGCCAGATCTACAGATGCCATTGGACGCTGATTCAGCACTACAACTGTGTACCGAGTTGAAAGATTTAATTTTGAGAATAGATTTAATATATATACGCTTTGAAACGACTAATACTGATTTTTTTCGTGTTATTGATATATACTAGGTTACTATAGGTTAAGTTTCAAAAAATGATGTTTTAAAATCATAAAGACGATAGTCTACGATTTCACTTCATTATATGGTCGTTTTAAGATATTGGTTTGTAAATATTGAGCAAATTACAATATATTTGTAAATTATCATTTAAGTTATAACCACTCTAACTTGCACTATAAGGCATTGTAAAATTGACAACATTGTCTAGTGGTATAGTTTACCTAAAGGACACCTGTATGCAAAATTTAAGCAAAATTTACCGTACGGTTTTGGAGTTGTAGGCATTATTATGAGTCAGAACATATAAATTAAAAAGGCTTTTTAAAAGAAATACATGTATTGAAAGTTTTAAAAAAATATCCGTGTAATCTCATTTAAACATGTTTTGCAAGTGTTGTTTGTTTAGATGCAAATAATAACATTCTAGTAATAAACTATGCATGTTAAATGCATGACTATTCTCGACACGATAGAAATATGCATGGAAATGTTTCTACCCCACCAATTTGAACATTTTTTATCATATCATTCTAAATTTAAAAAATCACTAAAATTACATTTAGTCAAAGGGCTTGTATCAAAGTTTGCTAAAATCTTTCTAGAAGTATATTGATTCATTCTGTGAAATATGGACGGCTTTTACCGGCTAGTTTGTAATATATAAAGCATTGAAAATGTTATAATTGTAATTTGCTCTTAGATTTTTTTAGCATTAATTAGGCAATGAATATCTGTAAAAAAATTATAATAATAGAAAACGAGCATATTTTTCCATCTTAATATAGCTAGAAAAATACAAAAATACTGTCAAAAGAAAAAATGAAGAAAAAAAGTTGGCTCCTATGGGATTCGAACCCACAACCCTCTGATTTCATGCAACTAATGTAAATACTCTTGAAATGGAGGTAATGCATTAGGATGGTCATACCTTAACGGGTCATTTCTTAAACAGTCTTTGCATGTATTTTTTTACGAAAAGCGTACGTGTAGTGGGAATCTTCCTTAAGTTATTTAAAAAATCAAATCTAAACACATTTATTGTACAAGTTAATGGTCCTTTTAAAGATTTCCAACTCAGCAGCCTGTAAATATTAATTTGTAAAGTTTTTACATCACAATATATGTATGTGCAATTTTGTAACTTTTTACGTAAAATACTTGCAGTATTTCTTTTTTGTTTTTGGCATACGTATTACGAGATTAACTGCACTATATGAATCGACTTCTGGTTGTATCTCTTCTATCAAGCCCTGGTTACAAAACGGCTGCCCGACTAGGAATAGAACCTCGGTCTCCCGCGTGACTGGCAGGGACACTTTCCACTATGCCAAATGTCACAGGGGGAGAAAGATATGCAGCCATACCGGGATTCGAACCCGGAACCCCTTACAGGGCTAGCTCTGTCCCGACCGAGATTGCACATCATCTACTGAATAGATTTTAAGTTATACGTGTAATTTCAAGTATGTGTAATTAGATTCAAACGTCTTATTCATTCGCAACAAATAGCAACCATACTTTATAGGATGTATTATGGTATTTAAAAGGAATATATATGATTGTTATTTCAAAAATAGTAATTGATCTTTGTAATAAATGCTGACTTATTTTCTCGTGTTTTTTTTTAGATTTTGCCTTATGACTTTTCACTTATAATTTATCACTTTTTACTTATGACTTTTATCTTTTGACTTATAACTTTTGCCATTTGCTGTTACTCTTTGCCTTGGTATAAACATTAGTTTTACTTGATTTTAGATTAATGCAAAATAAGCAAATTTGTGATACAATCACCAAACGCAAGGGAGCACATCAGCCGAGAGTGGTGTTGAAGTCATATGATGTTTACAAGTACATTTAGCCACCAGCCTCATTTTTGCATTAGAATTATTGCATTCATATGTTTTTATCATAGTTGATCGTTTTTACGTGAAGAATCAACATCAATTGTTAATGTGAAATCATATGTATAGAAGTTTTAATTCGGGACATTCATTTATAAGTGCCGTCTGCAGCATTAAGTATTAAAGTAAATAAACTATTCTTGATAAATAACGAATTTTTTATTCAGATTAAACAGTTCTTAGCTATTTTCTAGATGTGTAGCTTTATTACAAATTTTTATTAACATTTTACATCTTGAAATAGATTATTTAATTCCTTGTTGAAGTTAGTCACGGTTGACTGGTACGCTATTTTTCCGTGTTGACTATTAAAGAGGGTACAAGCGTTAGGCATTATAATACATTAAAGTAAATGAGATATATGTACGGAATATTATGTAGTAGTAGCTTTTTAAGGCTTTGTATTTTGCTACAAGCAGCGGTGGAAAATTGATATCTCGCGAGACCGCAGGTCGAGTGAGATATCAATTTCACAATGTTGCAAGTAGAAAAATGCATAGCCTCAGAAAGCTACTACAACATAATTTTACTTTTATTATATACCTTTTCGTTTTTAGTAAAAATGATTTTCATTAAACTACACTTCTATAAGAAATTTCAGAAAATAAAAAATAACTTTATGACTGACGGATGAATACGTAATTTATGCAAAACCGGCGATGCCTCTTATAATTTTGGTTCCCGTTTCCTAATGCTACGTAAGACACAGCTAAGATCGGAACCAATGTCAAAAATAATCCGACATTTCCATATATGGTTCCGTATTTGTCACTAACATAATACGGAATTTTCTATCCGTTGGAAGAAAATTTAGAGGTATATAATAAAATTTAGAAAAAGGTTGTGGCACAAATATGACTTGAAAACTTTTGATAATTTCTACTTCAAACTTGTACTTTTTTACATTATCATATTAAATCTGGTCCTGAATGATAAAAATACATTGTCCTCCTTTGTTGACAATTTATTATTGTGTTATTTAAACTTTGTTTTAACCAAAATAAACTTGCAATTTTCCACCGGAATAAACAGTATTTAAATGTTACAGAGAATTTATTTATCTATGTAGAGATAGTGTTCCATTAAAATTATAAGTAAGAGGTTGAAATGAGCAAAGTAGAAATAGAATAGCAATCACTATAGAAGTAAACTGTGTGGAACCAGCCAACTCCCTCAACAGACTACCTAAATATACCTCTACCGAGAGACCACACTACCAAAGGTTTTTACCTCACGGTCTAGACCGTGACAGGTTGGCAGAGCTATCAATAATTGTTTGGAATAAATGCGTTTAAACAGATAACAACAAACATTTTTTATTCTACAACCGTGCTTTATTTTGTTTAACAAAATTGTTGTCTTATAAGAAAACAAATGTATTAGATAGGCAAAACAAACTGAATTTGAGCTTCATTATATTTAATTTAAAAACAGAGATAAGAAATACAGAGGTAAGCATTTTTTTTTCTAAAATAGCACACATGCCTTACTTAAAAGCTAACACTAAGGAACAGCTAAAAATAAACACTGCCATCAACAAAAACATCAAGTATTTACGTCACAGACGACATATATACATGCAATATTTCTACAAAACAACACATCGTTGATACGTTACTGATGAAAAACTAAGAAAATCATGAGTGATCTAACGAAGCTTTTAAAAACATAAGATAAATTAGGTAAACTAGCAACGCTAGAGTGACTGTATTATTATTGAAGTCAAGATTTTTAAAATCATTGTCAAAGCGTTATTTCTTCATTTCTAAATGTTTAAAAGAGAGAAAAAACAAACACAGTCTCTAGCTAAAAATTTCCTAGTTAACTTTAAGAAACTGTATACATTGTATAATGTATATATAATAATTAAATAACGTCCACTTTTCGAAGAATAACCGACTTTATATGTAATGGAAATATCATAGTCTTTCGTAATGAGCATACCCCCAACCCACAGCATGTCGAAAAAGGGAATGTTTAACTTAGAAGAACGATTAAAAATGTTATAATCAAAAGTTTTGTTAACAACACAATGCACTCTGTCTCGCCGAGATATATCTGCCAGTAAATTCAAATTGATGCCTCCAACAGTTTTTGGGATAATTATGAGTTTAACAAAATCTAAGTATGAAAAAAAAAGAAGAAAAAAATCAACAACAAAGGGGACTTTCTAAAATGTAGCTATGATAGCAAGAAGTATGTTTCTTTCTGCCTCGCCAAGCTATATGAACATGCAAAGTTTGATTTCGATACCTTTCTTTTAAGTTTTAAAATTTACAATGGGCAAATACTGAAAATTATGAAAGCCAGAATTATGAATTCATGATTTTTCACACTTTTCTCTGTCTCACCATGACATTGCGTGTTTCCAATAAAGCGTCCACAATAAGTGGTGGGGTTAAAACTTGAAAATTATCGAGCGTCTGAAACAAGTGTGAAAAGGTAACGCACGTATTCCAAAAATGTCTGAATATTTCCATAGACAATAACGAAGAAAACCAAATCACTAGTGTTTGGACATTTTGCATTTGCTAAACTGTACTACTTTCCACTCGGAACGAACGCTGTTTTGCCATGAAACCTCTTAGTCTTCTAAACTGGCTCCGAAAACTTGACAAATATGTATTGCTGATGCTCTTGCAACTGCTTTGTAGTTGAAACCATTCGACAGCACGTCCTTAATTCCTACAGGTAGCTTTACTAGAATTTAAACTGAAAACATTAAAAGTATGTGTTATCTCAATTGAAATCAAATACATATATATACAAAATGAAATACATGTACAAAAAATCCCTTAATACATAACTGTATACAAAAGTTTATATACAAATAACATGTACTTTGTACTTGGTATGTGACCTAAGTTATTGATACTGAAAAAGTGAATAAAGTTTCAATATTATATCATAACTGGTTTATGGGACCATATTTCATAAACCATCTGACAAAACATTTTAGCTTTAAAAATGGGCATAAGTATGTCAAATTGTGCGCCACTCATACGAGACTTGGTCATTGATCTTAGATGTCAACACTTAATATGTGTTCTAAGTTTCAAAGGAATCGCTAAAATAGTGTTTGAGAAACCATTTTTCATGAAAATTCTAAACCATGAACTCAAAATCGAAAAAGAGGCATAATTTGATAACAATGCAATTCAGAGATTTCTAACTTAGAGCGTGTTCTAAACAAGTGTGTGAAGTTTCAAAGCTGTATGATTTATTGTTTTTGAAATACCATGTTTCATGAAACTTCTTAACCACAAATTTCTTTGTCAAAATAAGGCCTATAATTTGGTCTATATTAGATGGACGAAGAATGAACTACGGGTGAAAACCGATTGTAACTGCAGCAAACAACAATGCGAGACTGGTTTGGATTTAAAACTGGAACCCATATAAAAAATAAAGCGTTTGATTCATACGCTGTATGTCAATTTGAGATTATATATCCCTGTTCCGGAAATCAAAATAAAAAATGGATACCAAATGCAATACAATGCAAGCAAAGTATTTTCTTTTCTTAATCAATTTAAAAGGCTTATATAAGAATAACATTCTGTTCTTGCATATGAGCCCACATATTTTGTTTTTTAAATAAGTCTCCAGGAAACTTAGGTCAATGAACTTACCTCGTCTGAATCGTTGTCATATTCTACCATATTTTCCTTGGAAATTATAATTATAGTGGCAAGCACGTGGGAAATAACAAAATCCATAAGTCAAAAATCAAAAGTCATAAATCAAAAGTCATAAGAAAATAGTAAAATAAATCTATAAGTCGAAACTCAAAAGTGACCCTCCAAGGCTTCCATAGATACTGGATTCTCTACATTTTTCAGTATGACTTCAGAACCGCAAGTATTGTCAACTGCAATCTTTATTATTTCTTTCTGTATATGACTATGCAGTTTCCATATTGGATAATTATTGGCTCTCTGTAGAAAGATTCATTAAAGCATAGTTTTCCATGAATTATCGTGGACTTTTCAGCTATAGAATTGTTATTATTGGGTTATTTGTAACTTTTAATTCAGTTCTATTAAATGTACATTTCTTTTTTACTAACGGTATAAACGGTCATTCGGTTCACTTAACCCTGACATTCATTGACTTCTCTATTCTAAGCACAGTTCCGTTCATTATCATGTGTTTTTTCCATTCAATTAATAGTGAAGCAACATTATAATTTAAGAGCTATCAACAACATTATAGTTTTACAGCTATCAGCAACAATGTTACAGCCATCAACATCATTATTATTTTTCAGCCATCAACAACATCAGCGATGCGCTTGATCAGGTAATTTCAGATCAGAACACGTTCATTTCTGCGACAAACAACCTTACTACAGCTATGAACGATCTCGGGACTGCCATTGACACCACAAAGACTACATGTTCATCATCCGGTGTAGCGTGTCAAACTGCCTGTGATAACATGGACACTACAGCTCTGAAATCTGGGGCTGCGGACTTCAGTTCGGTATGTTAACATCCTCAAAGTTAATGAAATAGTTTGACTAGTCTCTCAATAATTTTTTAAAAGAGAACAACTTAATGAAATAGTGTCATTCATATACTTTCATTTTGTTAATTAATTTTTTGATCAACTTACCATTGGAAAGTACAGCTGAACCAATGTTGTCTTTACGTTGATTCTTTATTGTTTTGCATCCATAAAGTTGCTGTTTGTACATTTAGTTTTTTGTTTATTATCTAACGCTTTTAAATTGCGTTACCGCTGCCATTCAATGATACTTCCATTATGAAAACTTAATGCTTAATATGTTAGTAAATGCTTTCTATTGTTTACAGTTGCCTGATTTAAGTTCAGTAAAGTCGAGTGTGGATGATGTCAAAAATATGAACTTGTCTGACATTGCTCAAGCGGTAATGTACTGATTTTATCATAAACTTTGTGTGTCATTTAATGAGATTTTACTGTTTTTTACATAATAAAATTAAAAAATGTATAATTAACATTTTGATGCATGGTTCTATGGAAGGCATATTATTAAAGAACGTTTTCTGGATGTGCAATAATGCAGTCAATCACAGTTAGTATACAATGTATAAATAACCCTGTTATTTAGAAAACGATCTCTAATTTTCAATCCGGAACAATCTTTTACTTTATGTAAAGCAACATAAATATATGATGTAATAACAAAGGTCTTATTTGTATAATTATGATGATTTTATTGTGGTTTCTCAGGCAAATGCTTCAATACAGGACGTCTCCAATGTAATAAACAACAACACTGCCGCTATCAAAACCCGTAAGTAATTAGAAACATTTATTTATTTACAAATATTATTTTGTTCCATAAACAATAACCGTTATAAGCTATAAGGTACTAAGGATTAGTTTGAAAATTATTGGCATTGAAATAAGCCATAGGGTTTCTTATACAACAATTGGTAAATTACGAGGTTTATATTACATTTTTTGTACACCGAGGTCGACACTGTTATATATGATCTTACGATATATTAATCTTTACAGAGATAAACGACACGATGAATGAGTTTGCAGGAACCATTGGCAACATGACAAATGATTTACTAGACGCTCTGAATGGGGTGAGTTACTTAACTGTGTTTACCGGTCTCTTTTATCAATCAGTCATTGTATTCGAGGTGTTTGATCGAAATGGAGCTGAGTACAACACAAACCCTGCATTGAATTTTTCATTTCATGGCAATTCTCTAGCAATAATGATGTATTTCTTCATTTCAAACGGCCCTAGTACAAGTACATGCTAATTACAGTGTTGAATTGCCCAATTTCATGAAATACTGAGATATTTTCAGCAAGCCAAATTGGTCCGAGTGCATGCAGGTTGGACAGAGCATCCTTTAGATAGTGTCATATAAACAATGCTTGAAAACATTCGTGCTATCACACGATATCACCTTTTCGAGTATAACCTTACAAAGCTAACAAAATCACAAACTAACAAACCCTCATATACATGTATATTAATAAAAGAATTAATTTATATAGAAATATTTTCTGTTTTACAGACTGTCGATTCTTCCGGTTTAAAGTCTGGTCTAGGGGATTTCTTCGGTATGATCAAAGGATATGATACATACAGGTGATATATATTTTGTTCTATCATATCTACATCCAACGTTATCATAATCTTTTGTAATGATATATTGCCTTTGAATATGATTTAAAGCATCAGAGGAAAATTCTGTTCTTGCAATGATTTCTCAGGATGAAATAATTATCTTAAATAGTATTCTATACCTTGACACAATTTTTATCAGTTTTATACAGTAAAAAGAACATATTTATCGCTTTTGTTTTTATATTTTGAAGATTAATGTATATTGATTTTATATGTATAAGCTTTATATATAGTACTATACATTGAGTATAACTTTTATCATTTGTTAGAGTTTATTTTGGATACATTTTTACCAAACTATTATCTGAACACCGTAATTGAAATGTTTAATTACTTTTTGTACAGGGTTTATTTTGGGTATGCATTGACCGGACTGTTTACAATTATTGTGGTACTGGCTCTGCTTGGTATCTGCTGCGGCTGCCTCGGACAAGACTCGGACAAACTACCTACTGAAAGAGGCTTCATGTCCAACTTAGGGGGATGTCTTCTCATTATGTAAGAGTTTTAGTATACATATATTTATTTGTTCTGAGCTTCATTAACGTATATCAAACATTTTATTGGTATATATTTAACTGAAATATAAAAATTTATTATCTACAAACGTCCATTTTACGTATCAATATTCAGTAAAACGTTATAAAGATATGTGTGGGGAGTTAGTTTTGTTTGGTAACTGTTAGAAAATATATATAATCCGAATGTTATATTACAATTATTTGTAGGATATATTGCATCAGCGGTACATGTTATAAAGCATCATTTGAAGTCAATGTTACACATTATTTTCACGTCATTACCGGACGACATATGCATATTTTTTTATGACAGTGGTTTTTCTGGCTTTTTCATAGTTTCATTAACAAACTTGAAACAAACTCTGATTGCAATCATTTTGTTAAGTTTATTACAATAGTTGAGTGATGATCTGTTTTGTTATCTCCGCAGACCGGTCATTATGATGTTTATTGTTGGGTCTTTGTTGATGTTACTGACTACCTTGACGTTTATGGTGGGAGGCAACATGGAGAAGTTATGTCAACCCATGCAAGACCTTACACTCTTCAGCGAGGTTGAGCTTTCCAGTATTTTATTCCAAGAATTTAAACGACGTGCATATTTTCAAATATTGAGTAGTTAAATTAATTTAATTGCAAATATAACATATCGATTTCAAATAACTGAATTAATATTAACATTTTTGAGATTATATCATCATCATCATCGTCATCATCATCATCACTGCTACTACTATCGTTATAATTATCATTTTTATTATCATCGTCATCATCATCATCATCATCATCATCATCATCACTGCTTCTACTATCGTTATTATTATCATTTTTTATTATCATCATCATCATAATCATCATAATCATCATCATCATCGTCATCATCATCATCACTGCTACTACTATCGTTATTATTATCATTTTTATTATCATCGTCATCATCATCATCATAATCATCATCATAATCATCATCATCATCATCATCATCATCATAATCATCATCATCATCATCATCATCATCATCATCAAAGTGTATTAAATTGATTGTTAAGGTTTGTTTCGGCAATTTTTTCAGTTTATAGACAAAGGAGCAATTAGTGGACTAAGTATTGGTGTGATGCTGCATAATAATGAATCCTACAACCTTGGTTTTTATGATCTTCTTCTGTAAGTTTTTCTTATATTTTAACATCTAAATATCTTTATATTTCATCCTTAATACTTTAAAATTACTTTATTTTATTTATTTTGTTTGAAAACCACCCTGTATCTTTACTATTTATGACATGGATTAACAATAGCCTAAACATTTCACACAACTAACTGATGAAAAGATATCCTGAACATATGCATGGGCGGTCTGTGTAAAAATGTATATTTTTATCTATATGCATTGTGTAAATGTTTGAAATAAAACTAAATGGTACATACTTGTAAGTTAAAAATCGGTATTTTGTTTTGATAAACTATAATCATATATGTGTGTAATTTTTTACATTTTGTTTTCTTATCAGTGGATGTCGGGCTAACAAGGCTCCCTTTAAATTACTTGGTCTTAATCATCTGTTACCTATAGAGCAGTATCTTAACCACTCACAGGTAAATGTAGACATCATTTCTGAAATATATCTAAAACGCTTCTTCTTCTCTTAATTTGCTTTTAAGATATTCTTTTTCTAGAAAAAAAATCACTTTTGTTATTCACCTGAGACAATGTATTATGTTATAATGTTAATGAATTTTGTTTAATCGTAAAATTAATGATATGGAGTCACCCATTGCAAACGAAACTGCTTTGTCTGAATTGATACAAACTTTAAAATCTAGCTGAACATAATTGTAGTGAATGCTCATTTTTATCAAATTGAAAGGAACATTATGATTTTGAATTGTTATTTCAGTACACATCAACATTGAGTGGTGACATGTCTGGGATGACCTCCATTGATTTAACTAGTTTTTCTATATTGACACCGGAGATGGAAACAGCATTGACAGACATGCAGAATTCTGGAGTGACGGATATAGATTTTGCGGCCATTAACTCAACAGTATGTTCTCTGTAAATTTCTGAAGACACCACGAGGCGTTAAGAACGTGAGGGGAGATAACTATTATAAGAGTTGGGACAGTCATATCCTGATTTGGTTTACATTTCACATTAAGTGTGATTTATTTTCTTTTATTTTAAAAATGAATGTTATGTTGAGATATTTCAATTTATTTTATCATTTTAACAGCAAAAAGTACAGACTCTTATAAATTTAAGACTTAATTACGGGTAGCTTAGAGCATGATGACTTCACGTTTCAGATTAAGGTTATCACTTTTCTTGCCCCTTTTTGATATAAGAAATTTGTAAATTTATATTTCAGTTGAGTCAGGATTTAGTGAGTGTGGATTTTAATTCACTAATCACAGCCATGGAGACAATACGAGACTCGTGCAGTGGTGCAACTTATGTAAGTGCATTTTTATGATGTTATTTAAATTCAAACTATTTCTAGATACAGGATGTAGACAATACATGTATATTGTCTGTCTTTCCGGTAAATGATGAAACAATGAGTTTATGTGTATTTAAGGATATAAGTATATTTGCCATGATCTGGTAATGTCAAACTGACTACTTATTGTTATATAACCTCCATGATATATAGATTAATAAAAATAGTTGAAGCATATCATAAAGTTGGATTGTCAAATGTAATCCGAACCATTTGAGAGCCCGTCTTTTTAAAACTAGTTTCAGTGTCACATAAGAAAATCATTCTTCAGCCCGTGTGATTAAACGTACATCTAGGAAAGATCATATTACACCAGTGATGAAAGATCTTCATTGGCTGCCAATCGAATATAGAGTGAATTACAAGATCTTATTACATACTTTCAAGTCACTGAAACAACAATCTCCATCATATATGCAGGAAATGATTCAAGTTTATTCCACTTCCCGAAATCTGCGCTCTTCAAATGCACCTGTACGATTAGTGCAACCAAAAACTAAACTGAAATTTGGTGAAAGGAGTTTTTCGGCATCAGCTCCTAAGCTATGGAATTCACTACCAAGTCATCTAAAAAACTGTAACACAGTAGAAAGTTTCAAAAAACATCTTAAAACACACTACTTCAATTTAGCTTATGGAAAATAATCAGTGACTGTTATGAATGAATTTTATAAACAGTGAATACGAAGTATCTGTTATTTGAATATTAGTTTTATTAAAAAGTTTTTTTTTTTTAAACAAACAATTTTTAAATCAATTTAGTATTTCTATTGTTTTATAACGATGATTTAGCAAGATCTTATCTATTATTATAAATCCATTGCTAGCATTTTTAAGCACAGAATATTTCTTTTTTTTAAATCAAAAAAAAAAAAAAAAAAATAATTTATACTTTTAATTAGTTAATGCAAAATATTTTTAATGTTCATAATCCTGTTCATTTATATTGTTTTAGACATATATGATTGATGTAAAGCGCCTTTGAACATTTTAATGAAAAGGGCGCTATATAAATGTGGTATTTATTATTATTATTATTATATGTAACTTCTATGTTTGAATGCATCCGTATGGGTACCTTTTAAGTTATATGAATAAAATGTATGTAAACATGTTTATGAAATACTTTTGGATTTCTGTTCCAGACGAGATGGGATAATCATGTTAATGAAATGAAGACCATCCGTGACGTCAAACTACCTGAAGTGTCTACCGCACAGGTTCAAAACCTTATTTTCTTATTTGGACTGAGTACTCTTTACATCATTGAAAAGTAAATATACAAATAGTCCACCTGTTTTGTCAATCAAATGTGCTCGTATATTGTAAAGAGAATGACAAATTTGTTGATAGAAATGTTGTTTTAAAGAGCATAATCTGTCTACAACAAATTATCATGGCACCTTATTCCATGGCAAATATAAAAGTTGGATGAATTCACAATGAATGAAACTAATACCTGAATGTCATGTGACTTTACCCGAACTATTGGAGTTATGCAAACATTTTCCACGAAGCATATACTATACGAGATATTTGAATCTTTCATTTGTTACAAGAAAACATGCATATCTTCAACATATTTGTTGAAGCCAATTTATTTAAATGTATATAGTAAAATACAATTCTGACTTGTGCAATGTCAGTTTTGCTGGATTGTTTAACAAAATAGATCAATTAATTGAAGTAAATAAATAATATGCTTACATATCTTTTGGAAACATTAATTATAAAGTACATAAAGTTATACATATTTGCTGCAAAAAAGTATTGTTTAAAAAAAAACTTTGAAGGAAAAGTGGTAGTAAATTGCGCAAATGGCGCATGCTCGAAATGATTGACTCAACTAGAATCAGCTGCATAATAGTTTGTTCTAAAACATTTTATTCTGTTAACGTACACTATTCGTATGTGTTAATAACAGAACCGTTCAATGCGTCAACTCTTTCAAGATTAAGATCAATATAACTAACTCTTGATGACTTTTATAGAGTTATTTTAGATGAGATAGCTTTATACCTTTATTACATGCTGTTTGTTTTTCTTGCAGGCAAATTTAAAAACGTCCGTAGCTAATTTAGAAGTTGCCATTGGAGGTTTAGATGTAAGTATTTTATGTTTTATATTCACCAATGACTCGTTAACATTCCTAAAAATAGTAATTTTCAATATTGAATTTAATTTTATTTTTATATTATGTGGTGTTTAAATCAAAGAAAAACAGATGGAAAATGAAATTTTCTGCATCGAATCTGCCGGTCCGCTCTCTATATTTAAATTATTAGTTTACTGATATTCTTTTTTTTAGAAACAAACGTCACTGTTGCGTTATTGATAGCTTTCTTGACTTTATTTGCACTTTTTAAAGATAAAATTACTGAATTATTTAGTTTGAACCACACACAATTGTTTTTTTTTTCCTGAAGAAAATAAAAGCCGAAGGCCGCTTTTAAGATAACTTTATTATGTTCCCATGAGTTGTACAATATATCCATGTACAAAAAGTGTAGATGTATATAAATGTTTTACAGGCAAGCCTCAATAACACATTGACAACTGCTAGACAAGCAGACGACCAGCTTCAAAACAACGTGACGGCTGTTATAACTGACGTTTGTAGATTTCTTTTTATTGATGATTTATAATTCTAAAAATAATAAATGTAATAAAAGCAATATGAAAAGATGTGTATATATAGCTCTACATGCTATTGGTACATTGGAGTTAAAAGTAGGCCGTAATTTCATGAAACTTCTTTATAAATATACATGTTTGTACAAGCACACCACAAACAAGTATCAAAAGTTTACAAAAGTTTATGTAATTTTGATCAGATTCCCTCGAAATCGAAATGACGCCAACTCTTTAGTTCTACAAAGAAAATGAACTCCTACTTAAAAGATATCGGAGCTTAGGAGAAACAAAATAACAGGACTAACAACTTTCTACTTAAGAGTTATTAAAGCTAAAATTGAAGTTGGAAAGTAATAATAATAAGAAGAAAATTATGGTTATTATTCCGGAAGTGGTGAATGAATAAACACGACCAAATATTATTCTTAATCAGTCACTAATGCTCTCAATTAATTATTCTTTTTTGCAGGCTATCAACGATTTTGTCGTTAGAATTACCTCATATTTAGAACAGTTCGCAAATGAAGCCCTGGACATAGTTCGTATTCTTAAATCTTGTATTATAAAATAAGTCATTGTCACATGGTTTTGAAAAGTCATTGTCACCACATTGTTTTGAACCATGTTGTTGCCACATGGTTTTGAACCAAGTTATTTTCACATGGTATTGATGAGTTGTAATCACATATTTAGATTGTTCATTTTACATGGTTTTGAAAAAAAAGTTTTATAAGTTTTGAAGAGGTTAAGTTAAATGGTTGTGAAGAATTATTGACACATGGTTTGAAAATTAATTTTCTCATAAATTTTAAGAGTCATTGTTACATGGTTTAAAATTTAGAAAAAAAACTTTTGATAATGTACGTTTATTTTCAGGTATACAATGAAATAGGAAGATGTCTACCTTTGTGGAACCTGTATGATTCTTTAACTTCTATCATATGTAAATACATGGTTGAGTCACTGGTAAGTTATTACAACATTTTAATTACAAAACCTTTAAACGTCTTTATACATTCAAATGTCAAATTTGATGAGATCATTATTAATTATTATACACGATTGCTGGTGTATGTAGATTTATATCTGATATGTGTCATTATCTATGAATTTACAGATATTTCAGACTTTTTTATATTAACGTTTGATTAAATTATCAGAAAATGAAAGTTTAGTTATGTAAATATGTAAAACAAAGAGAAGCTAAATTGTTCTTGAAAATGATATATACGGTAGAACCTGTATTAAAAAACACCCTTAAACACACCAACAGGCTGCCAGCAAATACCACTTGTATTGAAAGCTTTTCAAATTTTTGACAAAATCATATTTTACATTATATTATGTAGTATTGTTATATATGGGAAATATTGTTCTCCATATATTCCACAATACGATTCTAGTTGAATTGTATCTCACCTAATGTTCCGGTCATGTATATTTCAAACTCCCATTTTCTTAAAGTGTATCATATATTTCAATTGACATTTCAGAACGCATTTTGGTTCGGCACCGGTTGGGGACTGCTGTTCTTTATTCCAGTGATGGTCTTATCCATGAAACTGTCGAAATATTATAGACGAATGGACAAACAAGAGGGATTCAAAGAGTAAGGATCCTTGAATTTAACGATATGTGAATTTAGATTTATCTGCCGGTCTCAAGATGAATGTATAAACAGACTGTACTGTAGATTGTGGTCTATTTGAACTAAAATTGTTATGTAAATGACGATTAGAAGTTATAATTGTTATAATTAGAATTTCCTGGTAACATATCAATGTTACATTAGGTCAGTTAACGTGGACAAGTTGTATACTGTATATTGACAAGTTATTAAAATGAATATGTATTTACCTATCATTCAACAATACTATAATCATAATGTATTGTTATATTTATAGAGAAGAGGATCCGCTGGACGAAGAGTAAGTATATTTATCTAATTAAACAAACACAATAGTTACATATGAGGAAATACTGTTTCACATGTATGTCCAGTACATTCATTTCGAGTTCAGTTATTCAAGCATTTATAAAATACTAAGAAAAAAATATCAATGAAACCTGAAAGGTCATGGTAGGGGGGAGGGCGAAAAGACTCGACCAATGTCATTCGCCTTTAAACTGCCTTATAGAGCATTTATTAATAAGTCAAAACAGAAGTTAGCAAGTCATTGTAGCAAAGCATTTAGTATCGTAACAAGCATTCCTTTAAGTATAACCCTTCACCCGCCGAACTTTTGTATTTTATTTGCCCGGCTATGACTGCAACCCATTTCATGCTTAATAATAAGAAGAAATAGCTAAGTTGTCCAACAACAGTTAAGAACAATTACAATTGGTCAGACTACACGGACGACGTGTTATACCTATATATACATGTGACAAAGGCTAATCAATTTGTGTCCATCCTTTTAAGAGGTAAGATATTTATAGGTCGAAATTGCACTGAGAAACATATCATTCTTCTTCTTCGTCTACAATAATGGCTACGTTCATTTATGATACGTTGCAGCCATGCGTTGGGTGTTTAGAAAGTATAGTGTGATAGGCTACCCAAGCAACCCAATAATATTGATACTCGTATATTTCAGTATCGACGATTTCGAAGTCCGATATGACATGATGAGAAGGTATTTAAATGACTTTTGTCACTTTTATTTTCCTGTATACATTGTAAATAGTAAACACTAAGCCTAATATCTGAAATAGAAAGATATATAAATATAATGATTGATAGCTTAATTTAACTTAACCTAGGTACTTATAATTATCATTACTGACAGAAGGTAAATTTGCCAAAACATTTATAGCAGACGATAATGTCAAATCACATATACATGTAGTCTGATAAAATTGTGTATATTAAATGACTAAACAATATATATATAAAATCATATGAAAATTGTTCTTCATTTCTTACATAAATGTAATAATAAAGATATGGTTGTTATTTTTTTTTCAGACAAAACAAAGTCGCTCCAGATCCAGATTTTATTGACTGAGAAACAGCACTCAACACTAGTGCTGAACATTTACATCATGAATTTTAGTTATTGTGAAGTTAAATAAAATAAAGTTAAAATTAGTTCTGTTTTATCATAGAGTATAATATTCAAGTATGTTTTACTGACGGTTGCAGGCTTTGAGAATATAATTTTTTTCTGTGTCTCTGATCTCAAGATTTTCATTGGTTAATGCCTTTTTTGTACCATAGATCTGAGTTTTAGATTGGATTTTTTATAACATTTGACCCTGTTGTCACAATAACCATATAGTTTTAATAAATTAATTTTTAAAATCTTATTATCATCTCCACTATTCAAGGAAGGGCCAGTGCATCGTCAAACACAAATACACAAACAAAAGTATGAAGATGATTGTGTCGTAGAAAATATATGTTGCCATCATAAAAAATAAGTATCATCATTTTATGTGCCCATTTTTCACTACAACTGCAAACTACAACGTCATGACTTATTTGTAAAGGTAGCCGACAGGCCATGACAGTGACGTCAATTGACGTTATTGGCGTACAAAACACGTGTCACTCTCCCATTTTGCTTTTAAAGAATATTCTTAACAGATATTGTTGTTTAAATGTGAAAATGATAAATATTAATCAGTATTTAATAAGTGTCTTATCGTTTATAAGTGTTTATACATGCAAGATATTTGATCGACTATGTCACACACTTCTCTTTATATACTAAAGTATATATTATCAGAATTGTGATTGAATTCTAAGAAATATAACATAATATTATTAATCTGCTCAACTTCTCTTGCCGCAGCACTCATTAATTTATAGTTCGTAGCGTAAAGATAGATAAAAAATGATGGTTTGACAGTTTTGTGAATCTAAGGCAATCCAAATCACATTTTTTTATCAATACAGCGAACAAAATGATATATTTCTAATGATTTCTTGCAGAGAAGAAGTTATATAAGTTTTAGAAATGGAATACTTTTGTGAAAGGAAAAATCCAGAAATATTTGAATAACAAGTTGTACAGATAAAACATTAGTTATAAATGCACAATATGCCTCACAGTGAATATTATTTTCTTTCTTCGTAAAAAATTGTGATAAAAGATTAAGAACATGTGAAATGCTTATCACCTGAAGAAAATAACGTTATACCGTTGAATGTGAAAGCATTTCTGTTAAAAGTAAAAATGTAAAAAGTAGTATTTTGACTTCCATACAAAATACAAATTCGCTATAACTGTACTTATCGCCAAATGACAAAAGTATCAAAAGAAAGCTCAGCTATATTGCCAATGAATATTTTTTAAACTGTAACATGGGTGTAAGAGCTTTTGAAAAATAAATTAAGCAAAAACAGACTTAATGTGCCTTTAAAGAAAAGCTAAAATAATAACGCATGGGTATTTTCAAACGAGTTATTAAATTATTGTCTAATGTTATGGATGTTTCAAGTTTTTTATGTCTTCTGGTACCACTATAAAATGTCACGGTTAAAACAGAAAACTAGAGCAAGTTTAGGAAAGAAATGACACCAGTTCCTATTAGATTAGGTCATTTGAATGCTATAGTAGTCAAAATACATCGGCGTGGCCAAGTGGATAACTCGTCGGACTAGTAATCTAAGGATTGCTGACCGAATGGGTTCAAACCCCGTCAGGGGCAAGCCGCTCTTTCCTTGAGCAAGAAACTTTACATTCATTGCTTAATACTGATCGGTTCCGGGAAAGAACTCGAGTGTTTCATTATGCTTATAGCTTCCAACATAGGCGAGCTAAAGTAAGTTCGTTTAAACTGAATAATGCGGTGATTCTTATTGCCTATACAGTAGTGGCTGTAATACTGTCTAACTTTCAGTCCCTATGTATAGGTTAGAATGCATATTGGGTGTTCTTCGTAAATAAGAAAGCTAAAAAGGAGCGGAGCTTGCGAAGCGACTGTAGCTTTCTTATTTACGAAGAACATCTAATATGCACTCTAACCGGCTTAGTGCTCCGACCACTTGCGTTTTATAATATAAAACGTCCAGTTTATATAAAATCTGTTCTATTAAGATTTGAAACCTGAAAATTTGAAAAATCCTCGTCGGTGATTGGCTTAAAAAAAATGGCGAGCACTAAGTACATATACATTTATAAATTATCTAAAATTCGGTTACGGCGAGACTTTGATCCGTTGTGATGATTTATATGCTGAAGATACTTTCAAACGATAGAATCAAACAAATCGGATTCGGTACAGTCGTATATAACATATAAAAACAAAAAAACATGTAAATAAAATATCAAACAATTTAAGAATTGTATGTGTGTGGCCTTCAGTGCATTTCATGATAAGCTATAATGCGCATGTAATTTATTTTTTTGCGATTGACAACAAATGCCCAATTGTCATATTACACCTATATCCCAGTTTTTCTTGCGTCTGTCGTTGCACATATTTATTGCAAATTATGATGTTTTATTATGACAGCTCTAGACATAAGATAATTACAGCTGACGTATTTATGTTAATGTCCATCTCTCTATACGATAGAATAGTATTGTAGCCAATGTCCCGCTGAAAACCCAGTTCAAAACATGAATCTGAAAATAAACTTCATCGGAATTCTGTTAATATCTTTCATCAATAATGCGGAATTTATGCTATCAAATGCGGTTAGTATGTATTTTTGTAAACATCTTTCGAAAATGATATTTCTGTTGTCTTTTTATTCTAGAAAAACGAGTCATTAAAACATGCGCACATAGCATTTCACAGTATGTTCAATAATAAGAGCAGACATTAATAATCTTGTTTAAAATTGTAACTCTTAAAATATCTACTTATCAATTTATCAATTAAGATATTATGTATTTATTAGAACCATAAATCTGTTTAATTATCTTAAAAGACAATATAATTATCAGGAAAAGAGTCATTATTAGTTGACTCACAAAACCACTTAAAAGCGACCAAATATAAAATTGTAATTCTTACAACAATAAGTGAATCAAAAAGTTAAGTGACTGCATTATAATATCTTTAGTATTAAAGATGGTCATTTTTATTTGTTATATATAGAGTATGGGACATTTAGCCGCTCCAATAGAAGTCAAGTCAATTCATGTGACGTCATCATTACCAGCTTGTACAAATGTCACGGTCACATTCGTTGCTATGGAGAACGTGACAGTTTTGTGGACCATAAATGAAGGATTTCTACCAGAAGGTAAGTCTGCTATGAATAAAGTTGATAAGTTTGTATAAATACAAAACAATAATTGTAATCTCGGAAAGCAGAGATAACGGTTTTTTTTTCAGCATGACGGTCAATGCCCACGGGAAACATTGCTCATACGATATATACAATGAAAAGAATTAAATCCTTTATACATGTATAGCTTTACTCACATCATTAATCAAATTAAATTATCGTGCCTGCAAAAGTGGTTAGAGAACTTCCCTATTCTAGTGGAGGTAAAATTGGCACTTTTAAAGAGCAAGAAAAGTAACCTCGATTAGGTTTTATTTTGACAATAGTTTTGCTTGTAATTAAACAGACTAACCAATTAACTTGAAAATAAAGACACAACGTTATCTTAAAATAATACTTGGACCATCGATTTTGTAAATCTTCTTCCGAAACTGATGTCAGGCATTTGTTTTCCATTTTCAGATTTAAATGCACGAGCAACGTCAAGCGTTCAAGCGACAGGACAGTCTAAGAGTGCTTCAATCTGTTTACCAACAGACATGGCATTTGATTCACTTCGACTACATTTGATTTGTCAGATGCATTCATTTGAATTACACCTTAGTCTTCAGGTTTCACACAACATGTCAAATACACAAGAGGATATTAAACAATATTATCTATTGGTTCCACAGTCCAATGAAATTGGAATTAGTTCTCGAGGCGAAGCAAGATTCCACGTGATGGTTGATACTTCCGGTACAAAGTTTTCATTTGGAATGCTTCAGGCGGAAGCTACGTTACTTAATGGCGCCGTACAAGAACATGATGCAGCATTTTCGTTCCTACCAGACAACAACAACAACAAAATGCTTAGAATGCGAAAAATAGCAAATTCCGGAACAGAGTACCATGCCGACATTGCGATTATTTCAAGAAATGTAAAGAAAAGCAAGACCATGATTTCTGTATCTGTAGCCTGTACACAGCCTGCAAGTATTCTTCACAGACTTGATATGAAGCAAGTGACCTATCTTCAGAGAAACACTGCAGGACTTTCACCCAGTCAAATGAACCCTGTTGCATTTTTAGGTGAAAATAAACAGGAGTCAGTAACTCTAGCAAGAGAAGGTAATACCTTGCTGAGATGCAAATCATTTGGTTTCCCACGACCAAATGTCACACTACTAAAACAAGAAGGCAACAAACTCCGCCCTCAGACTGTTCCGTCTTACACGACATCGCTTGAGTTTGAAAATACCACGGTCTACCAATTACTGAATGTAACTGTGCAAGATTCAGGACTTTATATTTGTAAATCATCAAACACAATATCGTCTGCTGAGAAAACATACTCTGTGAAAGTTCAATGAACTGCAATTTTAAGTTTAGAACAATGATACCACAATATCCATATTATAAAACGTTATATACGTAAGACTATGAAAACTTTTAAAAAAAAACAGATTGCTCGATATATGAAAGCAAAAATATCATAATGGTTCAACAGGATAGTCAGGTATGCCTGTTTTGAAAAGCTGAAGCTACTGTGTTTTTATTAAATAAACGAATCTTTTACGTACATATATTGATTACTTTAAAACAGAGCAAGATAACCTTATCATAATACATGTAGTTTAATATGGTTAAAATATGCTATGTGATACAAAAAAAAATCCTGTAAGAAAAAATGTCCTTTAGTATACGTAGTCACAGAATCAGCTTGAACCACGTACGTTACATTGTACATAATACAATATTAAAATAGAGAGCATCGAGTATTAAACAAATTAATGTGGATGCAAATTACGTTAGTAGATATTTTTCTGGGAAAGTAGTTCTACTGTAATAGTATAACTGATCTCTTTTTACCTGGCATTGAGGTAGTCAAGATAATTATTTAAATAAGATGGTAAGCCAAGCCACGTCATTCTAGCAAAAAATTAGTAGACCGTGTATCACACCATAGGAATGTAATGAAACCCCTTATTTACGTGTACAAGCTCGCTCAGAATATATAATTAAATTAAGGTGTGCATAACATTCGTGGTCAGTTATTCTAGTCCAGAACTGAGCGGAATTAAAAAAAAAATATATATTACATAAGAAACGTTCATTTTACTATATTTAAAACACATATATTAATACACATATATATATAACATATTATTGGCATTATATTGTTAATGGATACGAAAGCTAATCGTTTATTACTGCCTGTATTTCTCGTGTTCTTCCAAGTAACAAGGAAAGTAGATTAATTACGTCGCTGGACACTAGAACAAAACAAACGCCAGCTAGTAGTACAATTCCTGACCAGCCTAAACACTGGGACGACACCCGGCCATCATCTGCAGACGACAGTTTCCGCCTAGTTCGAGACAGTTGTGCTCGATTTATTGTCAAGTTCTTAATGATGTCATTAACAGTTTCGTCTAAGTTTGTGATATTGAAGTTATCTGTTTCACACGAACATATCCCGGTCGTGTCTGAAATGCAAATGATCAGTTGTAAAACAGAAAATGTTAAAAACTAATACACAAGTACAATGTAGTTTATTTCTGTATATATAGCCATGCTTAAAAGGTCATACTCGTGATTGACACCTTAAGTACTTCTAATTTGATAAATTGTTTAAACATTAGGGCAAATGTAGATGCAATGTCTAAATAATTATTTAAATTCCTGTTATATAACAGAGACACAAAGATCTTAGGTAATCTTCTAAATATTTTCCGAAATATCCGTAAAGATATAAATTTCTTAAACATGCAATCTATAATTTATGGAATTCCTTTTTTAACTAACCAAGAACGCATGCCGGGACAGGGTACCAGGCTCCATCACTCTGACACTGTGTTGTACAGTTTGACTGTATGTAACCATAGTTACACGTGATTTCGTGAACATTTCCTTCAGTTGTATTGTAAGATATTGTACTTCCGTTATCAATTATAAGCGTTCCACAGTCGACCACTGCTGAAAATAATACACAGGCATATATATTGTTCTATGATTTCATTCATTTTGATCTGAATATCATTAAATATCACACCTTTATATCCCAGTTGGTTCGTTAAGTTTAGTTTGATAATATTTTATTGCAACTGTTATGTGAATACATGTGTGGTCAATGAATCATACAAAAATGTATGTTCACAAGCAAATATAGTGCAGATGGGTCGGACTACAAGATATTATATATCTGGTTCTTCAAGTTACAAAAATGTACATAAATCTGACTAAATGTAGCAAATCTGCAATAACTACACAATCCTTTTTACCTTCACCCAAAAGATCAAATTAATTTGTTAAATATTTTCAATGTATGATATTTAAAGATTTATTATCCATAATCCCCCTCATTGTTGTTATTAACATATGAGCCGTGTCACGACAAAACCAACATAATGGGTTTGCGACCAGCATGGATCCAGACCAGCCTGCGCATCCGCGCAGTCTGATCAGGATCCATGCTGTTCGCTTACAGACCATATAACAAGTAGAGAAACTAATAGCGAACAGCATGGATCCTGATCAGACTGCGCGGATGCGCAGGCTGGTCTGGATCCATGCTGGTCGCAAACCCATTATGTTGGTTTTGTCATGACGCGGCTCATATATTTATCTGAACATCTTTACCTTGCACTGGAGTACATGTTGGAGTTGGATACCATTCACCATTTGAACGACACGATGTCGTGGAATTAACAGCAAAATAACCAACGTCACAATTGACGTCATGCACACTTCATTCTGTTGTATTCTGGGAAATCGTACTTCCGTTTCCAATCTCTATTGTACCACAATCTACAACGGGATTCACAAAACTTTTATTCGGCAAAGAAGGCGAAATGATAAGAAATGTACGTTTTGAAAAGAAAATTCGGGATATTGTTTAGAAATGGGATACGTCATCTTGCAAAGACCTTTGAACTGAAACTGAACAATTCACAAGTTGTCAAAGGGGATGCATGTTAAATACGATAATTTATATCTGGTACATGTCTTAACATCAAACACATATTGATGTATATCATGTCTGTTCATTTAGATTGTGACATTATGTTGATATACAAGATTATATAGACGAGAAATAAGGTAACTATGTATATGTTAGTATTCATCCGTGCTGTTCTACAGAAATTAGAAACTTCGACGGGAGCGATAGCGACAGGAGAATGTTTCTAATTGAATATGATCAATATCTTCATTGAAAGCTTTTGTTCAAAGTGCTCATTTTTGTTTTGGAATATCCGAATTGTCAGTAGATCTATCAGGTACAATAACTGATAACAACCAAACAATTTGAATGTTTGATAATAAAATGAAATGATGTCTGTCAGTCATTTTGTTACTTTTCAAACAGGGTAAGTATTTAATAATTATAATAGTGAGCATTGTGATTTAAGGGAAATGCAATTTAAGAAATATATCCACATTGTTGCAAAGGGTAAAAGATGACAAAGGTATGAGTTTATAATGTGGAGCTTGTTGAATGAAAAAAATAAGTAAAGGAAAGTTAAGACTGAGTAAAAAATATATTAAACTTTAATTAAAGCCCTGAATAAATACCTGCAAGTATATGGTATTCACATATATAAGATAAATCGTCTCTGTCTTCAATGTTAGCTGTATTCCAGTATCCGGAACTCGTCATGTACGTATAGCGGTCTGGTTCCGTACTACTCCGCACTGTCACAGACACTGTAAAATAAACAAGCCAATTCGTTGAATTAATATCATCGACATAAGATACAAATCACGTGACTGAAGCCTTTGAGCAATTTGAGGTACACAAAAGAAGTGAAATGAATTTGGTGTATCTACATAATAATTATAATAATACTCACTCATATGTATTGTATGGTGGCTAATTTGGTACACTTTGCGCGTTGCGCTATCGATAGCGACCACACAACCTATATCGTTATCGCCGTCTTATCGTATTGTCGCGTGATTGCTAAGTCGTCTTGTCGCTAGGCTAGCGAAGCACGGCTTATATATATAACGCCGTTTGGCGTGCATCATTAGCGACAGGACCCGACAACGCGCCGTTTTGCGCTTTGTCGTGCTGTCACTAGCGACAACACGATGCACAAAAGTGTTCCAAATCAGCCACCATAACACTTTATAATTCAATTAATAGCATTCTAGCTTAAATTATTATGTAATATTTCTTACCGTGTGTCACACTTCTGTTCAAATACTCTTCAGTAATGGAGTCGCCATCAAACCATTGGAAGGGAATAGTCTCATCTCCTTCCGGTCTGTATAAACCAATCCAGGTTCCCACAGCGCTAAATATGTATGATTATATAGGTCATATACAGTTCATAAATTTCTCATTTTTATTTCTGTTTATCATATACACTTAATGCGTTCTAAGGAATTATAATTTTAGAATAATATATTTTTATAAAGGTAACTTAATCAACTTAAAAACATGTATATAAATTGTTTTCCTCATAGTTGGCGGTACAAGACATTTATAATAGAAATATCAAATAAAGTAACCAGCTTTATTTTCCAGTTCAATTGTTGATTCTATTCATTTTTGTCATCGATATACATGTGAACATCATGAAAATAATTATAATTTACATTTAATAAAGTCAGGTAAACAAACCTCGAGTCGGTGAATTTGAAAATTGTTGCAATTTGAAGGCTTGCGGCGTTACACGTACCATCATTTTTTATGTTATAAAGTACTAGATCTATATTAATAGCTCCAGTTAACTGATGAAACTACCGTTATTTTTTTTAATAAGTAAAAGCACAATGAGGAAATGAAGATTGTTTCGAGCACATATGTGTTACATTGTTAACAGACTTCCTGGACCTTTTTGCAGAGAATTGTAAAAGGAAATAACTTAAAAATCACAAAAGCGTTGCAACCATCACTTTTCACAATTGAAATAACTCTTCTGGAAAATGGAGTGAGCGAATGACACAAATTATAAGGTTTCATCAAATGGAACAATTATCTCGAAAAAAATATTTCCAATACTGTTATGTCAAAAAAAACCTCAGTAGAGTCCCTTAAATTAAGTAAATATAAAATATTACTCGTAATTGATGTCGTAAATATAGTCGTTAATCTGGTCAGTTTTCGGCATGACTAAATTCCCTCCAGAACTCAAGCAAAATGACTTTGCTTCTAATACAGTAGTGTTTGCGGTGACCAGCTTATAACAGTTGTTGTCCAGAACATAAGGTGCATCAGCTGTGCAACCTGTAAAAATTTAATGTTGCATAAAAAATACAATTTCATATTCAAAGTACAACCTTGCAGTCTGAGCAGGAACTTGATAATTAACTTAGACTACGTTTAGACTAATTATTATTGCCATTGAAATATAAGCAAGCACAATTTAAACAGTTTGTCATTTATTTTAAACATTTAAAATCTAAAAAAGCAGAAGAAAAAAACAGGAAAAGTTTGTTAATCTTCAGTCAAGTAATATACCTTTATCTGAATATTTATTTTCGAAGATGACTTAAACTTTTTTTATAATAGCAAATGTATTATATTTACTTTTAAGATATATCATATTTAAATCTGGATTATATATGGATACAATCCTTAATCATTTTTAGAGAAAACTTCCAAATGAATTGACTGAATAAAGAACAGTGCAGAATATGATTAGATGACACAGCTGTACCGATTTAGTGTTCGTTAGCATGTGTAGAAAATGTTGCCCCAAGCAGATCTTAAGGTTATCACACCTGCTACAGTCAGGGCACATTATGAAACAGTAATGATATGCTCTTACTTTACTTTCAAGAAGATTTAACTCACCGTTTGTGTATGTTTGGCAAATATACTCGTAAGTGGATAAACAGGCGTCATTGGCCCATCCATTTATGTCCATCTGTACACAGAAAGCGCTGGTACTTGTTGCTGACTTTGCCTTACTTTTCTCCTTAGCTCTTTTTTTCCTTGATAGAGTCGGGTATCCTGCAGAATATATATGTATACTCGTGTTTTCGGTGTTACATATTGATCTTAACGGTGCTACATACTGACCCTAAGCTTTATGATGTTACATAATGATCTTTTCGTTGTTACATACTGACTTTTACGGTGTTACATATTGATCTTAACGGTGCTATACATACTGACCCTAAGCTTTATGATGTTACATAATGATTTTTTGTATTTTATTTGCCCGGCTTTGACTTTGCAATCCATTTCATGTTTAATAATAAGAAGAAATAGCTAAGTTGTCAAACAACAGTTAAGAGCTTGGTCAGACTACACGGACGTGTTACATGTATACCTACATATACATGAGACAAAGGCTAATCCATTTGTGTCCATCCTTATAAGAGGTAAGATATTTATAGGTCGAAATTGCACTGAGAAACATATCATTCTTCTTCTTCGTCTACAATAATGGCTACGTTCATTTATGATACGTTACGGTATAGCCATGCGTTGGGTGTTTAGAAAGTTTAGTGTGATAGGCCACCCAAGCAACCCAATAATATTGATACTCGTATATTTCAGTATCGACGATTAATATTGATACTCGTATATTTCAGTATCGACGATTTCGAAGTCCGATATGACATGATGAAAAGGTAATTAAATGATTTTTTTCAATTTTATTTTCCTATATACATTGTAAATACTAAGCCTAATATCTGAATAGAAAGATATTTAAATATAATGATTGATAGCTTAATTTAACTAAACCTAGATACCTTATGATGAGTATTACTGACGAAAAAGAAAATTTGCCAAAACATTTATAGCAGACGAGATTGTCAAATCATAAATACAATGTACATGTATTTTTGTATAATGTGTAAAATTGTGTATTATTAATTGACAAAAATTGTATAAAATCATATGAAAATTGTTCTGTAATTCTTTCATAAATGTAATAATAAAGATATAATTGTTTCTTTTTTTTTTAGACAAAACAAAGTCGCTCCAGATCCAGATTTTATGGACTGAGAAACAACACTCAACAATAGTGCTGAACATTTATATCAAAACTTTTAGTTATTGTGAAGTTAAATAAAATGAGTGCAGGCCTTGAGAAAATAATTTTCTTCTGTTTCTCTGATCTCTAGATTTCCATTGGTCAATGTCTTTTTGTACATGATATCTGAGTTGTAGATTGAATTTTTTTATAACGTTTGACCCTAGTGTCACATTTTTAACAATACATAACATTAAAACCATTTAGTTTTAATGAATTAATTTTTAAAATCTTAGTCTCATCTCCACTATTCAAGGAAGGGCCAGGGCATCGTCAAACACAAATACACAAACAAAAGTGTGATGATAATTGTGTCGTATAAAATATATGTTGCCATCATAAAAAATAAGTATAATCATTTTATGTGCCAACTTTTCACTACAACTGCAAACTACAACGTCATGACTTATTTGTTAAGGTTGCTGACACGCCATGACAGTGACGTCAATTGACGTTATTGACGTATAAAACACGTGTCACTCTCCCATTTTGCTTTTTAAGAATATTCTTAAAATATATTGTTGTTTAAATGTGAAAATGATAAATATCAATCAGTATTTAATAAATAAGTGTCTTATCGTTTATGTGTTTATACATGCAAGATATTTGATCGACTATGTCACACACTTCTCTTAATATACTAAAGAATATATTATCAGAATTGTGATTGAATTCTAAGAAATATAACATAATGTTATTAATCTGCGCAATTTCTCTTGCCGCAGCACTCATTAATTTATAGTTCGTAGCGTAAAGATAGATACAAAATGATGGTTTGACAGTTTTGTGAATCTAAAGCAATCCAAATCACATATTTTTTTTTTCCAATACAGCGAACAAGATAATATATTTCTAATGATTTCTTGCAGAGAAGAAGTTATATAAGTTTAAGAAATGGAATACTTGTGTGTAAGGAAAAATCCAGAAATATTTGAATTACAAGTTGTACAGATAAACATTAGTTATAAAGGCACATTATGCCTCACAGTGAATATTATTTTCTTTCTTCGTAAAAAATTGTGATAAAAGATTAAGAACATGTGAAATGCTTATCACCTGAAGAAAATAACGTTATACCGTTGAATGTGAAAGCATTTCTGTTAAAAGTAAAAATGTAAAAAGTAGTATTTTGACTTCCATACAAAATACAAATTCGCTATAACTGTACTTATCGCCAAATGACAAAAGTATCAAAAGAAAGCTCAGCTATATTGCCAATGAATGTTTTTTAAACTGTTACATGGGTGTAAGAGCTTTTGAAAAATAAATTAAGCAAAAACAGACTTAATGTGCCTTTAAAGAAAAGCTAAAATAATAACGCATGGGTATTTTCAAACGAGTTATTAAATTATTGTCTAATGTTATGGATGTTTCAAGTTTTTTATGTCTTCTGGTACCACTATAAAATGTCACGGTTAAAACAGAAAACTAGAGCAAGTTTAGGAAAGAAATGACACCAGTTCCTATTAGATTACGTCATTTGAATGCTATAGGAGTCAAAATACACCGGCGTGGCCAAGTGGATAACTCGTCGGACTAGTAATCTAAGGATTGCTGGCCGAATGGGTTCAAACCCCGTCAAGGGCAAGCCGCTCTTTCCTTGAGCAAGAAACTTTACATTCATTGCTTAATACTGATCGGTTCCGGGAAAGGACTCGAGTGTTTCATTATGCTTATAGCTTCCAACATAGGCGAGCTAAAATAAATTCGTTTAAACTGAATAATGTGGTGATTCTTATTGCCTATACAGTAGTGACTGTAATATTTTCAGTCCCTATGTACATATACAATTATAAATTATCTAAAATTCTGTTACGGCGAGACTTTGATCCGTTGTGATGATTTATATGCTGAAGATACTTTCAAACGATAGAATCAAACAAATCGGATTCGGTACAGTCGTATATAACCTATAAAAACAAAATACATGTATATAAAATATTAAACAATTTAAGAATTGTATGTATGTGGCTTTCAATGCAGTCATGATAAGCTATAATGCGCATGTAATTAATTTTTTTTTTGCGATTGACAACAAATGCCCAATTGTCATATTACACCTATATCTCAGTTTTTCTTGCGTCTGTCGTTGCACATATTTATTGCAAATTATGATGTTTTAATATGACAGCTCTAGACATAAGATAATTACAGCTGACGTATTTATGTTAATGTCCATCTCTCAATACGATATTATAGTAGTGTAGCCAATGTCCCGCTGAAAACCCAGTTCAAAAAATGAATCTGAAAATAAACTTCATCGGGATTTTGTTAATATCTTTCATCAAGAATGCGGAATTTATGCTATCAAATGCGGTTAGTATGTATTTTTGTAAACATCTTTCGAAAATGATATTTCTGTTTGTCAGGAGAAATGTCTGCCTTGATGTTATTTAATCTAAGAAAAGATTTAGTAATAAATACTAGAACCAATTTCCAAGATATGGAGGCTGGGCAGCACCGCCTGACATAAAAGTGAAGATTTATCTCAGTTGGAAACCTAAGACCATCGTAATTTTGTCTCACGCTTCAACACTCACTCTACTTCATCTCATCTCCGTATTTTTTCCTTCTTCCTATCTTCAATCCATAATATACAGTTAAACAAGCAATACTCTGATTATTATTTACACCAACAAAGAACTCTGATATCTATTTACACCACCAAAACAAAACACAATCAGTGTTATCAGCCATCTTATATGAAATATTCTTTTCACGTATACGCTTTATACGAACACAAGACACCTGGCGAGCCAAACTCTCAAACAACTTTATGATTAAATACCAATAAAAATCACCCAAAACGAACAACCAAAACTGAAATATTTTACACACTCGGTGAGAAGATAACATATCACCACACAACACATCTCACTCACACAACTACTTAACTTCACACAATCTATCAGCATCAGAAACACTTAAACTAAAGCACCACATATTACTAATTATCTCTCTAAACAGAGCAGCTAAAATACATTATAATACTTGATATAATGACCTAAACTTTCAATGCGCCAATAGCAGCAACTCTATCATTTCTTCAACAAACGATATAACTCACAAAAACACAATTAAACCACTTCCTGATCAATTTAAAGATCACACTTTATTATTCAACACTCTCAACAAACCAAAAAACTGATCTCAAATTACAAAATTCACTTTCAATTAACTCACAAAATTCTCTTTTCAATAAAATAATACATCACATACTCGCGTCGCTCTCACGACTAACCACATTCTTTTACAACGCGCAATGTGTGCGAGACTTAACGATTCTGATACGTGTTTAATGTATATCCAATTACACCGCTTGGTTTAAACATGAAATAATTTTACACTAACTAAAAACAATTATCACTGTAAAGAGAATATTAACGTGTCTCTCGCTTTAATACTACATACAATATAAGTCAATGTAAGGCGCGAACATTATTTAACTCGTATGTTAAGATACATATCTCACCATATCCACCTCAACTTCATAGATTATATCTGAGCCCCTATCTCAAGAAAACACTCCACTGTTTCAAACAAAAGAATATCTACAATGTCTTTTTCAGCGGTATGGAGTATTAGCTTAGACCGTAAATCTGCACTCACGTGTCCTTTCCTTCACAGCTCACTCTCCAAACTTATGAGTTACTCTGTAGAGATATACATCGCCCTTCGTGCACTTATTTCGTCACTTTCAACTTTACTTTCTGATATCACGTTTTAAAGGAGCAAATGGTCTGTTATGTAAGTCAAATTCCTTTCCGTACAACATAGCTTGTTGAATTTCTTTTATCTCCAGAATACCGCTCATACGCAGACATTCCCTTCTCGATAACCGATGTAGTTACTTTCTCGATTCATACAATTTCTTCATACTTCGCAGTAAAGCTATTGGAAGCAGACCATACATCAAACTGTTGAAGAAGTGCAAGTCCCTACACCTTTCTGAAGCATCAAATTGCAAAACAAACATGACTATTGAAAGTCTGTGAAGTCGTCAGATGGTGATCGTGTCAGTCCTTGCTTCAAATGTCGTAAACGCTTCTTCATCTCGCTCTCTCATATGCATTTACCTTTGCTGTCTTATCTTCACGTAAGACTGTCAATGGTGAACAATTCTGCAATGAAGCAATCGATTTCGGCTAGTCCAGCTAAAAACCATAGAAACGGATCTCAGTTGCTTCTCTACCTGGCGTATAGCGTCTTTAATTTTGACTAATTTGTCATCTTCCATTTGCATTTGTCCTTTGCCAACAACATGACCGGTAAATGGTATACTTTCAAACCCAATCATACATTTAGAAGGCTTAACTGTGATCTTTGCATTTCGTATTCTTTCGAACAATTGTCTCAACATCTTCAAATGTCTCTCCCATGTAACCGTATGTCCAAGCACATCGTCAACATAGTTATCAGTATCATTCACTCCGGAAAGTAACTTCCGCATCATTCTATTAAATGTTGCACCCAGAATTGACCATTCCAAATGGCATCTTTCTGAATTGGTAACTACCTTTTGTTGTAGAAAATGGCTGTTAGATGTCTTGATTTTGCTTCAATTGGTATTTGCCAAAAACCTTTGGTCAAATCAATTTTTTGTGAAGAACTTATCTTCTTTCAGCTTTGCCATCACATCCTCAACATTACCCATTGGTTCTGTATCAAACTTTGTTACAGAGTTGAGTCGTCTTAAGTCAATACAAAAGCGGTTTGTATCATCCTTTTTCTTCACCAAAACAATTGGAGAATTATAATCAGAATTTGCTGGTTCAATGATACCACATTCAAGCATTTTCTTAATCTCATCCTCTACCGATGTCCTTTTTGCATATGGAATTGTATATTGTCTAACACGAATTGGTGTTTTGTCAGTCAACTCAATCTTGTGAGATTCAAGATCTGTAGTTCCAGGAACGTCAGTAAAAATATCCTCAAATTCTTGAAGCAACGCTTTTACTTCTGAGTTTTGTTCAAGTGTTAATTGATCATTAACATTTACATCTCTGTACGTCTCTTTACCCTGTGTGTCTACTAGTTCTAAAAGATTTTCATCATCAACTACCCCAGTATCATCATTATTTTCGGCTTCTATTACAGCTACACTCGCACAAATTCTATCATCTCTTTCTTCGTATTTCTTCAGAAGATTTATGTGGTACATCCCAATTCTATCACCTACTTTCACTTTGTAGTCAAACTTGTTAACTGCTTCACTTACAACAAATGGACCTTTCCATTGTAACATCAGTTTATTGTGTGTTGAAGGCAGGAGCAATAAAACTTTGTCTCCTTTCTTTAGACTTCTTGGTCGTGTTTTCTTATCATAATGATGTTTATACTCTTCCTGTGAGTTGCTGAGATTCTCTCTAGCAATCTTGCATGTTTGTTCTAATCTATTTCTCAAATCTAGGACGTACTCATACGTATTACGTGTCTCTGGTACTTCTGTCTCTGTCCATAATTCTTTTAGTGCTTGCATGGGACCTCTAACAGTTCTTCCATATAGAAGTTCAAATGGCGAGAACCCTGTACTTGACTGAGGGACTTCTCTGTATGCAAAGAGAACCGCAGACAAATATCTATCCCAATCCTTAGGTCGTTCTTGGCACATTTTCTTCAACATGCTTTTTAAAATACCATTCATTCTCTCACAAAGACCATTACATTTTGGATTGTAAGGGGTCGTAAACAACTGTTTTAGTGATACTAGCCTACAAACTTCTTCCATAAGTTGTGACGTGAACTGACTTCCCCTATCACTAAGTATTTCCGATGGGAAACCTACTCTTGCAAAAATATCTAACAATGCTTCAGCTATATTTTCAGTCTCAATTCTTGGTAAAGCAGCAGCTTCTGGGTAACGTGTAGCATAATCAACTACAGTTAATATGTACCTATTTCCCTTTTCCGATACAGGCGTTATTGGCCCTATCAAATCAACCGCAATTCTCTGGAACGGAGTATCAATAATAGGCATTTCACCTAAAGGAGCTTTCTGAAGTCTACCCCTGGGCACCGTCTTCTGACAAATGTCACAGGAACGACAAAATCTAGTAATATCACTAGAAATACCTGGCCAGTGAAAACTAGACTGTATCCTGTCTAAAGTCTTGCGTACAGACAAATGCCCACCCACTATAGATTCATGAGCTAATGACATAACTCTTTTGTGATATTTACTAGGAACAACTATTTGTCTTGTTTCAGACTTCAAATCACCTTTCACCGTCTCAAATATTCTATACAACACATCTTTTTCTACTTCATATCTAAATTTGTTACCGCTTTTTGTTTTTTTCATGATTCTTATTTTCCCTAGCATACTGCCACAAAACGCTGTAACGTATTGTCATTTGATTGTTGTTCTTTCTTAAGAACATCTACCGTAATTTCATTATCTTCGACCTTTGGAACTTTAAGAGGTTTCATTGCTTTCTTCTCTTTTTTTCTGCCTGTGCTCTAGTAACAACAGCAGCTATATTTGTTTCTTCTCGGCTAACCCACTTTCTCATTTGGCTTATCAAGTACACCCTGAATATTGCCAAGACTAAAATCAAAGATTGCTGACTAACTAAAAACCATTAGCCTGCTATTTTCCTTTATATATAAGTTAGATCAATATATTATTTTTTGCCATGGTACCTAACCTGCCCGTACCATCTATAGCATATGACATCACATTTTTTATTCAGAACATTGATCTCTCCATCAAACACATCTTTCTAAACTACTGTGAGCTAAAATCGCAACCAGGTGTCTCTAAAGTAACACTTTCACTCTGATTACCGACATAACTCTTGGTTTCAGATTCCTTGACGTTCACCATTCTATGATCTATTTGTAGTCAGCTGCTTGTAATGACAGGACAGAATTACCTTGCTAATTTTAAGTTTCCCTCTTCAATACACCGTTCATACAGAACTTGTTGGAGAAATCGACAATACTCTATCCTGAATATCTATTCTTACATTCAATCTCCCCATCCAGTTATTTTCTCCAGGCCTGACTATTCGCCACGTTCCTTGGTGAAGAATATCCGATTTGTTTTAAAGTAATTTCTATTTGTCTCTCCATATGACATTGGACAGCAAGCCCATAATTCTTTTCTTAGTCTTGATCTCATACAATCTCTGGGCCTACAATGACCCTCTCTATTCAACATATGTAAGCATGTAAGCTTTTCTAATTTTCATACTCTGGTGATAAATGCTGTATTGGTTTCGAAGTAAGATAATTACCTTTGATTATGGTGCCGTATTGGTAATTTATAATTTGAAAAGCCTGGGCATATTTTGAGTTTTACTATGTGTAATGTGTACCGCCATGAAGCCTCTAAGTATTGTTTGCAGCAATAAGATTAAACCAAAGATATGACATCTCTACGATCCTTTGGTCTTTCTTTCCTTAAGAAAAGAGCCTAACTCCGTTGAACAAACTTTGTACAAATTGAATCTCTAATAATAAGGTGCTATTCAATTATCTACTGGTATCGCAGCGTCAGCCATTTCTGTCCATCTACTAAAGTACCTATCTAAGCGAGCCATAAATTGGTTACAGTCTCCCCTTGTTCCGGCTTACTCTCTCTAAATTTATTTCTGAAACCGTCTTCTGTTAATTGGTATCTTTTCAAAACTGCTGTTTTTAATTCTTGATAATCTGATGCTTGCTCAGGAGGCATACTAGTGTAAACTTCAAGACCTTTCCCCGTTAATAACGAACTTAAGCTTATTGCCCATGTATCTTCTTTCCATCCTTGACTTATAGAGAATCTTTCAAAACGCTCTATATAAGCATCTATATCATCTTTTGACTCTTCAAATTTAGGCAGTCTTGGCCTCAAACCGGTGCTAGGTGGGGTATCAAGGCGATCCCCAGCCTCAATTTTTAACTTCATTAATTCTATTTCTTGCTCTTTCATTTTCATCTCTACTTCAGCTTGAAATAAACGTTTCTTTTCCTCACGCTCAGCTTCTTTTTCTAAACGCTCTGCCTCAAATCGCCGTCGCTCTTCCTCACGTTCATCTTCTTTTGCTTTACGCTCGGCCTCAAATCGCCGTCGCTCTTCCTCACGTTCATCTTCTTTTGCTTTACGCTCGGCCTCAAATCGCCGTTTATCTTCTTCACGTCTAATATTTCTCTCTTCTCTATCAAGATATTCTGATTCTTTCTTTTGAACATAATCACGTAACTCCCCGTCCTTCAACCCAAGCCTCTCTCCCAATGATACCCATTTCTCATAATCCATAATTGCTTAATAATGGATTACTATTCAATAAAATAATAAACTTTTACGAAACCCGTAAAATAAACACTTTATACTTAACAAAATGGTGTACCTCTGTAGCACCGACACTCGTTATTCCAAATCTAATCTCTATATAACAATGGCACCTACTGGGCACCGGCAATGAACTTGTATCAACAGTAACAACCAGGGGACCGATAATAATCTTCCTGTAGTGTTTAACAACTATGTAAACTTTAAGAAAACAACCAACTGAGCACCGGCAGCAAAAACTATCTATTCAACTATTTCATACACTTTTATGAATAATCACCCACTGAACACCGGTTATAAACTTTAATCAACTACTGATGTTTATAACCTCAACAAATTATAAGTTATATCTTTATCATCGTTATAACTTATTAACACAATGATTCAAACTATCGAAACAAATGTCTCCCAAAAACCACTTAATTCTATCACCGTATAAACAGTATTCAACAAAGGGTGCTTTCCTGCTAAAATGCAATAACTTCTTCAGTATAAATAAACTTTTAAACACAGCCCGTCACCGCTTCTATACATATAACTCTCTACTTAAACTCTATTGTACAGAGAGTTTACTTGTATAACACTAAACGAAGGTTTATCGATTTTCGCCTAACAGCTTTTACACTGCAGTATTTTACCAACAGATCGTAAATGATTTAAGGTTTAACAAAAATTTTATCAAGTTTAACAAACAATATTTTGCCAGGAAAAATTCCAACTTAAAGAGAATATCCCGGACGAGCCCCCAAATTGTCAGGAGAAATGTCTGCCTTGATGTTATTTAATCGAAGAAAAGATTTAGTAATAAATACTAGAACCAAATTTCCAAGATATGGAGGCTGGGCAGCACCGCCTGACATAAAAGTGAAATATTCTCAGTTGGAAAACTAGCATGTAATTGTTTAGTTAACACTATCTTTTTTATTAGGTATTTTTATCCTTTTCTATCTCAAATCATAATATACATGTAAACAACAAACTCTGATTATTATTTACACCCAAAACAAAGAACTCTGATCATTATTTACACCCAAAACAAACACACATCATTTATCAGCCACTTATATGAAATATCTTTTCACGTATACGTCTTTTATACGAAACAAGACACCTGGCGAGCCCAAGCTCTAAACAACTTATGATCAAATAACAATAAAATCACCACAAAACGAACAACACAAAAAATGAATATTTTTACAACTCGAAGATACAGTATAAACCACAAACATTCATACAACAATATTAACTTCACACAATCTAATCAGCATCAGAAAACAACTTAAACTAAAGCACCCAATATTTACATATATCCTCAAAACAAAGCAGCAACTAATATAATCTTGATATAATACCAAACATTCAACCAATATCAACCAATTATATCTTCACAAACAGATATAACTCAACAACAAAAACAACAAATTACAACCAATAAACCCTGATCAATTAAGATCACCACAATTATATTCAACCACTTCAACAAACCAACAAAACTGACTTCAAAACAACAAAATTCTCTTCAAAACAACAAAATTCTCTTCCCAATAAAAAAATAACCCCTCACACTATAAGCGTGTGTCTCCTAACTGATATAAAATCTCTCTCTAAACGCGCATATTTGCTAGCTAAACGATCTGACCTTTACACATGTATACATACAGCGACTGGTTTAAACATGATATTTACACTCTACTAAAACAATGTATCACTGTAAAGAAATATTAACTCGTTGTTTCATCTACAACAATATATCACTGTAGGGAAATATTAACTCGTTGTAAGATACATATCTACATATAAACTTCATGATTATTCTGACACTGTTGTCTTTTTATTCTAGAAAAACGAGTCATTAAAACATGCGCACATAGCATTTCACAGTATGTTCAATAATAAGAGCAGACATTAATAATCTTGTTTAAAATTGTAATTGTTAAAATATCTACTTATCAATTTATCAATTAAGATATTATGTATTTATTAGAACCATAAAACTGTTTAATTATCGTAAAAGACAATATAATTATCAGGAAACAAGTCAATATAAGTTGACTCACAAAACCACTTAAAGCGACCAAATATAAAATTGTAATTCTTACAACAATAAGTGAATCAAAAAGTTAAGTGACTGCATTATAATATCTTTAGTATTAAAGATGGTCATTTTAATTTGTTATATATAGAGTATGGGACATTTAGCCGCTCCAATAGAAGTCAAGTCAATTCATGTGACGTCATCATTACCAGCTTGTACAAATGTCACGGTCACATTCGTTGCTATGGAGAACGTGACAGTTTTGTGGACCATAAATGAAGGATTTCTACCAGAAGGTAAGTCTGCTATGAATAAAGTTGATAAGTTTGTATAAATACAAAACAAACACACAATATAGAAAAATTGTAATCTCGGAAAGCAGAGATAACAGTTTTTTTTAGCATGACGGGCAATGCCCACGGGAAACATTGCTCATACGATATATACAATGAAAAGAATTAAATCCTTTATACATGTATAGCTTTACTCACATCATTAATCAAATTAAATTATCGTGCCTGCAAAAGTGGTTAGAGAACTTCCCTATTCTAGTGGAGGTAAAATTGGCACTTTTAAAGTGCAAGAAAAGTAACCTCGATTAGGTTTTATTTTGACAATAGTTTTGCTTGTAATTAAACAGACTAACCAATTAACTTGAAAATAAAGACACAGCGTTATCTTTAAATAATACTTGGACCATCGATTTTGTAAATCTTCTTCCGAAACTGACGTCAGGCATTTGTTTTCCATTTTCAGATTTAAATGCACGAGCAACGTCAAGCGTTCAAGCGACAGGACAGTCTAAGAGTGCTTCAATCTGTTTACCAACAGACATGGCATTTGATTCACTTCGACTACATTTGATTTGTCAGATGCATTCATTTGAATTACACCTTAGTCTTCAGGTTTCACACAACATGTCAAATACACAAGAGGATATTAAACAATATTATCTATTGGTTCCACAGTCCAATGAAATTGGAATTAGTTCTCGAGGCGAAGCAAGATTCCACGTGATGGTTGATACTTCCGGTACAAAGTTTTCATTTGGAATGCTTCAGGCGGAAGCTACGTTACTTAATGGCGCCGTACAAGAACATGATGCAGCATTTTCGTTCCTACCAGACAACAACAACAACAAAATGCTTAGAATGCGAAAAATAGCAAATTCCGGAACAGAGTACCATGCCGACATTGCGATTATTTCAAGAAATTTAAAGAAAAGCAAGACCATGATTTCTGTATCTGTAGCCTGTACACAGCCTGCAAGTATTCTTCACAGACTTGATATGAAACAAGTTACCTATCTTCAGAGAAACACTGCAGGACTTTCATCCAGTCAAATGAACCCTGTTGCATTTTTAGGTGAAAATAAACAGGAGTCAGTAACTCTAGCAAGAGAAGGTAATACCTTGCTGAGATGCAAATCATTTGGTTTTCCACGACCAAATGTCACACTACTAAAACAAGAAGGCAACAAACTCCGCCCTCAGACTGTTCCGTTTTACACGACATCGCTTGAGTTTGAAAAGACCACGGTCTACCAATTACTGAATGTAACTGTGCAAGATTCAGGACTTTATATTTGTAAATCATCAAACACAATATCGTCTGCTGAGAAAACATACTCTGTGAAAGTTCAATGAACTACAATTTTAAGTTTAGAACAATGATACCACATTATCCATATTATAAAACGTTATATACGTAAGACTATGAAAACTTTTAAAAAAACAGATTGCTCGATATATGAAAGCAAAAATGTCATAATGGTTCAACAGGATAATCAAGTATGCCTGTTTTGAAAAGCTGAAGCTACTGTGTTTTTATTAAATAAACGAATCTTTTACGTACATATATTGATTACTTTAAAACAGAGCAAGATAACCTTATCATAATACATGTAGTTTAATATGGTTATTTGTGTCTTCCTTGTAAAATATGCTATGTTATACGAAAAAAAAAATCCTGTAAGAAAAAATGTCCTTTTGTATACGTAGTCACAGAATCAGCTTGAACCACGTACGTTACATTGTACATAATACAATATTAAAATAGAGAGCATCGAGTATTAAACAAATTAATGTGGATGCAAATTACGTTAGTAGATATTTTTCTGGGAAAGTAGTTCTACTGTAATAGTATAACTGATCTCTTTTTACCTGGCATTGAGGTAGTCAAGATAATTATTTAAATAAGATGGTAAGCCAAGCCACGTCATTCTAGCAAAAAATTAGTAGACCGTGTATCACACCATAGGAATGTAATGAAACCCCTTATTTACGTGTACAAGCTCGCTCAGAATATATAATTAAATTAAGGTGTGCATAACATTCGTGGTTAGTTATTCTAGTCTAGAACTGAGGGGAATTAAAAAATATATATATATTACATAAGAAACGTTCATTTTTACTATATTTAAAACACATATATTAACACACATATATATATAACATATTATTAGCATTATATTGTTATTGGATACGAAAGCTAATCGTTTATAACTGCCTGTATTTCTCATGTTCTTCCAAGTAACAAGGAAAGTAGATTAATTACGTCGCTGGACACTAGAACAAAACAAACGCCAGCTAGTAGTACAATTCCTGACCAGCCTAAACACTGGGACGACACCCGGCCATCATCTGCAGACGACAGTTTCCGCCTAGTTCGAGACAGTTGTGCTCGATTTATTGTCAAGTTCTTAATGATGTCATTAACAGTTTCGTCCAAGTTTGTGATATTAAAGTTATCTGTTTCACACGAACATATCCCGGTCGTGTCTGAAATGCAAATGATCAGTTGTAAAACAGAAAATGTTAAAAACTAATACACAAGTACAATGTAGATTATTTCTGTATATAGCCATGCTTAAAAGGTCATACTCGTGATCGACAACTTAAGTACTTATAATTTGATAAATTGTTTAAACATTAGGGCAAATGTAGATGCAATGTCTAAATAATTATTTAAATTCCTGTTATATAACAGAGACACAAAGATCTTACGTAATCTTCTAAATATTTTCCGACATATCCGTAAGATATACGTTTCTTGAAAATACAATTTATAAATTGTGGAATTCCTTTTTTAACTAACCAAGAACGCATATCGGAACAGGGTACCAGGATCCATCACTCTGACACTGTGTTGTACAGTTTGACTGTATGTAACCATAGTTACACGTGATTTCATGAGCATTTCCTTCTGTTGTATTGTAAGATATTGTACTTCCGTTATCAATTATAAGCGTTCCACAGTCGACCACTGCTGAAAATAATACACAGGCATAGATCTATATATTGTTCTATGATTTCATTCATTTTGATCTGAATATCATTAAATATCACAGCTTTATATTCCAATTGGTTCGTTAAGTTCAGTTTGATAATATTTTAGTAAATACATGTATGGTAAATGAATCATACAAAAATGTATGTTCACAAGCAAATATAGTGCAGATGGGTCGCACTACAAGATATTATATATCTGGTTCTTCAAGTTGCAAAAATGTACATAAATCTGACTAAATGTAGCAAATCTGCAATTACTACACAATCCTTTTTAACTTCACCCAAAAGATCAAATTAATTTGTTAAATATTTTCAATGTATGATATTTAAAGATTTATTATCCATAATCCACCTCATTGTTGTTAATATGAAAAAGGCAAAGCCTCAAAGCGAGCTCGATGTACTTTTAACGTGAAATAGTATGAAATAATCGCTCATTTTTATTTCAAATGTAGAGACGAGTGCGTGTGACGTTACACGTAAGTTGTGTTAGATATGGCTCCGCCCCTGTCGTTAAATGAATAACGAGTTTTAAAAAACGTTGATAAAACTTTGTTTATTTTATTTCACTCTATAATTTTTCAAGCGAAATAAAGATTATTTAAAGTGAAATAAACGTAAGACTTAAAATGTTTGCGACATTAAGGTAGGAGACCCCTAATGAGCACTATAAGGAACTATAAAATTGACAACATAGGTCATTTATATACCTTTAAAGACACAAGAATGCAAAATTTAAACAAAGTTTATCGTATGTTTTACGAGTTATGAAGATTTTTCTAAAGTAAAACTTGGCTAATAGAAGGGCTCTTTTTCAGAAATGAGAAACTCTAATTATTCTATTATATAATAATTATGTAATAATGTTTTCCTATAGAAAATATTTTAGAAACAAATAATAGCATTCAGCTAACAAATGACCCAGCAAAATTATTTTTTCTACTCAAAATGTTTAAAATATGTAAATATGTATATAAATGTTACCCTACCCCACCCATTTTAAGTAGTTGTTTGATCATTTTTCTACTTGGAGGGCCTAATTCAAAATATCCCTAAACTTTTCTCAAATCAGGGGCTGTTTTCAAGGTTTGCATAAATTTTCTTAAAAGTATATTGGATGCGCTTGTCAAATATAAAATACTTTTACCGTCTAGTTTTTATTTTATTAGACTTTGAAAATATCAGGTACCATATTTGATAATAAATTTGGCACAATTTAGCCAAAAGATACCAATACTAATTTTATAATTAAAATGAAACACTTTTTCCTTATCGAGAGTGATCTGAGAGACACAAATAATGTTCAAAGAAAAAAAAGAAAGAAAAAAAAAGTTGCCTCTTCTGGGGCTTGAACCCGCGCCCCTCAGTTTCAATGCGGTTGACAGTAGTTCTAGTCTATTTGAGTACTCTTCAAAGTGGAGGTAATGCATTAGGTGCTGTTTGGCGCTACATTGTGACGTCACGTAAACAATACTTTAAACGTCTGTGCAGCGTTAACGACTGAATAAAAGATATTGGTGTTCGGATTCATTTTCTTAGTAAGACCATTTTCTTTCATTCTCGATAGTTTTCACAACAAAATTCGACAAAAAATTGTTTTAATTTATCAGATTTTTCAAACAAAATGGCGCCTTCAATTTTCTTCGATATTTCACAGCTTCCGTTATTCTGGTTTCCTGTCTAATTATGGTTCCCATAGACGTGCGCGGGTGACCAGTCTACACATCCGTGTTCAGTCAGAATTCCTCAGTTTTTATCGTTATCTTTAAATTCGAAAGGTTGCGATGTGTCGAATTTGTTACTTTGGACGAAAGTTTTCAAAACCATCACTTAGCAGGTACTCGCGTTACCGTAAAGCTCGCTTTGCGAGCAGGCCCTTCGGGCCAGCTCGTCGAGCTCGCTATTAACATAATTATATTTATCTGAACATCTTTACCTTGCACTGGAGTACAAGTTGGAGTTGGATACCATTCGCCATTTGAACGACATGATGTAGTGGAATTAACAGCAAAATAACCAACGTCACAATTGACGTCATGCACACTTCCTTCTGTTGTATTCTGGGAAATCGTACTTCCGTTTCGAATCTCTATTGTACCACAATCTACAACGGGATTCACAAAACTTTACTGACAAAGAGGACAAAATGATAAATAAGGTGAATTTGTAAAGTAAACTCGGGATATTGTTTTGTAATGGGATACGTCATCTTGCAAAGACCTTTGAACTGAAACTGAACAATTCACAAGTTGTCAAAGGGGATGCATGTTAAATACGATAATTTAGATATCATGTACGTATAGCGGTCTGGTTCCGTACCACTCCGCACTGTCACAGACACTGAAAAAAAACCATGCCAAATTAAACTTTAATTAAAGCCCTTAATCAATACCTGCAAGTATATGGTATTAGATTCTATATCTGGTACATGTCTTAACATCAAACACATATTTATATATATCATGTCTGTTCAATATTATTAGATTGTAACATTATGTTGATATACAAGATAATACAGCCTAGAAATGAGGTAACTATTGTCCGATGCACTAACTGAATATCATCATTGTTCAAGCTTTTGTTCAAAGCACTCATTTTCGTTTTGGAATATCCGAATTGTCAGTAGATCTATCGGGCTCGGTACAATAACTGATAACAACCAAAACATTTGAATGTTTGATAATAAAATGAAATGATGTCTGTCAGTCATTTTGTTACTTTTCAAACAGGATAAGTATTTAATAATTATAATAGTGAGCATTGTGATTTAAGGGAAATGCAATTTAAGGAATATATCCACATTGTTGCAAAGGGTAAACGATGACAAAGGTATGGGTTTATGTGGAGCTTGTTGAATGAGAAAAATAAGTAAAGGAAAGTTAAGACTTAGTAAAAAATATATTAAACTTTAATTAAAGCCCTTAATCAATACCTGCAAGTATACGGTATTCACATATATAAGATAAATCGTCTCTGTCTTCAATGTTAGCTGTATTCCAGTATCCGGAACTCGTCATGTACGTATAGCGGTCTGGTTCCGTACCACTCCGCACTGTCACAGACACTGAAAAATAAAACATGCCAATTCGTTGAATAAATATCTCCGACATAAGATACAAATCACTTTACTGAAGCCTTTTAGCAATTTGAGGTACACAAAAGAATATGTATGGTATGGTGGCTAATTTGGTACACTTTGGGCGTTGCGTTGTCGATAGCGACAACACAACCTTTATTGTTATCGCCTTTTCGTCTTATCGTATTGTCGCTAGCGAAACGCGTAAAACGGCGCGTGATCGCTAAGTCGCTAGGCTAGCGAAGCACGGCTTATATGTATATAATATATCTATAATACTGCACGTTTCTAACGTCGCTTTTCATTGGATAATCGTGATGTTTATATTATTAGTTATAAAGATCGTTGACAGGTTATATGGCCCTATATAAACGGCTATTTGTAAATATAACCCGAGCCGTAAGGCGAGGGTTATATTGCAAACAGCCGTTTATATACGGCCATATAACCTGTCAACAATCTTTATAACGAATTTATAATACAACAAGCATCCTTTTTAGAGAAAAAAATAAGATTTCACCATGAATCGACAGCAGCCGTGTATATAAAACTATATAAACGTCACGATTATCCAATGAAAAATGACGTTACAAACGTGCAGTATTATAAAATTTTATATACATGGCTGCTGTCGATTCATGAAGAAATCTTACTTTTTTTCTCTAAAAAATGATGCTTGCTGTATTTTAAATTCGTTATAAAGATTGTTGACATGTTATAATTATGACTGTATATAAACTGCTGTTTGCAATATAACCCTCGCCTAGCGGCTCGGATCATATTTACAAATAGCCGTTTATATAGGGCCATATAACCTGTCAACAATCTTTATAACTGATATTATATATTTATATACAAATAGCCAATTCTCCGTTTTGAGCCAAGCGACAATGTGACATCGCGACAACACGCCGCACGGCAACGCGCCGTTTGACGTGCATCGTTAGCGACAGGACCACAAGACGAAATTCCGACAACGCGCCGTTTTGCGCTTCCTCGTGCTGTCACTAGCGACAACACGATGCACAAAAGTGTTTCAAATCAGCCACCATAACACTTTATAATTCATTTAATAGCATTCTAGATTAAATTATTATGTAATATTTCTTACCGTGTGTCACACTTCTGTTCAAATACTCTTCAGTAATGGAGTCGCCATCAAACCATTGGAAGGGAATAGTCTCGTTTCCTTCCGGTCTGTATAAACCAATCCACGTTCCCACAGCACTAAATATGTATGAATATTTAATTCATTTTTTATTTCTGTTTATCTTGTACACTTAATGCGTTGTAAGGAATTATAATTTTATAATAATATATTTTTATAAAGGTAACTTCAACATAAAAAACTTGTATATAAATTGTTTTCCTCATATTCCCTGGTACAAGACATTTATATTACTATAGAAATAGAAATATCAAATAAAGTAACCAGCTTTATTTTCCAGTTGAATTGTTAATTCTATATATTTTTGTCATCGATATACATGTGAACATCATGAAAATAATTATAATTTACATTTAATAAAGTCATGTAAACAAACCTCGAGTCGTCGAATTTGAACATTGCTGCAATTTGAAGGCTTGCGGCGTTACACCATCATTTTTATGTTATAAAGCACCAGTTAACTGATGAAACTACCGTTACTTTTTTAACAAGTAAACGCACAATGAGAAAGTGATGACTGTTTCAGACATACATGTACCTGATGTACGTGTTTCATTGTCAACAGATTTTCTAGACTTTTTTATTTGAAGGGAATTGTAAAAGGAAATAACCTAAAAATCACATTTTGTGCTACCCTTAGCCCATTTTGAGTCATTCTGAGTGAAAAGCGGTGCAGCCATCATTTTTCACAATTGAAATAACTTTTCTGTAAAAAAAATGGAGTGGGCGATTGATCTGATTTTTTTTGTACAAAAATTATTGGTCTTCATCAAATGGAACATTAATCTCGAAAAAATATTTTTAAAAAATATTGTAAGAAAAAACTGCAGTAGAGTCCCTTAAATCAAGTAAATATAAAATATTACTCGTAATTGATGTCGTAAATATAGTCGTTAATCTGGTCAGTTTTCGGCATGACTAAATCCCCTCCAGAACTCGAGCATAATGACATTGCTTCTAATACAGTAGTGTTTGCGGTGACCAGCTGGTAACAGTTGTTCTCAAGAACATAAGGTGCATCAGCTGTGCAACCTGTAAAATGTTGCATAAAAAATACAATTTCATATTCAAAGTACAACCTTGCAGTCAGAGCAGGAACTTGATAATTAACTTAGACTACGTTTAGACTAATTAGAATTGCCGTTGAAATATAAGCAAGCACAATTTAAACAGTTTGTCATTTATTTTAAACATTTAAAATCTCAAAAAGCAGAAGAAAAAACAGGAAAAGGTCAAGAAATATACCTTTATCTGAATGTTTATTTTCGAAGATGACTTTAACTTTTTTTTATAATAACCAATGTAGTATTTTACTTTCTAGATATATCATCTTTAAATCTGGATTATATCTTGATACAATCGTGAATCATTTTTAGAGAAAACTTCCAAATGAATTGACTGAATAAAGAACAGTGCAGAATATGATTAGATGACACAGATGTACCGATTTAGTGTTCGTTAGCATGTGTAGAGAATGTTGCCCCAAACAGATCTACAACTTCTCACACCTGCTATAGTCAGGGCACATTATGAAAAAGAAATGATATGCTCTTACTTTACTTTCAAGAAGATTTAACTCACCGTTTGTGTATGTTTGGCAAATATACTCGTAAGTGGATAAACAGGCGTCATTGGCCCATCCATTTATGTCCATCTGTACACAGAAAGCGCTGGTACTTGTTGCTGACTTTGCCTTACTTTTCTCCTTAGCTCTTTTTTTCCTTGATAGAGTCGGGTATCCTGCAGAATATATACGTATACTCGTGTTTTCGGTGTTACATACTGACTTTTACGGTGTTACATATTGATCTTAACGGTGCTACATACTGACCCTAAGCTTTATGATGTTACATAATGACCTTTTCGGTGTTACATACTGACTTTTACAGTGTTACATATTGATCTTAACGGTGCTACATACTGATCCTAAGCTTTATGATGTTGCATAATGACCTTTAAAATGCTATGTACATGTATGTTGATACTGAAGTAACAAGTTCAGAGCACCTTTTCTTGGTTTTCACGATATAAACGTTACGCGAACCTTCTTTATATGGTAGCATGTGAGCAAAGTGTAATAGAATATGTTAGGAATATGTCTAACGATCGAGAGTTTTCCACCATGTAACAATAATAATCATCTAAAATGTTTTTGTTTTTTTTAATTTCTGTTGCCAATCAATGGGTTTTCCACAATGAAACTTAAGTAAAGATAGTGAGTTGTTAATTTACCGGTTCTCCACGATGTTACACCAGTGTATTCTAAACCTATGTGGTCTTGCCATATCCAATTGTTTAATGTCTTGTTAGCGTAAAGTCCAATCCAAACAGTCTCATGGTCATTAGTCCTGATTTATATAAAAACAACAACAACAACATATTTTAGATTTAATAAGTCATAAACGAGCTGCAGTGGGAATACAAGTGCAATTAATGAAATATGAAAATAGTAAATGAATCTATAATATAGCTAATATACATGATAGGAAATGGGATGGAATACTTGATATATTGTTCTCGAATTGTAACTTCCTCCGAGAAGAGTTTCTGGAGAATGAAACTAAAACTGTTTACGACAAATCATACACAGCATTCGATTCAATGTATCTATGTTTCTAAATGTTTTAGTGCTAAATAATTATTGTTAATAATCCTTGCAATCTAAAATGTTTTAAAATATAAAGTCATCGCATCTTTTTAAGTAGGTTAAGCTTCTAATTTTAACATGTCTTGTTACGCCGTATATAGCTCTCGTTGAATAAATGTGGGTCTCCGAGGAGCATTGCTCAAAGCTGCCTATTCTATATTATAATATCTCCTTTTATAATATTACACATGCGTAAAGTGTGTTTTAAGACACTGTCACAGCGTACTGTTTACTTAAGCCTAGGACAGTGCTCAAAGTATGCATCATCATCATCATCATCATCATCATCATTATCATCACCACCACAACCACCACCACCATCACCACCATGATCATCAATATCATCATCAACGTCATCTTTCTATCTTAGTTGGTCTGAGGCCATCACAATTACTTAAATTCTGTTGTGATACTTTTAATCGATGTTCATGGACAGTGATAAATGGTCTGCTAAGGCCATTGAAAGTCCAAAATGAACAAATTTTAATTCTTTCACTGAAGAAAATACCAAACATTCAAATTGAACACTTCCTTATTTGTGACAAATGTGACAACCATTGTAGAGTTTGTTACAAAAGAAGTAACGGTAATAGGAAAAACTTCATGATGGGGAGTTATTCGTCGAATTGATACATCATTTTTAAAATCGGTGTATGTCACTGACGAAGAAAGCTCCCGAACAGCAATTTCTGTTATAATATAGCAATTGTTTTAAGTAAATTTTAGTAATTTTATGCAAAATTGGATTGAAACTCGTTTCAAATATTAACTTTAAATTCAATGACAAACACAAAAGGTCATATCGTTCTTGTATCTTACCATTGCTCTAAAAACAACAAAACCTTAAGGGCCTTCGCTAATCATAAAATGAAAAGCGTTGTAACGTTTTTCACTTAAAGCGGGCTAAGAATCGCAGAAAAAAAATCAAATTTTAAATTAAATGTTTAGTATATTTCTTGATCATCCTTTTTCATATTTTTAATTTTATGATTCTACTTTGATCTATGTTAAATTTCTAATTTTATGTTTTTGCAGTTCCTTTATGTTAAATATTTTAAAAACCTTACCCAGTTATATTATTACGGACAAAGTCTATTTGGTGTTGTGTTCGTGGCATGGCCAGGTGCATGCCTAGTGAATGACATCTCATCCATGCCTCGGAATATGTAACCTTGCTTGCAAATCCTTGGTAACATAAGTGCGTATTGGTGTCACATGTTAGATTGTAAGTCAGCAATGGAACTGTTATATAATAAAAAAAACATGTATTACACGAAACAATTCCTGATAAGTCTATGATTTGTTTTTTAAAAAGCTTGAATAAGATTTTATGTTACCTATTTTTATTTAACATAATTATACGATTTATTTCTTTCTTTCCAATTATAAGATATAATAATTGATGAAGCAATGGTTTATATGTCTGTTTTACATATTACATGACGAGACTGTCCATGTTCCGTATCCACGACAACAAGAATTTATCATATGAGATTTCATCAGAAGACAAGATCGGTGTGAGTAAATAATGATGTCAGATATATAAAAAAGGATCGATTATTTGAAAATAAGTGTTGATATATAAAATTGAAATATTCATTCGATATTTTATATTACTTTTTGTGGATGGATATTTTACTTCATACGTGCCTTCATCGTACCTTCATCGCTTATTTTCTTATTGTATTCCTCATTTATTTTTTAAATTTATTTATCAGATTTAATAAATATATTTAATTTATTTAGTTATGTAAATACTTCTTGTCCTCTATTCTTCAAAATCTATTTTTGAATTGATTTCCGTTAAGTTTATACCTACCATAAGACGAAAATCATCTATCAAATAAAAACAACAATATGAGTTGAAAACTAAGCAGACAATTCATTAAAAAAAGAAATACCGTGAACACCGCAACAAATATGAAATAACTTCGGAATCAGAAGAAATATAAAATCCGAAAACAAAATATTCTCAGTCATTTTACTAAACAACATCTTTGGTGCACATAGGAATTCATATGCCCATATAACAGGAGGAAATGTCAAACCACCGATAAATCAATTAACGTTACAATTCCTTATTTTCAATAACCCGATGTCCTTATCAATCCTCTGGGAAAATTTACCTTTATTAACTCGAATAAGTATAAACATAAAAGAGTTCCTTAAATGGCTTAAAATTGCATAATGCTTAAATTAAAGGTTAATTTGAAATGAAAGATTTGCGTTGAACGGGGAAGAAGGATGTTATAAATGCATCGTGGGAGAAAACTATGAAGAATTAATTCACTCGAGCGAGCAGCAGATCAATTGATATAATGATCCCGTACTAACGTAATATTAACTGTTTGGCTACACAGTTTGTATAATCACTCCATCCATACATTTACATCGCCATTCCAATTTGACAACAAAAAATATATAATGTATTAAGTACGAATGTAAGAACAATTTACAGGAAACACTTGTAATCCTTCATCCTTCGGTATCAACTTTTGCCAATTTCCTGTTACAATCAAAAGCGCTCACACAAAGTTCGAATAAAATTGTTCCATATTAAACCGTAACGCTAAAATCATTTTATTTTCTGACCTCACCGTGCACGGTTTATAGTTTACAAATAAAAGTATCGATAAATCAATTAATGAATACTTCAATGTGCAGTTAATAGATTAATATATAAGCTACATATTTAAAGTATTTATTTATTTATTTAGTTGAATTTCGAGCCAGCTCGAAGAACGAAATTCAAAATTTTCAAAACCCGAATTAGTACAAGGGTTTCTTCAAAAAAAATCTTCTTATAGGCGTAAGAGGTAAGAAGACAGGATTGTTGGACAAATAAAAAACTTATCCGAGGCAAATTGTTATTCTAGCAAAGCATAAGTAAGAAAACATTTCCGATGAAAATAAGAGTTTCAAGTTTCTTGAATAAACTCTTGAAACTTGAAGAAAATAAGAGTAAATGTATATGACGCATACGACAATTTAATATAAAGAATAGATAAGCAAATAAAAGTTTATCACTAAACTCATATAATAATAAATAGATATAATTGAGAATAAATGTATGATAAAATGAAATTCACTCTTGCTAAACAATCAAGCTATCCATGAACGGTCAGCTGAAGCACAGTTGGTAAGCAGAATATACTGTATAATCTATTGCGAGTCTATATAATTCAATATGTATGGTTTATTGCGAGTCTATACAATTCAATGTGTATGGTTTATTGCGAGCACAAGCACCTGTTACTTTCGGTCATATTTGATTTATTTTTAAAATATTTAACTTTGCAAATTTACAAACATTCATTATTTTACATCACCGCCTCCGTGCTCGAGGGGTTAGGGTCCAGTTACCTCTCTGGCGTGGGTTCGATCCCACGGAAATGATTGGTAATTTAGCACGGAGGAAGGTAGTCTAGTACTGGTGTAACTCTCCAGGAACGATGGTTAGGAAACTACCCGCCTATATGACTGAAATACTGTTGGGAAAAGGCGTAAAAAGAAACAAACAAACAAACATCACAATTTATATGGATTAAAAAACAAGCAAAACACAAGTACATAAAATCCTTTCATTGGTGGAGTTTCGTCAGCAATCACTTGATCAGTGATTTTTTTAAAAATATTTCAATACTGATTTAACAAAATTTTGAATACCATTATTATAAAAGTCATAAACAATGGAGCTATTTTTTTATATAAATAATTCATATGTTGATTAAGCGAGCGGTAGAGCTTTCACATTGCAGTAATGAACAGGTTCAATCACCAAGCCTACAACATTAGAATATTGCCGTTTTGGTTCATTACGATTCCATTTTTTTCATTTTGATTTAAGAAAAAAAAGATAAGTGCAACATTTTGTAACGGAAGTACTAAGACTTATATTAACAAAATTTAAATGACACTACTAGTAATACAATACCCACCTTGGTCAGTTGTTTGTGTGCTTTCAAAACTTACTTCAAATAATTCCAAAAGTACTATAATAATTAAAAAACTCAAATTCATTTTCATTTTTAATTCTAATCAGCTGATGTTTAGAGCGATTACACTTAAATATGACTTAAAAGTACCAGATCAAATCAACATTGACAAAATCTTTATCAAGAGGATAGTGCGATTGTAGCCCTCATTCAAATAACTCTATGACAAGTTCCGATAAATTTAGTGAGCGGACAATAAAATGTCTCACTTGTTGATAGCCTCGGAAATCCAAGTTTTGTAACTGTTTACAGATTTTACAAAGTCAGTATTGATCATGTTGTTGACATTTATAATGTTTACCCTCCTTCTTGTTCTGTCTGTAGACAGGAAATATCTATTCTAATATCACCGGAAGGATAAAAATATTAAAATTTAGCAAACACTAGAACTCCGCGAGTCGGATGTGAGTATAGCTGTCACTTAGGCATTTTCTTCTTAAACATAGGTTATTTATAAACACTGCTGTTACAAAGTACATGCACCTTTAACTTAAGTGACATTTGAACTGATCGCTCACCTGGTCAAAAGGTCAAAGTGGAGCCCCTTTTCACCCAGAAGCACAATTTGAAAACAAGAGACAGCTTAATTTGAACAATATTTGTACACTGTCACAAATTTTAGCTCTAGCAGCCATTTTATCAAACAGTTCAGCTTGTGAAACATCGTGAAAAATACCAGATTTACAGTACATATAAGGAATATTCA